AGTGAAAACCTTACCTTTATCTTCGAGTCTTTGCTGTCTCCGGATTTGATGATAGTGTCCCAGTACATCTCTTTCCTTTCCTGCTCTCTTTATTTGTCGCTGTTTCCCAGACTTTCACTCACACACACTTACTTATTTACCGTATCTACCGTACAACAACGAGTGGTCAGTCTCCGGCCGAAACGGTCCCGTTATAAACGCAGCGGAGGTGGGAGGGGCGTGCCCGCTGTGCGTCGTGACCAGGTTTGTTAGGCTGTGACGTCAGACGACGCCCCTCCCCACCCCCCCACCCCTTACCCACCCAGCAACAAGCAACTAAACATTCATTCATAAAAGACAACGTAAAATATCACAAAGCGCTATACTTCTTCCGCCACTGTTAGGCGGAAGAAGTATCTAGTTATTTTATTTAAGTAAAAGTAGGAACATCACTCTGTAAAAAAGTTTTTAAAAAAAGTTATGCTTTCTTTCTTTTTTGTTATTTAAAATAATATAAAATTATTAAAAGTAAAAGTACTTATTAGGCAGCAGAATGGTCCCTGTCATTGTAATGCTACTGTATCATATATACTGTGTTTTCTGACTATAATATTGCAATCGTTGTTGTGTTCTCGTTGGTAGAATATAACATAAAATAAAAATAAAACTAAAGCTGTCAGATAAATGTTAAAAGTACAATATTTATTTTATTACAATATATATTTATACATAGAAATGTAGTGGAGTAGTAGCTTAAAATGAAAATACATCAAAAGTATACTTGAGTAGGTCTATAGTAGCCTTCTTGAGTAAACTGATTATCATTAGGAGTGTAACAAAGATACCTTAAATATATATAGTTTATTTTAAGACACTATTCACTAAGAAACTGTAGGATTATTTATTAATAATAGAAATAGAGATTAATGAAAAATATATCTACTCACTTTTGAAGGTTCCATATATTACCCTATAATAAAAACAAGAGATAAAATACACCATCTAAGGCATAAAATATTGATTACAACAGTATCTCTTAGGATAGGAACAACTATTAACAGCACAATAATGTCACTGAATCACAGTCTATGAGTCCCACAAACAAAACGTTAATAACATTTGTGATTATCTTTTTATTCTATCTAGTCAGTTTGTGTTGAAGAGTGTTTAAAGTTAAAGTTATTTCTTTAGGCGGAAATTGGACTGCTAGTCGGACAAAACAAGAGATTTGAAGACATTTCTCACTATTTTCTGACTTTTTAGAGACCAAACAATCAATGAATTAATATCAGATCAAATTAAAAAAAGAAAATCCTTGTAAAAGACAGTATAACACATGGTAGATAGCTATAATACATTATATAACTTTTTGAAACCACTTTTTAAAATATTATTTATCTATTATGTATTTAAAGAGGACGGTTTTTACATGTATAAAGCATACATTTTAAATGTCCTACATCTTTAAGCCTATTGAGGATAACATTTAAATAATCCAATAAAAATTGGATTTATAATAATGAGCCGAGACTACAAGGAGTGTATCTTTATTCTATCACTGAATGACCTTCACATATTTCAAAGCTGCGGTCACTCTGATTGTCTGACTAAATAACTGAGCCATAGTTTGGGTGGGGATGAAGTGCAGCCTTTTGAAATCAGAGCAGTCGGTTTTCTAATGAGGTGGGAGGAAGAAAAAAAAAAATCTGTGTATCTTTAGAAACCATTCGACAAAACAATGGCCCGTAAAAAAACACACAAGTGGTCGCTGAAGAAAGTCTGAAATCACGGCGTGAGTGGCTGCAGCAGATAAGGCCGAGCCCAGGGCCTTGTATAAACAAACATCTCTGCTATTCTCCTCCGACACACACACACACACACACACACACACACACACACACACACACACAGAGGGTCAGCTCCATCTGGAAAAATGGAGCTGGTGAAATCGTGCGCGTCGGTGGGGAGACAGGAGTCGTGATTGGGAGCCCCACCTCAAGACAAGGACACAACCGGGTTAAAGTTACACAACACGAAGTGATTAACAACCGTCTGCAGTCAACTATCAGGAATCCACTGGGATATTTACACAGTGAACCGTCATGAAGCAACGCGAACAGCACCAAATATGCAGAAAATTCAAATAATGGAAGTTTTAATGGCAGTCTGGGGGGGATGTTTCATAAAAACACTTAAATATGCTATAGTTCGCACATGTTGGAAGTGTCTAATGATAATTAATCTCAATCTACAACTTTTTTTTGGTAATTTCTGTATTAAGTTGTGTGTCCCTTTACTTCTCAAAGACCAGTGGCTCTTCCCAAACTTCCAAACTTGTAAAATTAACAATAAGAGCCACACTGACTATTCTCTCTATACTGATATATAAGCACTGAATGAAACAGGGTTCTTACTAACTGTGGCTGAAAACTATAAAAAGGATCCAATTATGACTACTACTACTTTTGTTCATTTTAAGTTAATTAAATAGTTAATTAGTTAAGTTACCTGCTTATAAATGCCAGAAACAGAGTTTACTTGCTGTAATCAACCTTCCTGTTCATACAGGTTATTAAGAGATACAGTCATAATACATTAGGGTGGTGATCGGGGACACAAATTGACAGTTTTGTGGACAAATGTGTTCAAATGTTCATCTAAAGCTTGTGAGGCTTCAGTCAATTAACTACCTTTCTCTGACAGCTTTAGTTACGAGTTACTTTGCAGATTCAAAATATTCAAATTAATAAAACAAAATAGGCCCATTTAATAAATGGTGATGGATTATAATACATTCAACTACCCAGCAGTGTATAAAGTAGTTAAAATTAGATCAACTTTTACCAGCTGCAACATTATTATTAACTTTTAGTCTTTAGGTACATTTTGATGATAGTACTTAAGTAAAAGTTTGAATGCAGGACTTTTATTTGTAACATGAATATTTCTATGCTGTAGTATTACTAGTTTTACTTGAGTACACTGTAAAACCAGATAAGTTCATTTAACTAAAATTTTATTTTAAACACTTTTGAGTAAAACTAACTAAATTTAGTAAGTTAAAAGTAACATTCTTAATTAATTTTTTAAGTAAGAATAATGTTTTGGTTTTTATTTCTACTGTGAAAACAAAATACCACGTAAAAGGTTATTAATCAGGAATGCTTCTGTAACTTACAATGTTAATGTTAGTGCCACTTAAAGTTACCAGTAAATCGGCTTAATCGAGAATCTTTTTTAACCTAAAACATTTCGTTTGTGTTACTTGATTTTGATGTGATCAGTTTCAACAGTGTTTTTAGTTAAATTAACTTATTTGGTTTTACAGTGTAGCTACTTATTCCACCAATGGGTCTTTTAACCTCCAATATGAGCTGAATACACATACGTGCACCTGACAGCTGTTTTAGGCCAGACTTTAGACTAGACCGAGCTATAGCCTGATTAATTTGCTGTTTGAGGATGATTTTGACTGAGGTGATAAAAAACGTGGGCTGGGTTATACAGATAACAAGGAAATGAAACAGATTTTGCTCAGACCCTCCCTGACAAGCCTATAAGCACCCAATGAGGAGCCTGAGCTGCAGTTTGGGAACCTCTGACCCAGATAGTACATCGATTACACAAAATATCTTTCATACAGTATAAGAATACACTGATTGATGTTTCTTTCTTTTTTCAATTTTGTCTGCAGAGGAACAATTTGAATAAACTTCATTCCTGTTTGTTCCAGATTGACTACCATCACTTCTTACTGCATACAGCGAGCATGGCCATACTCACCACGAAGGGCCCAGACCTCTGTAGTTTTTCTGAGGGGTATACAATAAAAGTTAAACAAATTAATTACCTAAAAATGAACCCAAAACCCCTCTAGTAAGTAACCTCACTTCTTCTAAAACCCTGCATACCGCAATGATGGTGAGGTACACCTAAATACCAGTGTAACCCACATGTAAACACATAGTTTAATGCTAAGAAAACAGCACTAAAATTAAATCATAGCACATTTACCAATGCAAAGTTTTTACACCTGTTTTTAAGAAGACCTCAATTTAAAGGAAGTAGATCCTAGAGAAATCATATTCATAAAAATGTGCCTTTTTACTGGTGTGCTGGTGTCTAAAGCTCATATAAATAGTCTGGTTCCACAGACATTTAGGCAATTTTATGGCATGGCTCTAAAAGCAGAAAAAGAGATTTTTATACTTTTTTGTTGTTGTTGTTTTAACCACAAAAGCTATTTTTGTTCTGACACTTGACAGGTATTCAGTCAGTGACTCCTTTCGTTTCCACTGTGGTTTATTGTTGTTGTTGTTGTTGTTGTTGTTGTTGTTGTTGTTGCAAAACGCTACAAATCTGTTGTTTTAAACGAAATAATTGTTGAGTTGAGTGCTCATGTTATCCAATATGTTACTACACATGTCTCATATAAACACACACACACACACACAAATAAATATAGAGAGCCTTTTGTTTTCGCTTCTGAACAGCAAGTGCTGGTTTTATGAGAAGCAGCTTCAGCGCTTTCAGTGTTAAGAGTGACTTCACTTCCCAATTTAGAGAGCGAGAGAGAGAGAGAGAGAGAGAGAGAGAGAGAGAGAGAGAGAGAGAGAAGGGGGGGAGAGAAAAAAACTTGCCATCCGGTTATGGTCTGTGAGCAAAAAATTGTAACTGCAATGGTTTGCGACATAGAGCCAATGCACCCCTGCATGCATTGAAGTGAGGTTAGAAGGCTAAATTAGCTGTAACATTTACAAAAAAAAAACGACTAAATGACAAAGACTGCGAGGCTGCTGCAATGGACTGTACGATAAAGGTATGTGTTTGAATTGTTTTTTAAAACGCTGCTGCTGTTGGTGGTGAACATGACAGACGGACACCCACACCAGCCTCTGAGTCTGCTGAGTGAGAGAGTCAAGGCGGTGATGCGAGCTCCCCACTCTTTCCTTCTTGTACAAAATTTCCTCTTCCTTCCCGTTCGTGGTTGTATGTCGGCTCTATAATAACACAACTAACCACTACATCTTTACAGTCAGATAAAAACACTAATTGGAGGCCGGTTATGCGCGTAAAAGAGGATTTCCAAAACGCACGCGTTTCGGGTTTTTTTTCTTTCTTTTAATTGCTGCGTTTAATCGAGCTCATCCCGCACTTTCCACGGACCGCAAAAATAACCCACGGAGAGTGAAATTACTGAGCATCTAACGGGGGGGTTGACAAACTGCTTTCTTTCTCTTTTAACGAAGAATAAGTTAATGAAGGGATGCAGGACTTTATTGGTGCCCACAAGGCAGGTGTCCCTGAAAGCGCCATGGACCGACTTGGATACAGTGAGAGCCCCCTTTTAAAGAGCAGGAGGATCCATTTCCATCAGATGGCTGGTATTTCACATTTCACACTATTACAGATACACCTGTTTATCTCATCCGGAGACCACCGTGTAATTGTTTCATTGTCTTGGGCCTATCTCCGAAAGAAATGCAGAAATAAAGGCCTTCGTGTCAGGAATTCAAACCGAAAAGCACTTTTTGGTGAAAGTAACGCTGAAAACTGATTATTGCGCAACGAGAGAAGAAACAAAGTAGTTCTTATCTCATAATAGGCCACAAATATCCACATTCATGTTATCTTTTTACGAATGTACGTCACTGGCCTGTAGGCTTTTTAACTTTTTCTTTCTTCAGTAAAATATCCGTGCAACCCGCAGAATAATCCATTAAATGCGATGCAATATTATTACCGACGTTCCTAATTGGTTATAAACGGTTTATTATAACGAATAAATCGATATTTTAACCACAATTAACGTTTTATTCGGCCAATTGTAAAACCAGAAAAACACTTTAAAAAATGAGCCTCAGTAGATTGAGGAACTAAAGATTGCACTCCTTTATCTTTTGTTTCGTTCCTAAAACAAATATCTATATGAATGCTGATGTATTTTGGACGGTAAAGGTATTTTCGTTCTGACATATGAAGTTATCATTCAAGGGCCAGTGAAGGAGAACGAGGACATCCTGTAACGAAAGCTTCAATCATTAATATTGTCCGTTAAAATCTTTATTTTCGTATATTGATGGCTGTTCATATGCAGGCACACAAACAGGATTCTTCGTTGATAAAAAAGCAAAGTAATTATTATTTTTCAGATAATTATTCTCTTGTAGTCTGCCACAGCAGATTGTGCGTTTGAGGTTATTTTAAGTATAATTTATAGCTGCAAACGGGAGCACTTGTCAGGTGTCGTTATCTGAACTCAGCAGGCTTCCTGTCTCAAACCCCAGACTTTCCGCACACATTTCCGCTCCGTGGACTAGAAAAAATGTCGAAAAATCAACAAAGCTTCGCCAGAAAGCAACGAAGTGGACATATCGAGGCGTTGCATTGTTTTCAACCCCACATTGTCCGCTCACACAGGCTGGGAGGTGAAGGAGAACCGGACCATGCTCTGGCGTTTGCGGCCTGCAGAGGCCTGCGTTCTGCCAGCCTCCGAGATGTGAAAACCGCATCGTTGTTTGTGTGCAGAAAGCGCAGCTGCTCAGGCCTTTGCAAAATCAACTTGCCTTAACTTTTACTTCTGCTTTCTGCCACTTGCCTCAGAAATGGCGAACACACAGGGCTGTGCCTTTGCACAACTCGATCTCTGGCCTGTTGGTGGAGGCTACTCCTTGTTTTTGTGAGTGTAGTGTTTTTTAATACAAATCAATATTCTCCCATAGCCTCGAGTTGACACCCATTTTATATGTTTATTAAAATCTAAAGTATCTGGAGGTGATTTGTGGTAGACCCAAATATAAACAGGAGCTTAAAAACACCTTAAAATACTTTTAATGTCTAGAAACACACAGTGAAGGCGTGGAAAGAAAGAACAGGCACACACATCACTATAAGTATAAATCCTGTGTTAATGGTGCTGCTATTATTAGGTCAGATACGTTTAGTATCAGTCTCTAAAGTTTAAAATCTGTAAGATCACATCACATCTCCATGAGTCCAGTGCAAAGAAAAGGTTTTAGGATGGACCAAAACAGGATAAATAAATGAGGATTATTTATCAGGCTCGACTGTGGATGATGATAGTGGTGCCAAAGTATGTCACTAAATCAGAATTCATTGGTGTTTCCAAACATGAAGAGGTGATTAAGTAGTTCCTAAAACAGGTCATAAAACAACAAAACAGCAAAACAAAAAACCTGACTTTAAATATGAATCAGATAATTGGTGCTTGCAAGAAAGTATTTTTTAACCACATCCTTGGTTGCAGTTTTGTGACCCCTTTAAACGAAGCAGCCTCTTGCATGTATTTGTGGCCAGTTCAACCAAAGGGCCCCTTGTCCCCCCCCCACACACACTCCCCTTGTTTTATTTGAATAACCCAGGTCTAGAGATTAAAAATTATTCATGAATTCATAAGAAATAAAGCAAAGAAAGAAAATTTGGTGCAGCAGAAACATGTTTTTTTTATTTCTGCTTTCAAATGTTGAATATTATTTTATGATTATATCTCTTAAATTTATCCTGCGGCCGCTGGTTTTAGGTCACCAGTAGAGCTGAAACGGTTAGTTGATCGATCGATTAGTCAGTCGAAAAGATTGGCAGATGAATCGATTATGAAAATAATCTTTAGTTGCAGCCAATGGTTGGAGCCCTAGTTATCAGATGTGTTTCCCAAAGTAGGCTTCAACCTGGAAATACTGAATGTTTAATTACTGATGAACTGATTGAGTCACTCAGGAGTTTTCCAGAGTTTTATTCCATTTATATTGTTAAAATTAAAGAGTTCCTGGTCATTAAAACAGGACCAACACCCACTATATCTGATTCATAACATGATTATGACCTAATAGCTCCCTCAGGCTGTGTTGCAATATTCCTTTTTGATATTATCCCAAAAAATAAAAAGATAGAAAATTAGGTACATCTTAGGTAAGGGAAACATGGTGTTGTAGTTAGGTTTAGCCTCTTCCTGCAGTTAAACCGTTAATCAAAAATGTTATTTCATAAAAAGAAGTATGAACCCCAATGTCGTAAACAGCCTGTGATCACGCTCTAAGCTCGTAGTTTGGGCAAGACTGCATGATGCAACCTGCAAAGCTGCTGACTTCAAGCCATGTCAAAAGTTTCCATGCAGGACTTCATGTTTGTGCTCTCACACAGCAAGTGAAAAGTGTTTACTATCAAACTGTGAACACAACCGGTGTAAAGTTTAGGACATCGTGGCACACGGCAGCATCAACCCCAAGAAGGTCATGTTTTTTTTTAAAGTTGTTTTGTGTCACTGAGCAACAGGCTAAAACTCAACAGGAAGTCAGTTGTGGCATTAGCGGTCAGGCCACATTTTGGTATATTTGTATCAGTGTGCAGAGGAGAGAGAGAAAGAGAGGGAGAGAGCGCAGGGGGAAGATAAAGAAAGAGCGGGAGTGTGAGTTTGTGGTTGTGAAAGCATGAGCTTCTCACTGCATGTACTGTGCTGGAAACTCAATGTGATGAGCGGCTTCAAGTCACGATAATATCAAGAGTTTGAGTGTTGAGCACCAAAAAACATTAAAAAAGTCATCTTTAACCAACGGCATACAACTTTTTACTATCATGTCTTCTCATGAGAATTTGCTGTCAGCGGCCTTTTGGCCAACTGTTTCACTTCTGCACAGAGAAAAGGGCCTCTGAAGTTACTTAGTGTGTGAGAGGAAGACTGGGGGAAAGAGGACAACGCAACAGAAGTAAAACAAAGCAATCAGCTGAAGAGGAAAACAGGAGTGTGGTCAAAAGAAAGCTGAGCAGGACAATATGGAGGCCTGGTCTGTCACATGCAACACTACATGTATTTTTACATTTTTTAAAATATATTTTAGCTTCCAGGTAGCATGGAACAATTATTAAATGTCACACCTACTTTATTTACAAGATAATATTTTTTATTTATTTTATCAGCTGTAGAGAGACAGGAAAGTGGGGAGAGAAAGAGAGGGGGATGACATGAAGCAAAATAGGTCAGAATCAAACCCGGGCCACTGCGGTAATGTCACTTGAGTCAGCATTAGTAGCGGCTGCAAGTTTGATAATGACCAAAATCTGGTGGTGGGAGTTCTGGAGCGTCAACATTTATAAAGATGGACGACATGACAGCGCTCCAAAAGTGAAGCCAAAACATCTCAATCGCCCTCTGGTGGCTGACTGCAGTACAGATCATAAAGTCGTTGGCTCCATGTTAGCAGATGGGACATGGGCCATCTAAAATAATCAAAGTACACGTCAAATAAATGTTTCCCATTGATGGTTTTTAGATAATTTACTGGAATTTTAGATAGATCCTATCACGCTGACGTATGTTAAAATTAAATTAAGTAGTTATTTGAAGCTATGAAAAGGTGTTTCACGGGGCAGGATCTCGATACCTCGGTGCCAGCTACAATCACTACTGCGCAGACTCTGGCCCCCGAATGGCGAAATATTATCTGGGATATTTTGGCTTAATTGTTTTTACAGGGGGAGGAAATGAAGACGCAGCGTTTAGCTTTTATATGTTGATGGTCTGGAGGCACAATACCACTGTCCAACTGACCTGTCGGCGAACGAGTTGCGTTCTGGGTAATGTAGGTGCCAGATTTTAAAAAGTAAGAAGAATGCATGGATTAAAAAAGACCATATCTCTAGCAATGTTATAAGAGTACAATACAAATTGTATTTACATTCTATATATGTTTTTATCAATCTTTAAATCTTGACCAACTAGTACCAGGTAATATTTGTTTCATGTGAAATCAAACAATGTGGATTTTTGTAAACCTTTAGCCTGTGCTTGCTGAAAAAAAGGGCGTATTCATTACACAGCAGCAAATGCTCCATGCAGCAGCAACAGCAGCCGCAGGTTGCTGAAATCCCACACACCGACTTCTGTATCAGTTTGTCTGCAGCCTCCAGGAAATGCCACACTGTGTGCCATGCATTAAGATGCTGTGTACAATACCCAGGCAACAATTGAGCTATAAAAAACACACACACAGGCAAAACAAAAAGAAGAAAAACACAATGAGAAGGGCGGCACTTCAATCAAGCCTATACTCTTCTTGCTGTCCAATGAACCCGACTGCCTCTCCTCCCTTGACCACAGGCCTTTGGGGTTGTTTTCCAACTTTAAAATGACCCACATTTTTACACTATGCCCCCCTCCTCCACCATTTCCTCTCCCTTGGCCTGTGCCAAAAGGTTCCTCTGCACATGGCGGCCAGGTTTCCTGTAGGCCACTGAAAAAGCACGGCACTGACGTACAAGGCCCAAAGACAATGCTCAACTCCTCTAAACAAACACGCACTTGCACTCACTTAGACTGCCGTGGTCGCATCACACATGCACACACTTAATTTGAGCAGCAGACAGAACAACTAGTCCAGTGTTTGCCCTCCCAAGTGCGTGGGATGAATGTGCCATCTTGAGGCCTCGCTGTAGGTGCTGAACACAGGAAGACGGACTTAAATCTCGATTAAACTCCACCTTGAGCTAACACCCCTCCCCCCCCCCGCAACCCCAATCCTAACGACAAAATAAAACTGTGGTTAAGGTTACTGATGTTTTCTAAGATTAGACACCCTCAAGACTGCCTGTAAAGTGTTTATGAACAGTTTACTTGTCATTTCACTGCAGAGTATTTAGTATAGTAGTATCTCTCTGTTTGTTTAAACTTACTCTTAAACTTTTAATCAATCACAGGGAAATACTACAGGATGTTAAGCACCTCAGTAGAGCATAAAGAAAGCATGTGGCAGTTTGAATCTTGACAGAGGTAGGAAGCATTGCTTAAAAGAAGTCAGTGCATCCAACAACAATTACATCCATCAAACAAACATTAATAGCCACATAACTTGGAACAGCCAATCCTACTAAGTATTATTCGATCTTTAATGGATCTTTTTAACAATTTCAAGCCAATTATGTGTTTTGGTGATTCATTCTGTAGCAAAATGTTTAGGTTTTTGCTGTTGCAGATATGATATAGGACAGGAGTCAGCAACCTTTACTTTTAAAAGAGTAAAACAACAACACATCTGTTTGGAGCTGGAAAACCTATTTGAGCCTTAATTAGAATGCTATAGCCATCTTAACAGGTATCAGTAAGCCAGCAGCTTTGGTGATAAAAACAAACAAATCTAGTCTAGCTCGGGGGACTCAAGACTAGTAACCACTACTATTAAGGTTCAGCAAATAGGCGCCAGGTCAGGACGTAACATGTAACACACATTTCAGATGATGAAAAGTAAAAACTTTTGGCGTGTAATGGCTGCACATTTTTACAATTGGAAAATGTAAGAATCACTTCAGGCCTAAAACAATAACAAATAAAAGTGTTAAAAAAATAAACCTTATTCATTTCCATAAACATTTTTGTCAAGGCGTGCGCTCCAGAGCCACAGGTTGCCTGATACTGATATAGGAGATATGATTTCCTGTAATTACTTTTGGTATATCTGCAAACTGTGGTTATTAATTCTGATAAAATTTACCTTCTCAACTAAGAGTGGACATTAAAAATGGAAATCTGGTTACGTTAGTGGCCCTGCAATAAAAAACATTTTCATTTCAGTTCAATACTGTACTCTTTAAAGCCTTTTTGCACTTTTATTGTTACTCCTACAGCTCTGAGGTTTTGCTTCTGTTCAGTGGAGTATCTTATGTGGAATAAACTGAGTCTGTATGTGGAAAAAGACAGTTTCCACAGGTTGTGACCAGGCACATTAATGGCAGACACTGACCGCTGTGACTCTGTTGAACAGGAAGCGCTGTCCGTGGTGAGTGAGGATCAGCCCATATTCGAGCCGACCTACACCGCAGCCCCGGCCATGCACATGAAGACTGAGATGACGTCACCCGGTGCGTTTAGCCAGGCCTCCAAGCCGAGTCCCGAGGCCACTGAGCCAGAGTGGGTGGGGTCAGCGGCGCAAAATCCTGGGAAAAGAGCAGAGCACGTCAATGGAACCAGGTGAGTCAGGACTGGCCGAGGCCACAGGGGAGCACAGGTTCTCGGATAATCTGACTGTAGCTCTGTTACAATCAATGTCAACAATCTGGGTTTTTCCAGACCCTAAAATGTTTCTTGTTCACTTACCAAATGTAATCCTGTTTACCAGCACTGACCACTGAAAATATTTAAATCCCAAATATGGTAATTTTGGTGTTTAACTTAAGGATCAGTATTTCCATTTTCTGTTAATTTAGACTTTTATTTTTTCAGGGGGAAATATTTTTATGTCACTGTTTTTATATGACAGCTGTAGTTACTAGTAATATTTTCCACACTACATTCAACTATCTGCACCTATTTTTTTAACAAGGCTAAGTTTGAACTTATTCAGTTTGTGTGACCGGTTTCAGACATTTTCCCTGGAATCGTGTTGCTACAAAAGAGTTTGGGTGTAAATTTATCTCCTCTCAGCTTAAGATATAAGCAAACACTGCAAGAGGAAATAAACTTGCACAGAGCCAAAACTCTATCGTCTATTGCCAGAGATTAACAGCCACAGTCAACATCTCATTATTTGAAATGATAGCAGGACTTAGAGCTAAATAAAATGAAGCATGCTGACACTGAATAACACTTACAAGCTTTGTAAAATATTTTAGTGATCTATTTACCCCTCTACACTTTTTTAGCCTTGACCTAACGCTTTCTCTTCCTCTAGCCGCGAGTCCCCTGTGGACTGCAGTGTCACCAAGCGCTCCAGACACATGAGCAGTGACGGGGCCCCAATGTCATACCCGGCCTCATTCCCGGAGCCTCGTGTCAGCCCCCAGACGGCCACTCCACCCAGCAGCGCCACAGAGGAGAAGAGGGTCATCGTGCCGGCAGGTGAGCTGAGTCACTCAATCATCCTCTATCCTCGCACAAGACCGTCATAAGACCGTTTCCCAAGAGCTGGCACACACTTGCCTTGTGCAATATGAATAACCGAATCAGAGATGGGCACAGTGTATGTTTGTGCATCTAACCCTTCTTCCCCAAACTACTACTACCAACTACTATTCTCCAGTGAAACATGTAAACAAAAGTAAACAAAAACAGGTTTCTGGTTGCGTAATTGAGCATGATATAAGAGTTAGAAGTGAACGCTATTTAAAAAGTGTGAAGTCTGAAGTGTAAATTTAACTTTGACGTTAACAAGGAAGAGAGCCGATATAGATGTGTGATAAGCTGGTGTGGACTTTTTAATTTTGTATCATCCATCTTCCTGTAGCTACATCTGAAATCACACTATTGTTAGAGGGTGTTTTTTCAGGCTTTGAAAAGAGTTTTCATGAGCATATCTAGACATTGAGATATTACATGAACATGGCCACTGTAGTTTATTTTGACTCAATCCCACACACACTGTACTGCTGCTGTAAATACTCACTAATGTTTATTATCAAATCATTATAATGATTATAATAGTCCCCAACAAATGCACTGTTAATTATTAGAGTAACTGTTAAAGACTACAATGTACAGCTGTTTTGGGGGAGTTATAAAGCCTTTTTAAAACATGAAACAATACATTTCTACCAAGAGACCGGATAGGGAGGCCAGAGTATTGAAGTATTGCGGGACTGCTGGTTTTGGTCTTCTCTTGGGGTTTGTTGACAGTATGAAATGTATGGAATAACAACAGCCATATCCTTCAGTTGAACATGAACCTGACAAAACAAACAGGAAGGATGTGGCATTGCTTTATAGCCATTTCAGGTAAAGATTTGTCACAAATTACCCAACAGTTCAAGTGTTGTCAAAGTTATTAATCTTTCATTTTAGAAGTAGTTAAGTAGTGGAGTGGAGTAAAGACAGTGATGTGATGTTTCATTATAAAACAAGTAGTAATATCTACCACATTTAGTCCATTTCATCCTTGCTATGAGTCAATGATCCAACCTGATGACGTACTTTACATTCTCGGTCTTGCACAGTTCCTATACTGTTATCATCCTTTGCAACTCATAACATAAGCAGATCAGAGCAGTGTGTTCGTGGGCACGTTTCAGTGAGTCAAACTTCGGAGCAATCACACTTCAGACGGTGATCCAGAGACGTGCTGTGGACCATTTGAAATCAAGCGCTGTGCATGTGACGAGATCCGTCAATGAGTCATCAGCACCAAGGCATTCTGCTTCATAATACACGGATGTTGCATCACAGTAGCATGTGTTAACCAAGGACAATCAGGACCTGAGGGTGTGGCAATTAAAGCTCATGCCTAATATTACGGGCAATTCACAGTCATTGTTTGCTACTGGAAGTGAGCTTGCCTTCCTGAATCAGACATATTTTCGTACTTTTCCAACATACTGAGAATTTAAAATTTCAACCTGTTATTAAAAGTGCACAAGTATGAACAATTCTTAGGGTGAGACACAACTACTGAAAACAAGATTTAAAAAGTACAATGCCTATAACTAAGTAAGTTATAAGTAAAATGAGTTTTCTTCTTCTTTTCTTCATAATAGATTAATTATAATACAGTAATTTAAAAGGTGTAGAAATGTAAAAATATTCAATATCAACCCTGTCTCCTAGAAATTCTTATTATGTATACACTACTAATAGGATCTTTCCCTTATGAGTTGCCTTAACAAAAATGCTTTTGAAATGTACATATATTGTATTGCAAGCAAAGAAAATGTAAAAATTGTATAGAAAACAGTACGTTTCTAACCAAACATATTGGTTAGAAACAGCATTGATAAAAGAATGTATCTACAGATGCAGCCACATAGAATTGCTGGCTGGTTCATGACAGGCCCTTGATTATCTGAATGTATATATCCGGGGCTGGCAATACTTTAGTGGTTGGTACGGTCTGATAAAGGATAGTGGTTTACAAACTGCAGTCCGAGTTGGTTATAGGGGGTCCCCAGCAAAAGGACAATTAGAATATTTTAACTTTTATCACATTTTTTTGGAAGTTGGAGCAAAGGAAGGAATAGCATTGGCCATTTTTATTGATAGTTTGACCACTGATTAACCATCAGGACTGTAATCTTGAAACCTAAAAATAAAAACAAATACTCAACATCTTCTCAAATTCGGGGTCTGTGGTCTAATGTCAATCTATTGTCAGGGTCGTTGACATGTAAAAAGTTTGGGAACCCCTGATATAGGATATTAAATGTATACTCAGTTATTTATTTGCAGACATGGGATGTACAATATGTTACTGCAAACAGCTTCTTGCAAATGCACTATGAAAAATGCTTAATTAACGACGAAAGCAGTAATGAAACAAGACGGTTAACTGCTCTTTCAAACCAGGGTACCTGCACATTTTTAAAATGACTTTTAATGATTTTTAAGACCTAGACAAAGTAAATTTAATACCCTTTCCACAGCAGAACAAAAGCATATTCAGGCTAGACGATAGCTAGTTTCCTCCATACAGCAAACAAATGCAAAACCACATATAAAAAATATATATATTATAAGATGTATATCAAAATACAATCAAAATGTTTAATGCGTTGACATGAAACAAGAACTGTCTAAAACTAAACTCATTATTTCAGCTTTTAATTGAAATTGCCTTGAAATCTTTAGTTTGTTAAACAGTAATACATTATAATATTATTGCCCAGTTCTGGTGCACAGAAACACTGACAAGGTTGTCAAAACGACCACAAAAAACAAATATCACATTTTCCCTAAAGACCCCTGGGGCCGTCTCCAGCTTAGCATTATTGGTAATTATTTGTTTACTTCCTGAATCCTGCAACCTTCAGGGAAATCAAAAAGAGCAGGTGGTGGCCTGTGGAGAACTGGGCCCAACACACAGTAAGTTTCATTAAAATGAGTAAAACTAGAACAGCAACTTAAAATCATGTGCTTCAAAATGTAAGGCTGAAGACTTTTTAGACATTTTATGGTCTTAAATTTCCATAGTGCCACAGTTCAACAAACAAGGCAGTTTCAGTCTTTAAAGATGTTTTTAAAGCTACAAATATGACCAGCACAGGTATCTGAACTGGTAGCCATGTTTGGAGTTTGACTAAACAGGCATCTGTTTTCACAGAGTGGTTATTTGCAACCCACCACCCACCACCCAATCCGTATCAAGTATCACAACTGGTACTTTGCTATCTAACTAGTTTCCGGTGTTACTCAGCACTTTGTTCTACAAACAAATCATGTTTTCCCCAACACTCTTCAGACTGTTTCTGTATGAGACACCTCCTGCCATCCTCTAGTCTTTTTTCTTCTTTTAAGAGCATTTGTATCAAAGAAACTGAAACCCAACGAACAGGATCCTTCACCATGTAAAAGACTTGATTATATGTCCAAACACTAGAAAGCTTTCACAAGTTGTATCACAGCCAGCCACACCCAGTGTATAAAGACCATCCAGAATGTATGAATATACAAATGTTTTAACTGCAGGACACAAGATGTCTTGTACTTGACTGAAAAGTCCATTCTCAGTCAATGTTTCCAGTTGCATAATGGATCATGATCTGCTTCAAAAATTAACTTTGTACACATCTTGAACTGAGATTTAAGGTGAGCACAGAGAAACTTTCCCCCTTCAGAAGATGAATCTGATCAATCTCTGCACATACATCATTCTGCGCAGTGAAGGTCAGACATTAAAGTGAAGTAACAATAAGCAGAACAGATTTTTTAAGTGGAGGAGGGACAAATATTTGCAGTTTGAAGAGTTATTGATGATTTCTGTATGACTCATCTTCCTGTAACTTCTACAACTTCCTGTTTATGACCTTTTGAAAGCATCTATTTTAAGCCCGGATCGCATATGCAAACTGTAAGGCAGCTAAAATATTATTTAACCCTATAAAACACAGTCCTCCAAACAAAGGGAGACACCATTTTAGAAATGAGTATCAAGAGTCTTTTTTTCCCCCAATTATTTCTCTCCTCAATTAACAAACATAATCAAAGTACAGACAAATAAGGGTAAGACAGAAAAGTAATAGTAGCATCTAAAGTGAAATAAAATAGAAGATGATTGGGAATCAAAAAACAAACAAACAAACATCTGAACAAAGGAAAAAACACAATAAATAAGAAATAAAAGAATTATGGTAATTTTCAACGATGTGCATGTCTCTTTTCTAAATAAAATCAAAGCACATTAAGCCGGATTGGGTGGACTCCCAGAAGTCCATCAGAGATTCCCATGTTCTCAGAAAGATACCCCCCTTATTTTATATACTTTTTAAGTATAAGTGCGCTGTTCCAGTTGTAGTGTTTCCTTCAGAATTTGTTTGAACAAATTAAACTTTGCCTGGTCCAGTTGAGCAACATGCACTTCCTTGCTATATATGATATTATGCCAATCCTCTATGCAGACATGGATCTGGAGTCTTTTTTGATCATTTCTGCGCATCTCTCCTCTCTCCACCCTCCACCCTATTGATGACAGACCCTGAGGTGTGGACACAGGACCATGTGCGGCAGTGGCTGGACTGGGCCATCAAGGAGTACGTCCTGGAGGAGGTGGACGTCATGCTTTTCCAAGCGCTGGATGGCAAGGCCCTGTGCAAGATGACCAAGGAGGACATGATGCGTCTCACGTCGGCGTACAACGCAGACATCCTGCTCTCACACCTCAGTTACCTCCGACAGAGTAAGGCTCGCCTCGTGTCTCACATATCTGTCACTCTTCAGCTGATAACATCGTTTGGTTTCGACAATGTAAAAGCTTTTCATTGTTCTGTAGTATTTTGAGTATTTTACCTGCATGTAAGCAGGATCAGAAATAAAATAAGACAAGACAATCTGGAAACTTGAAGCGCTGAATGATTCAAGAATTAACTGACTAGTGGATGGATATAAAATTCTAAACATTTTTGATAATAAATTACTAAAAGAGTTAGCTGATTAAGTAAAAAAGCTTTTCAAATTACTGCTTTTTCTCTTTTTTTCACTGTAAAATTGTATGTTTTGGGATTTTGACATCTCGGAAATTGTGATGGGCATTTTCACTACTTTTTGAAATTTTACACAGTTGACTATTAATCTATGACTCCGAAAAATAACTGATTGTTTGTTTGAATTTGTTATTAATTTTGTTGTATTTTTAGAAATCACTTTTCCATCACACATTTTAATGTCCACTATCCTTTATTTTTAAAATAATAGACTTTATATATAATAGAATTACACTTTGTACTAATGAGGTCCTCGTTATGTTTTTTGTTGAGCGTGGAAGAACATGTCGGTTTAGGCTGAAGTTTGCCATGTTATTAACCGAATTTACTGTCTTCAGTAGGTGTTGCAACCACTGTCCCTATTGGCTAAAGCAGGTTTTGGCATACAATATGTCGTCATGATTTCTGATACTAGCAGTGTTACATCAGTTTGTTGTTTCTTAATTTTTTTAACGTGGCAGCAACAGTTTAGCATCTGCAAATCACTGTTAGAAATTCAGCTAAACAAGACAGCCACCATGTCCTAGTCTGGTTTCAAGGTAACATTACACCATAGAAAGGGTGGACAAAATGACAGCAACATCTTACAGTACTACGCGATCCAGTAACTACAGCAACACCATAAACTGTCCTCAACAGGGTCAAATCAACATCTAATATCTTTGATGTGTATACTTGATTTCAAAATACAATTCAGGACACACAAATTCTACCCTGGTATATCCTATTTATGTTGCACCTATTTTGAGAAAATGTAATATTGACTTTTTTTTTGTCTTTGCTACAGGTAGCCCTACGTTCTCATACTCCACAACTCCCACCAACAACACACCACCACAACAACCCAGACTACAGGTGAAAGCAGGTGAGATCATCCACTCTCCTTTCCGTTTGCATGTCCACCAGTGCATGAAAGTATGTATTTCAGCCTGTGTGTGTGTGTTAAAAAAAAAGAAAAAAAGAGTGAAAACAACAATTTCCCATTGGGGATTAATAAAGTATATCTTCTTCTTCTTTCATCACCAATTTCACATCCATACTGGATACAAAGGAACATCAGTATTGGTTCCATTTCTGTTTGGCTTTGTAGTTACAACCTGATCAATAATTTGATTTGATTAAGATACATCAGATTTTAGACTTTTTAATACCCCACAGACACCCTGGAAATGGTGGTTATGTAATTAACCTTAGCCATGTTGTGGGTTTGCATACAACATCCTGCTACGCAGCTAACTTGCAGAAAGGAGGAGGCGGTTTACTAGAGCTAGCACATCTCCTCCAGACTTCACAACTCTCCTGCTACTATAGCCAACATCACAACATCATCTTGGATAACTAGAAAGTAAGCTGAATGTCCGTAGGGCAGGTCATTTAACATTACCTGGCACACAAATTCTGGCTAGAATAAGTTAGTGCGTTTGGTCCAATCCACTTTGTTTGTTTCCCATTTAAAGAGCCAGCGCTGGGTACAACCAAACACAGAGCAGAAAGCTAGTGGACTGTGAGCAGATATTCTTTAGTGTATTGGATAAGTTAGAACAGTATCTATGTACCTCTGCACTGTGGAGTGCCTGTATCGTTCCTTGAGATGTAACAGATGAAGGCTGTGACTGATGACATGCTGCGTACTTCAAAAGGGTGGAAGTGGCTATGGTGATTGACTAATGGCACGCTTTATCATCAATTGATATGATAGGCTATTTATGAGCCATGGCGTATTTGTTGTGTGCTTTCATGACAGTTTACATTTAATGTATCGAAGTGAAACCATGGATATTCTACTGAACATTCTTATTGCTATTGATGTGTCTATTGCTGATACAACTGCTGTTTTCTGGAGCACAAATACTTTTACTTTTGATGCATTAAGTACTCAATAATACAATATATTTTCTATAAATTTATTTTTCTGAAAGACACACTTTTCTTTCAGTATTTCATGATTAACTGCCACCATTTCCCATTTGTCATATTGTCCAGATGTCCAGAGTGTTTATAGGTGTAAATCAAAGCTCAGAATTCAGGATCACATTTTCAACCCCATCAGAAAAGACTAAACTACTTGAATGGTTTAGGGATTTAAAAATAATGCGTTGAGTTTCAGAACTGTGTTACATAGTTTCAAAAGTCTAAAAAGGTTCCTTGGCACAACACTGGCCTCAGTTGACAAAACTTTGACGAGTCCAAAAGTCAACAGCCAGTTTCAGACAGGAAGCAGCTGCACCGGTGCAGGAAATGGGGGGTATGGGTCCTGCTCCTGGGAGACAATTCACAATCTTGTGGCGACAGGGGTGGCCTGGACAAAAGAACGCTCGCCCAAGAAACTGTGGGTCATCTTCAGACCTCCAAACTCTTATTGTCTTTGTCTCAATTTACTGACTTCCTTCTTACTATGGCTGAACTGTCCACTTCAAAGGCTTTTTATGCCACGTGCCTGTCAACGTCTAGTCTCATCCTTGTTTTTTTTTCGTGTGCAGAGAGCAATTTTGATGAGATCAGCCGCAGGAACAGCTGGCCGACAAACACCATGGCTCCAGTGCCAAAAGGTATGACAACCAAACTGAGGATGATATGAAACCAGTGATCATGATGAATTTTTCATCTATGAACAACTACTAGTTTTGGACAGAAATTGACTCTTTGGAAATAAAAAAAAAAAACCAGACCACATATGAGTATCAAACAATAATTTTCTTTTTGATTTGAAGGTCCCTCCATGGAGCACCAACACAACACAAGAGTTACCGAGCCTGCTCCAAGAATTGTTCAAGGTATGAATATTTTTTATAACACACAGAGCTTTAAGGAATGGATTGCTCAAAGCTTAGGAACTTTCTTTGAAATTACACATTAATTTCTCTACAAAACTTCAAGGCAATCCATCCAATAGTTGTTACAGATATTTCAGTTTGAACCAAAGTGGTGGCCCGACTGGCTGACTCGCCATCCTTAAAGTCTTGCCAATAGCATGGCTAAAAAAAATGCACAATAGATCTTTGAATATTTCTGACAGGTCGACTGTTTCTTCATCTGGCTGATATGGCTGTCAATGAGCACAACTCACAAAATTAAGGCTCAAAAGACATAACATCTGCAAATAAAATATGTAAATATGCTTTTTCTTCTTTACAGACCCATATCAGACATTAGGGCCCATAAGCAGTCGACTAGCCAACCCAGGTAAGCATCCAAACCACCCCAAGAAAACCAACAAAGACACAAATGAGGCCTTTACACTGTCTGCTTTGGTAACATGATGGAAAAGCAAGCAAGGGCATGCACTTACTTTCCAAAATGGAGTAATCATCAAGCAACACCTGTTGTGTCAGCAGAATTGCATCACGCTTACACTGAGACGAAATCTGGCTTCCCTATCACCAAAATGACTGTTTGCCCTGCTGTTTCCTCACAGAAGGCCAAGCCCTCAGCTCATCCAAGAACCGAACAGGCAAACAAAGTCCATACAAGCTGCCTGACCCCAGCGCTCACAGGCCTGTGGGTAGGTTTCTGCCCCGATGTCTATCACTTCCTCCAAGCCACACAGTGAAAAGGTCACATTTGGTGGAAAAAAATAAGCTGAATGAGATGTTAGATGTGTGTCATAATACTACAAGGAAAATCATGTCCACAACAAAACTCCTAAGTACTAAAATGTAATACTGATGCTAATTTTAAAGGCTACGTGGTACTCATGGCTTGACATTTACAAACAGATCATTACATCCCCCCCCAAAAGTGAAAGAATAAAGATGCTTAGACACAAATGTTTCACACAGCTACTGCTGATAATTCTGTGCATTTTCTGTTTTTGTTTGTGTGACCAACCAAGTTATTGCTCAGTTCCTTAACTCCTCCTCTTCCTTTCTCCTCCCAGGTTCGGGGCAGATCCAGCTGTGGCAGTTCCTGCTTGAGCTGTTGTCTGACAGCAACAATGCCAACATTATCACCTGGGAGGGCACCAACGGCGAGTTCAAGATGACCGACCCGGACGAGGTGGCCAAGCGCTGGGGTGAGCGCAAGAGCAAGCCCAACATGAACTACGACAAGTTGAGCCGCGCTCTGCGCTACTACTATGACAAGAACATCATGACAAAGGTGCACGGCAAGCGCTACGCCTACAAATTTGACTTCCAAGGCATCTCACAGGCACACCAGAATCACTCAGCGGAAGGGGGGATTGTTAAGTACCAGACTGAGATGTCTTACGGCCAGGCCTACCACAGCCACCAGCCCAAAATGAACTTCATGGGTGGTCATCCTGCACCCATGCCCGTGTCCCCAGGCAACTATTTCAGCCCTCCATCCACGTACTGGAACTCCCCCAACAGCCCCATCTATCCTGGGTCAGCCATGACGAGACATCCCGGCACTCACTCCCACCTGAGCTCGTACTACTGAGGACGATGCATTTCACACCTGAATGGATAACACGGGAGAGGAACCCAAATGTGCTAGAAAACACATGCACACTCCATCCAGGATGCACCTGAGCTGAACCCTGTCTGAAATGAAGGTGATATGACGCTACGGTCTGTTTTCATAAGGGCATTATGATGTTGTCTGTTGTCACATTCCTTCAAAAAAAATGGACAATGTGTGAGGGGAAATTAACTCTGTGATGAATGGAAAGGATTGGTATTATACTCTTCCCAAGATTTTCATAAGAATACTGATGACAAAATGTATTAACGGTTATTCAGATGTTATGAAACCAAGTTTATTTTGTAAGTACTTTGTTTGATAGTACCTTTTGTAAAGACCATACTCAAGACCAGGCTCACCATAGCATTTACTGTTTTGAGTAGGTTAACAGTTTTGTAACTGTTCATTTTACTTCATAGGTCAAAACTGCAGTTATCACATTCAATGACCTGACATTTGTAAAACAGAAATTGTACAGAATGACTGTCATGTAGCAATATAACATTTACTCAAGGTGTAAAGCTAATAAATGATGCTTGTATCTGAAAATGGACTCCTGTAAGTTTTTTTTTTTTTTTTTTAACAGATTCTGTATAGAAACTTGGCTTTATGAGGTTTTTGTGTCTTCTTGTCAATGGACGCATTACTTAACTCTGTTAAAGGAATAGTTTGATTAAGGCGAAGAAGTCTGATACCACTCTCAATATGTATGCTAAGCTAACCAGTTGTTGGCTGTAGCTAAAGGCTAAAACCAGGGGAAACAGCTATCCTGATTGTACAAAGTTTTATCAAATCTACCTACCAGCACCTCTAAAGCTCACTAATTAAAACATATCTTGTTTAATTCACATAGGATATTAATTTATGCTAAGTTAAGCTGTAGCCTAATATTTAACAGGCAACTCTGAGAGGGAATTTTCTCATCTAACTCTCAATAAAGTAAATGAGCTTACTTTATATATATATATATAAAAAAAAAAAAGATTCTTAAAGATTGTTCCTTTAAAAGGGATGTTTCGATATAGACTTCGTGTTTCAAGAGATAAAAATCAATTCAGCTATGCAGTGTGTAATAACAGAAAACATCTGCAGAAAAATATTCACAATGATTCTCTTGATTATTGCTTGTAAGGAGTCCTGTAATGATCCACCCGGATAGAACTTATTACTGGACAAATTTAGCTTTATTTGTCAAATTCAAAGATATCTTCAAATATTGTTCGAGGTTCTGTGACCTTCTCCTCCTCCACAACAGCAGAGCCCTTCACCTGCCTCTCCTCACCTTCCTCCTCAACCCATGTCAGTCCTCCAGCTCCAAACAGCCACTCCAGCTCCTTCACCGGGCTCGCCGTCTTACCCACTGGAGTCACTGCTGTCTCTCCAAGTTGTAAAGTCGTCCTCCTTTCGGTCACCTTTCTGGTAGTCTTTGGCTGTTGTGCTGCTGCTATTGTTGTTGTTATTGTTGTTGTGACCTTTTCCTCCTCCTCCCCCACAACAGCAGAGCCCTTCCCCTGCTTCTCATCACCTACCACTTCAACCCATGTCAGTCCTCCAGCTCCAAACGGCCACTCCAACTCCTTCACCGGGCTCGCCTTCTTCACGTCAAAAGTCCTCCTCCTTTTGGTCACCTCTCTGGTAGTCTCTGGTTGTGGTGCTGCTGCTGCTGCTATTGTTGTTGTTCTGGTGGTGGAAACCATCTTCCTCTTTGGGGTTGTGGTAGGTTTCACTTTAGGCTCTATTGTCCACGACCTGCTGCTGATTATTTTGGTCACTAGAAAATGATACATTTCTGATTTTAGAATATATAATAATAATATATAATATAACAACAACAAAAAAAATCAAACTATATATAAATTCCTAATAACTCCCTAAACATTACTGCACAAGGAGTGAATGCTGCATTCATTGGGGACTATTTATGGTTACGAATTGATACTGCCTTTGGTGCACTAGTGGGTATTTACAGCAACGGTATGGCGTATGTGGGATTGAGTCACAATGGCCATGAAATGAAGGGACATGTTACTCATTTATGTGTCTGTAATCATATTTGGACAACATGTGGAAAAATAAGATACATCAGCCTGTAACAACACAGACAAAACTTGTTGGTAGAATTAAGTCATTTTTGGTTTTGTTGACAATATAGAATTTGTACAGCTTTATCCTTTAATGGTAATAGGATGTGTTTTATTGTGGAAAATTAGGGAAGCAAAGACCCACCTGTGGACACAGAAGAGCTGCAGTTGGAGTCACAGCAGGTGCACACCGAGTCTGATCCATACAGCTCAACCCATCTGAGAAAAAACATTGATGAAGACGTGTTCCCTTTTGTGTCAAGAATTATGCAGCACTTTTTAACTTCTCATTCTTCAATTTCTTTAAGAAAAAAACCCAACAACTAGCCTTCTTGCTTTTGTGTCGTAGTTACAGGACTTCGCTGTAGTTGTTGGGGCAGAACCGCCCACAGACAAGCTGCAGTGCATGTAGAGCTGCTACAGGAGAGCAAATCACAAGATTTCCCATCAGTCTTTGAGCACGGTATTCAAATAGAAAGCAGATTTGTAGCAAAGAAATTAGCAGAGCCTCCAGAGAAACAATATATTGAAAACACAGTGAAAAAGTTAACAATTCTTCTTGGGTAATAACTTAAAAACTCACCTGGCCTGTCATTCCTTTAAACAAGAAGGCATCCACAGAGAATCTCACAGAAGTGGTTCTGTATGGGATGAATCTGGAGCGACTGTCCTTGCTTTCAACCATACACCTGTACCAGAGGGAGAGAAAACCTGAGCATAACATGTGCTATTCTTTTCATACATATTGCATAAACAGTGCATCTCAAGATCTCCAGTTTGTGTGAGTGAGGTGTTCATTACCCAAAGTTGTTTATGACTGGAAACTGAGGCGTGGAGGTATGGGACATATTGGGTGTCGCGTAACACAAGTGGACGTACAGTCTTTTGTCTTGGGACATGGAGGGGGCCTCTGCCTCAAAGTACATGGGGTTCCCTAAAACATACTGATCTAATGGAGAAAGCCGTTCCCACTGAGCTGAAAGACAGAAGGAAGCAGTTAGACAAACGGTTCGATTCAGATAAATCCAAGTTTCCAAAACTCAGATACAAGGATTTTTACACACACACACACACACACACACACACACACACACACACACACACACACACACACACACACACACACACACACACACACACACACACACACACACACACACACACACACACACACACACACACACACACACACACACACTAGATTTGATTATTATAATAATTAGATTAATCTCCTATATGAAACCATATTAATATATGTATGAGGTCTTCAACATTTTAAAGACAATACAGTGTCTTTAGATGATGCTACTAATATCGGTAATACTGGTTCAACTAAACTCAATTCAAGCACAATGTGGACATTAACGATTTCACTTTGATCACCAGGGTGGTGCAATTTCTGCACAAAGTGTGTGCACACTGAACTGTATACAAGATATTTACTTTTCTTGTGTCTGAGCACAAGTCAGCAACGGTTCGTAAAGAACTGCAAGAAAAGGAACATCTCTCAATATTGCACTGTATATTATGTAACTTATATTTTATCACGTTAAAAAATGTCCAGTGTTTAACATTTAGGAGGCTCTATTGTCAAAATGGAATATAATATTCATAGGTATGTGTTCATTAGTGTATAAATCACCTGAATATAGGAATCATTATGTTTTGGTAACATTAGAATGAGCCTTTTATATCTACAGATGCCGAAGGTTGCCTTCCATGACGGCCGCTATGATGACCCACCATGTTTCTACAGTAGCCAAGAATGGACAAACCAAATACTGGCCCTAGATAGGGCCTTTTGTGAGTTTCATAGATTCTCTTACACACTTCACAGCCCATTGTCATTCCCCGACCTTAAAATACAAGACACCAGCTGTGTTCATTAAATGCTACATGTTTATTGTATGTGAAACATTTTATTTAGTGTTATACGTAAAAGAGAAGAATAATGAAAAAAACTGTTTTACTTACTGAAGACAAATATACACAGTTGAAAGTGCACCGTAAAAAGGACATAGGTAAATGGTAAAAAGGTAAATGGACAACCATTTGCTCATCAGTCCATTTTTAAACAATACTGAAAGCATTGTTTCTTAAGTCAAGTCTCAAACTAATGCTTTTCTAGACTTTTCAGAGCCACAGAAAGGAGTTGGAGACAGATAAGATAAACCTCTTTGCAGGTTTTACCATTTCGTGGAGTCAGAATGAATTTTACTCTGTTCTTCATTGGTTTGAAGATCTTGCGCATCCGTGTCTTTGCTGTGTAGCCAATTTTGTAGGAGTATTGGTACCTAAACAGTTAAACACATAGTCCACTGTGAACACTGTTAATATCGGATTTTTCTGTTATTAAGAATGGTGCAGAATGCTTTCTGGTGTGGACTCAATACCAGTCTTACCTGTTATAATAACATGCGACAGGCAGGGTGAAGGGCACAGCTCGCCTGATTGGTCCTTGGAGTCTTGGCGGGTCATACTGTAGTGTGTTTGAATAGGCCACCTGGTTATTATTTATCTGCAAAACAACAATTAGCTAAATTATACATCTTCTTTTAACAAGACTACACCCATTCTAGCAGCTCTGTGAGGCAGTACTTACTATAGGCACAGCTGATAACATAGGAATGCTGACATACAGATGTTTAGTAGTTCATTATCTTAGATATTAGACAAATGGTCAGGAGGATGAATTGCAATAATGTTTCATCTAATGCTGTGAATGCCATGATGAATGTGTGCCAAATTTCATGCCAATCCAACAGCTATTGAGACTAGGGCTGCAACTAATTAATATTTTTTAACCATTATTTCTCCAGTTATTTTCTCAATTAAATCACTCAATAAAACATTATTTTAAAAAAAAGGTCAAAATCACAACATCCTGACTCCAAGAGTTTTGTCCAACCAATAATCAAAAACCCACTGATATTCAAGTGACTACAATATAAGAGCAAAAAGTGCAAGAAATCTCACATCTGAGAAATTGACTTCAAGATTTAAATGACAGCGGCTGATTCATTTTCCAACAAAAACCAATCAACTAATTGCTGCAGCTCCAGTTAAGACATAAATACAAAACAAAACAAAAAAACACAAATGTAAAAGTGAGTGGGATTCATCCTCTGGGCACCAGGAATGTCTGTGCCAAATTTAATACCAATCCATCAAATAGATGTTGAGATATTTTATTTGGACCAAAGGGGTGGACCACTCCTGGAGCCACGCTGCTGGCATTGCTAAAAACTGGTAGAATGGTGGGTTGAAATCTAAAGTTATTGTTAAAGCTCACCGTGCGTTTGGTTCCACACATGCCGAGGTCATATTCAAAATACAGGTGATCTGTTGTAGATTTACTGGCCTGGCAGGTGCCCAGTTTGACCTGGGAGTGTGGTTCACCTGTGCCCAAGATGCTCCTCGGCACCTGCACCTGCATCTTTTGCAGCTGACACGAAGTCTTCACGGAAACACCCGAAGCGCCAGGCGGACTGGTCTTCGGCCGAACCGGGAGTAGGAGCTCCCGGACGGGCGCAGGTAGCGGCTCCAGTCCGGTTCCTCTGGCGGGAGAGAAGTGCTCCTTCTCCACCAGCGGCAGCCTGGAGTCCACGAACACGGGGAGGTGCAGGTACGGTGGCGGAAGAGTCGGTGTTTCTCTCCGGTAAACCTTTCTCATCACCTGGGTTGTTCGGTTTACTGCTCCACCATTAGTGGAGGACCACAACGGCAGCATGAGAAACAGTGGAAGGTAAACCATGCCCTGAAGTCTTGGTCAAAAATAACAAGTTTAATTATTAGTTTATTTATTTATTTTAAGGTTTACGCTTAAAATAAATTCAAGCTTAACTTAAAGTGTATTGTCACTGATTCTCCTCAGCCAAATTAACAACACCTGGTGGTGTAAAGGAAGCAGAAAGAAACAAATGGCGCCTCTCACTGGCTGTTTCTTGAAAAACAAGTTGACTTGTTTCATGTGAAGTGGGTTTACTGTGCCTCACCTTGTGTGTAGATTGTATACTGCACATATTCAGTTATTTATTGTGGTTTATTTGATTATTTAAAAACAGTTCCTGGCTTTAGTTAGTTAGTTAGTTCACTTTTGACATAAACATTACAATGAAACACACACAAAAAAATGTTTACATGCTCAAATAAAAACTTTAGACCAAACAATATTTCTTCTACAATTCTGTAAACACATTAATAACATTACTAATAAACAGCATGGTAATGTTGCAACATTTTCAGGCAAGTATGCATCATAATAAGACTCTTGTCTGTGCCTGTACATAATGAACTAACTAAATGATGAACTTCATTTGAGTTATGCTCAAATTTTACACAGATCACGAGTTTGAGGACACAACAGTATGTGTCTTTTATTCTGTAGGCCAGGGAGAACAAGCATTGTTAAAGTGGTGTACAATTCCATCTCCCTGGTTCTGTATGTAGCCTATGTGATAAGTGATATTTAATATAAGGTCTTTGCAGGGGTCTCCAAGGGTACCTGGTAGCCTGCAAGTAGTCCACAGAGCATGTTCTTTAATCTCAATCTTAATGTTACATTTTCTGTTCGTTAGACTTGCAAGGAAGTGTACAAATTGTGTCAGAACATTTAAATACATTACTGATCTTGTTTTTTCTTAATTAAAGTATATAATGATAAAATATATTGAAACTATATTGTGATGAGTTGAAACCCTGCTTCCCCATGGTGCCCTTCTGCATTTTGTGTTCATTGTGTCCCAGATGGTAGTCTAAGCCTTTGCCGACTTTGCCGAGTTGTGTGTTTAGGTCTATCAATTAAATCTAATTGATTAAACCCTATATAAGAAAATGAAGTAGTAAAAGTACCCACCACTTTGCTATTATATTAAAAATATCAATTAAACATGGATGTTTGTCAAGTACACAAAGTAGCCCTCCTTAATTCAGGATTTAGTTCACATATTTCTTGTACCTGCTCCCCCACCTTGAAGCTCTGCATGTAATATAGAGGTTATATCAGGTTGGGCTTGGAGGTCCTCACTCCAGCCACGAGGAGGGTCTCAAGAACACATTATCCTCCACACAGTCTTACGTGATACTGTTTCAACTTTGATTGCATGTATACAGCTAAAAATAGGCTTTGATGTCATTAGAAACTGCTGCTAGAGTTTGTTTCTTCTCTCTAAAGCCCTCAGACAAATTTCACTGATAAATTAATGGAGGTAGTTTATTTGATCAAACTTTGTATAAATCATGGAAACATAAACTAAACAATCATCCCCAATGCCTCCTCCAAAAAGCAAGCTCTGCAAGTTAGCAATAATTAGAGAAAAATATAATTTTTCCATCTCACACTCGAGGTAAAACAAAGCACAGATTAGTGCAGTTACTAAAAGGAAGTTGAATAAAATGTCAGTCCACTAGAGGACAGAAAAGGCAACTCCGCTTCATATGGGTCAAATTATTTCTCTTCCAAATTGCTTTAATATGTTTCACCAAACAGAGTACGAAATAAGTAGTGTGAGTAGTGTGCCAGTCCAGTAGGGGGTAGCAGGTTTTGCAGCTCCATTGCACAGGTGTGTGTTGCAGCATTCATTGGTGAAGGTGAAGTTGAGTCCCATGGTGTATTTTTCACCCGTGACTCCACACAGGGAGGGCAGGATGCAGCTCTTCTCATACAACACCACACGGAAGTCTCCTGGAAACCATGAGTTCATTAGAAACATCAGTATGGGAGAGACTTACAGAGGAAAAAGAAAAGAAACCACACTGACGCATCTCTCGCTCAGTGCTTGGAACCGTCTTTCTCAGTTCTTTTTCTCAGTTTTGATTCATTTAAATTTTGTTCAGTGATTTGAGGCACCCTCACCTTTCTCGCCCACAGCTCTGCTGGACAGACAGACCTGCCCGGGTGGACACTTCATAGGGTATCTGATACAGTCCAGAGGTGAGATGGCCGGGAACACACAGGTATAACAGAAGAGGGGAACTGAAGCACAGACATGTCGGTTAAAACCACAACATTTCTTTAAAGGTTTTACATTTTCAGAGAAGCTGTAGTGACATCAGGATTATGATCTGAAACATGATGAAACTGACAAAAACTGTACCATCCTTTGTTCTGCATTTTAAAAGTAGACAATGACAGCCTCAAGTGTTAACATTTTGTAACTGATTACAAATTGATTGATTATTATTAGCAGTAATTGCTATTGCAAATTGGATAATTGTTATTATGGATGTAAATCAATGAATTAATAACATAAATCTTCATTGTTGACTAAAAAGCTGAAAGAATAAGTTTAGTTAGATTAATTGGCAACTTTATTGATAATTGTTTAAGCCAAAATGCCTAACATTTGCTGGTTCCAGCTTTCCAAATGTGAGAGTTTATGTATTACATTATAGTAAATTGAATATCTTTGGCGTTTTGACTCTTAGTACGACAAAACTGACTTATTTTTTTTACTATATTCTAATGTTTTATACACTAAGCGGTTCATCAATTGATTGGAAATATATATATATATATAATTTCAAAAAACATTATTTGCTGTCCTACTATTAGTTATTGCTGCACATGCAATTTCCAGTAACAGTATTTCTGTTTGCATGTTTTGTACATTCATACACACAAGCAAACACACCCACACATGCACTTCTGTTTTGTTCACTTACCCACAGCTGGAAGTAAACAAAGGAGAAGCAGATGGCAAACCAGCTTCGACATTACTGCCTATTTATGTCAACAAGGAAAAAAAAAAATCTTGCTGCTCGATTCTTCAGCTCTTAACGTCGTCTCTTTCTTGTTATTTTCTAGAACCACTCATCTTTCTTCATCTTGAAGGCAAGAAACCTGTTAAAGTCGGTCAGTTTCAGCTTTATCTAGGCTTTCTCGGCTTCCTCAGCCAGTCCCAGCTGCAGAGATCTGAAGGTCTGTTGATATTCTGTTTATTACCTTCAGGAATCTCCACTCCCCAGTACTTATGATTCAATTAGGCTGTTAGCTTCCCGGTGACAGCCTTGATTTTACAGCACTGCTCAGGCTCACTGTCCCGCAGAGAATAGTCCCATTCAGATTTAAGAGAATCGATAGGGCTTTGCGAAAAAGGAAACTACAATCTAATTTAGGTTCAAATTTATATGAAATGGGTCATTTTATGTCCACTTATGTCTTGTTTTTTTTTTTGACAGAATGACAAGACATGTGGCGTGTACTAGGTAAAACAGGGTTTATTAAATCATGTCTTATCTCCTAATGAAAGACGTTAAGTTTGGTGGGAGGAATGTCAAGTGACCTGCAATCCCATGACTAGAAATCTGAGTAGGACGTAAGAACAGTCTTTTAAACTTCATGGAAAATATGTTAAATTCATGTCTTTAAAGTTGTTTTAGTTCAGAATGCAGCTTGTCAGTTTATATCTCAAAATAAACTGTGAGACTTTATCGAGTTAATAAATTATTTTCAGTGAGAAATCGGATCATCTTGTTAGATAATAGATAAACATAGTAGACACTACTAATCTCTATCCACTCAGTCTATCTATTTTTCAGCCATATAGAAGGCCATTGTTCCTATCACAACCATCTTTTAATGCAGTAAAGATAACAGAATTCGACCACAATGAAATGGTTACGATAAGTTAATCTTGGTATTTCTTTATCACTGAAATAACAGTTGGCTGGTGTTTGCTGCATCACGGAAATTAAGATTATGTCAGTCACGTATACATACAGGCCATTAAAAGGGATTTTCCAATACTTTCCAAAACTTACTGGATTTGTCTGAGCTTTCATAAATTACCCAACACAAATCCTCAGAACATGGCTGTGCTTTCTTTCTGACCAGGAAGTGTAGAGTCTTGCACATCGCAACTCTTTGTTTGAACCTTTATTAAGTTTCAGTGTTTAAAATGTTATTGCACAAAGAGAAAAAAAGAGAAAATGATCAATTCTATGTGTGCAGCTTATTGCAGAAACATACACTATGTGGCCAAAAGTATGTGGACATCTGAACATTACACCCCAATGTGGTGTTTAAAGATTTAATTCTGAAACTATGAGCATTAATCTGCCACTGCAACAGCCTCCACTCTTCTAGGAAGGCTTTCCACAAGATTTTGGAACTTGGCTGCAGGATTTGCACCCAATCAGCCACAAGAGTGTCAGATCCAACACTGATCTTGGGTGATAAGGCCTGGATCACAGTTATTATTTCAGTTCATCCCTAAGTTGTTTGATGGGTTGGGGATCTGTACAGACCAGTCAACTTCTTCAACACTAAACTGGGAAAACCATTTCCTCATGAACCTCCTGCACAGAGGTAATCAAAACAGGAAAATGCCCTCCCTAAACTGCTGCCACAAAGCTGGAAGCACACTTTCCCCCTTAATCTTTAATTGGAACTAAAGGGACTAACCAAAACCAAAAGTATACAAGTGTTTAAACAGAGGCATCCATATACTTTTGGTCACATAGTGTAGTCTTTATCCCATTTTATTCATCTTGAACCATTTCACACATGACTGATCCCTATCTCTCACAACACACTTAACACTATGCTCTCTCTCAACTCGCATGCTTGCTGCTGCAGCTCTACTGAACACAAGATAAGGGGAGTTGGCTTCTGCACGCCCCCTGCTGGAGAAAAGAAGGCATGGCTCTCTTGTCGACCTGCTGCCGCCTCATGCGGATGACAGCTGCGTCCACCTGAGCTGCTGCTCTCTTGCCGTGCTGGTCATCCAGCAGCTGCAGACAGGCACGCTGCAGCCTCGCCAGCTCACCTTCAGAGGACATTAGACATTGCCTCAGCACTGCGCTGCCCTGAAAGACACACAGGAAACCCACTTTGCTGATTTGGTTGGGTTGAGACACTCAGCAGGTGACGAGAGGGGAGGTTAGTGTTAAACCACTGAATGCTTTTTTAATATGTGGTGTGAACATCTGCTATCTCCTGGGTTGTCGTTGTTTTCACATATGAGCAGATCTTCTATGCATCTTATATATTATTATAAAGCATCTTTTTGTAGATCTACCTTTCTAAGTTTAAAAGAAACACTTACGCCTGTATCTTTAAACTCTATTCTCCACCTTGTTTGTTTGCCGTTATTCCCTATATTTAAGTCATCGTATGTTTTTGTGTCTCCTCTTCCCTCTGCTGCACAGTTTTGGTTTGGTTTTTACATTTGTCATGCAGACTGTGGTCTGAGATGTGCAAGTGTAAGCTAACATAATATTTCCTTATTCCTCAGAAAGGTTTGTTTTTTAACCATGCATATATTTAGCATTGTTTTCAACATTTGGTATCACTTTCTAATGAGACATACTTTTATGATCCAGTGTGTAGCGTTTAGGTGGGCCTTATCTGCATATATGGAATAAAATGTGCATAACAATCTTTTAATTTGTGTATAATCACCATCATTCTTTATGAGTGTATTTGAACGTGTATGAATAGGTATTTTAGAAGCAGTAAACACCTGTATGAGATGAGCAGCCTCAGGTAATTGTGTCCCTGGGTGTCTCTGATAAACCTGCACCAGAGGCCTGTTGAGTTTCTCTCTGGACAATATGTCACCGCTGTACTCTGGACCCTGTACACAGAATAACACGGAGAAAACACATTGTACACATTGTCAGTGAATCTCAAACAAATCCACAGATCCTGTTCCACACACACACCAACCTGTACTCGGTCATGGCTGTGACGAATACAGTTAATTTCCCTCTGCTTGCGAAACATTGCCTGCCTGGTGGCTGCAGACATCAGAGTCAGATTTTGCTACAAATGAAAGAATGAAAGGGAAATATGTTTTATTATTATGCTGTCACAATGATGTCTGATCAATAAGTATTTCTCATTTGCATACAAAGACTTTCAACATGTTGCATTTGAATCTACCTGCAGACTGATTGTCTCTGCCATTTTCTTCACCAGGCCGTCATTGACGGTGCGGTGAGTAGCTTTCTGCCTGGTGATGGCACTGGTTAGCATCTGTCTGATGTTTTCCCTCAGTTGCTGTGACTGGTTCACTGTCAAAGTGGACGACTCTAAAACCTGTTTACATTCTTCATGAAGACAAATCAGCGATAAAGAAAGATCCATGGCATTTACATTCAGTTCATAAGGAAATATACTGATTAAACCCTACCATAGAAATAATAAAAAATTGTCAGTCTCATTGTACAGTCTCATATTGTTAAAAGAAATCTTACATCTCTATTTACAATAATGTAACCGTTTTAAGATAAGATTAGACTTTATTTATTCGACAGTCTGGTGAAATTTGCTTGGTGCACAGTGGATCATTTTAAACCTGACAGAGATACTGTCCTAATAATGCACACATCTTTGCACTCTGCACAAGGTCAGATAAAAATGTATTTGTCCAATAACAAAATTACAAAATAAACTAGCCTCAGATTTACTTTGTGTTTAGTGCAAATTATCAAATGTTATGATGTGTTGTTTGTCTTTTCAAACAGTACTGCCAAACAGGCTGTGAGTCTGTTGTTTATGTCCCAACATTTAGTTTGGATGTGTGTAAAATGAAGCTCTTTCTTTTGTGTTGTCTTTGCGGGATTTGTCTTTCTGAGCTGCTTTTCCTGCTGCTGCAGCAGGATTGTCTGCAGGGATTGATACAGTTTCACTTTGTGTCGTGACTGTACCTGGTGTAAAGGGGCTGACGGGGTCTGTTTTGGTGAAGGTCTGAGCAGCGCTGCGGTGTCCTCCAGCAGAACCGCTGTGAGGCAGCAGCTCCAGGACACGAGCCCTCTCACTGGCACAGTCCAGCAGCTGTTTGCTGCTCTGACCAAGGGCCTGGAAGAGACAGAGGGGGACACATTGGGGCCACAACTATAAAACTTATAAAATGTTCACTACAATTTCCTTAAAGCCCAAAGTGACATTCTCAAATGTCAAACGGGTTAAATTTAGTATAATGCAAACAAAGAAAAGCAGCAGATTCCGGAAAGCTGGAACCACATCAACGATTAATGACAATAAATACTAATTACTAATATATACTGTATAGTAATTGACAAATCGTTTCAGCGAATACAATTATATAAGATTCACTGTAAGTAAGAGTTAATACCCTTATAATACGGGGTCTTGGCAGGTTTATGACTAATGGCATTCCCATCAGTTTTAGCTGTACTTTGTGTTTAGTGCTAATTGACAAATGTCTAAACTAAGATGTGAACATTGTATCTTCTTAACATCAGCATTAACATTGTCATTACGAGCATGTGAGCATGCTGACATTAGCATTTACATCAAAGTACAGCCTCACAGACCCGATAGCATGAGTGTAGACCAGAGATGTCAAACTGCTGGCCCTCGGCCCTATTCAGGGACCCCCATCACAAAATTATTATTTTATTTGTTTATTTCTGGGGGTTTTTTTCATATAAATTTAAACTACCACTTCATATGCAATTAAAATAAAAACACAATTATATTTTAAAAGGTGTTTGTTTGGCACAAAATAAGATCAAAGGTGCCCGCAAATGCATGCAAACGGTTGATAAGAAGAGAGCAGGTTATGGAGTTGTTTGAGGAGTTATATAAAATGATAAAAAAAATGTGTAGGAACTGCTGTTTGCATTGTTTTTGTTAAGTATGATGATATATTACTCTTTCTTGTAGTACTTCATGTAGCACCCCCCTTGTGAGATGACAATACCAGCAGTGGTTCCTGCTGTAGAGGCACTCTTGTTGCTGCTTATTTTATATACATCAACACTTGCCAAAAAACAAGAGACATTAAGTGGCAATGAGAAAGAAGGGTGGAGGTTATTGGTGCGTGAAAGCTTTGGTAGTGTTTTTTTTCTTCCATCACTCCTGCCAGGGTAAGTGAAAAAGAGAGAAAAAAACAGAGACAGAGTGGGGGGGGGGGGCTTTAAAGGAAAATGAGTCAACTGATGAAGACAGAACAGTAACGTTGTAAATCACCTGTAGCTGGGTCAGGGTGTTTCGCAGTGCTCCCTCCAGATCCTGTTTCAGCTGGGCCAGCTCTCTTCTCTCACACAATAACAAGTAATCAGCACCATCTCTCTCCTGCAGCAGAGCAGAGCTGTCAGTGAACGCATCTCCACTCCTTGACAAATGGAGTTCAAGATACAGAACTTAATGAATTAATCCGTAGCCTGTTGTATCACTTACACCACGTCTGGTGTTGGATAACATATTTATTATTTGTCAGTACTGAAAGGATTTAAAAGTGATTTGATATTTGCTGTACTTTGTCTGGATACTGCAGGAGGTGTGTGTGAGGTTTGAGAACAATTAGATGCAGGTTTTCTGCAGGTTAAGTTAAAAAGATTAACTGTGGTGCCGTGCAGACAATAAACAGCAAATTAGCTAAATTATCTGTCTTAAAGTTAACATCTTTAAGTGGTTAAAGTCTAGAGAAGTGCAGATGTCAGACAGTTTGAGGCTCGAATCAAGCATAACACCACTGCTGATCCCTGTGGAGAAATTCTCTTTATGGTGTTTTGTCTCCAGGGGAAGGTCAAAGGTCAGAATGCAACAAAAGGGTAGCCCTGAGCCAATAAATGATTCAGTGTTTTGCTGATGGATGGTTTCGTTATGTGACTGTTTTTATCACACTACGGCCCAAAGAGCAGACAAAGCACAGTGTAGGAGACGACAATCCTGACAGGAGCAAGCAGGGTCACATTCAGGGTTGAATTGTGAGAATGAATTAAATGCATACATGTTTGTACATTCACTTGATCACAGAAGTAGATACAGGACCCTCTAGCGGGGTGGAGTGGTGAAAACTTACCGTCTCAGCAGTAGACGGCCTCCTGGTCCTCCCCTCCGAGCTCCTCCTGTTGATAGTCAGATTAGTCCTCAGGCTGCGCAGCATCCTCTCCAGGTGACCCTTCTCTCTCTCCAACCTGATACCCTCCTGGGTCACCCTGCCGGCCTGCCTGCGCAGCTGGCCCTCCACCTCCCGCACCCTTCGCATGTACTCCCCGGCCGCGGCAACGCTGGCCCCAGCACACTGCTCACGCAAGCTGGTAGGCGGGAACGGGGCCACGGACGTCCTCTGGGAGCCACTGGGGAACTTTAGAAGAAAGTTAGATTGCAGTTTCCAGTGGTGGAAAATACATTTACTGAAATACTGTGATTTGAAGTTTGAGATACTTGTACCTGAGATACTTGTATTTGTATTACACAACTTTACACTTCTACTCCACTATTTCAGAGGGAAATATTGCATTTTTAGTAAACTTTGCTTAATAGTTTACAGATTAAGAATGTATTAAAAAACACATGATCAGCCTCTAAAATATGAATATTTATAGACAAAACTGCCCAACAGTATATAAAGTAGTTCAAATGAACCACCTCTAACAACAACAGTGAAGTGTTGCTATATTTTTGCATCTGTAATAATAAGCCAATAATGTAATATACTTAATGTAATACTTTAACACTCTGAGAAGACATTGTGTATAATTAATACTTTTACTTTTGATATTTTTGTGTAGGCTATTTAGCTGATCTGTCTGCAGGTCTGTGTTGTTGTGTCTCACCATTGCTCCTGTAGTTTGGGGCCTCGACATCTTATTCTTGCAGATGGAGTCACGACTCTCTCCACATTCCTCCCCTGTGATCTTATCTTCGGTTGTTTCCGTTGTGCCGTCTGTGAGCTTTGGGGTGAAACCGGCTGCGGCGCTGCAGCTCCGGGCCCGGCTGAAAGTCCCCGACCGCCCGGCCCGAGTCTGCCGCACCAGGCGCTCCGCCCGGCGGATGGAGCGGACCGTCCCATCGCGCCAAGACTGCGGTCCGATGGTGACAGAGCCGAGGGGCACCGACTGGACCTGCATTCCTTCACATGCACCCTCCTCCTAATAAAATGTTTAACATCACCTGTTACCTCTCTGAATATGACAAACCCCCCTCTACTCTGTATTATTAGTCCACTGTGAGGCATTCAGAGTGAACTTTGTGTGAGGTGTTGAGGTACCAGCTCCATAGCAACCGTTCCTGAAGTAACTAGAAACTCAAAGCTGTTTGGTGATAGGTAAGTGAGGAGAAGACAGGGGGCACTGTCATTCAACACACAGGCATTACAGTGGGCTATATTTAATTTCAGGTTTCAGGAATAACCATTCATTTTCTCCCTGGTTCTACATAGTTACATGACTCTACAGGCTGGGTTAGTACGAAACTCTCACAGTACAATATATTAACAACTGTGATAGAAAATATCTGGTTCTTTAATGAAAAGGCCAAAGATAACCCTGTGTACATAAACACTTGAAAGAAAAAGTTAACTACGACTCCCATAGTGCATTTCGGCAAGGAAAGCTCCGCCACAGCGCTTAAAATTCTGTAATGTGTGCCGTTAACGGCGGGTTAAAGCTAAAGTTAGCGGTGCGACCTTGTGAGAAAACTGACAATAGTATCTGTCCTTTACATCTCTTTATTATTCTGTTATTTTTTTTGACACTATGGCGCCGTGTTTTGTTCCCGAATTTAAAACTACACTCTGACTCGCGCCTCTAGCTTCTATTCCATAGCAACGGCAGCAGAGGCTCATGGGTATTGTAGTATTTGGACATATCCGCCGTGCTACACAAAACTGAATTTTCCAGAAATTAAGATGAAATAATTCGTATTGGCGGTCATAACATAAACCTATATGATAGTTGCATTATCCGAGAAAGTCTTGTGTTTCTATGTTAACTTATATTGATGAAAATGACATAGAAATACAGAATGGGTAAAACAAAAAATAAATAATGGCATCTGTAGACATTAGTAATTTGGATCAGAGTGTTTAATTCTCTTGAGCTAAAAGAAAAAAAAAATGTCTCCAGTTATAAGTCCCAGATTAACAACAGGCTACAAGACATGTAAACACATTGAAGATCATTGAGATTGAGAGAAAAAAAATAAAAAAAAGACAGACAAATAAAAGCAGAAAAATTAAGTTAAAAATATTATTTTGGTCCAAAGTATTCCCCTCCACGAGTGCTAAACTAGCACTGTAAACAAAAGTGACAGTTCTGTACTGAGAAAGTCAAACACAATAAAGACACCATGGCAAAGAGTTAACAGACAAATTCAGATTTAAATTAATATTGTACCCAAATCACTCACTCACTCACTCACACAGGTTTGATTAAATCATCCACTAACAATACCATTCAGAAATGTTTGTATCAGCAACAAATCCTGCAGCATGAAATGAAATCTAATCACTGCCTAACCATTAGACCCATAACATTCAAAAATACAATAATCAGGTGATTTTTAAATCAAGTATTAAACATCCAGCTATAAGAAGCTAGACCCGACATCTGTATGTACTGAAACCAATCAGGCTGTGTCTGACTCTCTAAAGTCTGAAATTACTGATTCACTCCAGAGAGTTTAGTAGTAATTGCGGAAAAAAAATTAACTTTCCTTCAGCCCACGCCAGGACAAAAGGCAGGTGTGCAAACGCAAACCCCCCAAAAAATGTAGAAATAAATAAATAGACTTAATGTACACCATAATAAATATGCTGAAGAGGTCGGTGCAGAAAGTGCAAAAGTAATCTCGTCTCTGTGCAGTTAGATTGCATCTTGTCAGCTCAGTTGTCCTCTATCACAGTGTGTGTTTGATGGCAGTCAGAGGCTCACGTTTGTTCTGCAGGTTCTGCTGCAGCTCTCTAAACAGATGGTCCCGCTCCTCTGCATCCAACAGGATTTGCTACGTTGAGGAAAAATAAAATATCTCAGTCACTATTACAAGTATTCATAACGAAAGCTCAGATTTTCACTTCTTTAAATCCACCTTTCTCTTGTTCTTTATCGTTTAGAAGTAGATTTTTTTCCTTTAAAAAGATTTAATATGCAACATTTCCGCATTAAAACAGAACTATGTTATAATTTTGTTGAGTTTTGTACTTACATTACCCTAAATGTTTCCAACAATGTTCAAACTCAGAGAAAAATACGTAATTTTATTCAGGCTACGGTTACGCGTTTCACCGATCACCGGTCAACGGAGTCCTATCCTTTGCACAAGCATGATGGTTGTCTGTCCAGAAGCATGAACTGACATTATCCAGTTTTAATCCACATTTTTACGTTTAACTTTTTAGATCTTGGTCGTTTTTTAACTAAAAAAAAATGGTAAAAAATATCCTAACCGGGAGAATCGGACTGCGATGGCAATGGCTGTGAAAACAACAACTCTCAAGATCCCACACTATTTCAAAACATAATCAAACCTCTCATTTTGTTATTGTTTTGATGTGAGAGACCCCTAGTGGCAAAAATTACATATTGTGCATTTAATTTCATGTACTTGCCTTCTCACTTAAATCAAAATACATCCTGTGGCTGCATTGCATTGTGTTCTACGGAGGCTTATTAAAATCTCTGTTTCTACAAAATATTTTTCTTGGCATGACTGTGAGGCTATAAAAAGCCATCAAATGTTGACTCTGAGGATCTGACAGTAAAATCTGGCACTGATGTTTGGAGTTGTTCAAGGTTCTTATTGAAGTAAAAAATAGAAACTACATCACCAGAAACAAGTTTAAGTATTCAAGTCTTTCAGGGTGTATTTCTACTCCTTGCTCTTTTGTCTCCTTTTGTTGTCTTCCTACAGTAAACACGAACAGGGCCGGTCAGTGTGTGGTATGTGGAAGAGAGAAATGTCACACTGTGCACAACAATAGTAACTTGATGAATCATCTCAAGATGTACTCAGCTCCTTTCAGGATCATTAAAGATGGACCAAACCAAACTGGCATGACAACATTTGTACTGCAGGTTAGGACCGGTGACAGATGCCGGACTGAGATATCCTCTGCCTTTACAACAAAACCATCAAGCAAGTTAACATCAGTGCAGTTTTACTGTTGTTAATTCATGAATGTGGAATGTTTGGCCTCCAAATAAGTCATGTTTAATCACAAAATTCTGCCTTTTTTGATAATTATTTCACTTTGGCAACATTTACAGTCTAAAACCGCAAGATATTGAGTTTACAGTGATTAAAAAAAACTGAGAAAAGCAGAAAATCCTCACATTGGAAAAAGGTGAAATTAGGGAATGTTTGGTGTTTTTTTTAAATGGGATTTATTGCTTAAATTATTATTTGATGATCGTAATAGTTGCTTTAACCATTAACTATTTGGCATTTTTGCTTGGAAGACAACTCAAATGACGGACAGAGTAGTTGCAGATCAACTGTCGTAGTTGTTGCAGATATGTTAAAGATATTCCATGTTGATACTTTAATTAAAAAAAAAAGTTCTATGTCTATGTTTTATTTAAATGTATTTTGTGTGTTTACACATTTCATGAAATGTAAGCTACTTGGTACTCAACTTGGGGGGATTTGGAAGCAGGAGAAGGGAACAGGGTGGGAGATATAATACACACATTTCTGAAAACAGTACTATTTAATATTTTCAATAAAAAAAAAAAAACAAACAATAAGCAGCAGATTCCTGCACGTTACCTCTATGAGTTTGTCTCTCTTCTCCAGGCTGTCCCTCAGTTTCCTCTCCTCTCTCTCTCTGTCCTCTCTGTTGTTCTGCCAGGCTCTATTGGCCTCCTTCTTCTCCTTCTCTTTCTCCCTCAGCTCCTGCCGAGTGTCTCTGAGTTGGGCTGTCAGAGAAGACAACGTCTGACTGTGGCTCTCCTGCTGATTCTGGTGAAAAAACAAAAGGTGAAAGGCTGTCATTTGTTGTTGCTGTGTTATGTGTGGTTGTAAGACCTGCCACTTCCTGCTAATGTTTTGATTTTATGTATAGTTTATTTATCATTACTTAATTGGCAGTATGGTTTCCCTGCCAGTCTCAGCTGCTGACTTTGATATTTGGTAACACTTTATTTGGATAGTGTGCCTACTATCCAAATAAAGACAAGTTAAAAGCCCCATTATGTAACTTTTCTATCTTAAAATAACAGCTCCTCCTCCCCTCGTGCTGAAATCTCACCTTCACCATATCCTGGTATTCCTGCAGGGCTGTGGTGAGTTTGGTGACCTCCTTGCACAAGGTGGCGTTGTTTCCCTCTCTGTCCTCCAACAAGGCTGCCAGCTGATCCCCACCCCCAGCCAACCCCTTACCAATCACAGAGTCACAGACAGCCTGGAGGAAAATGACATGTTGTGAGCAAGAGTTTCCCTGTGGTCACTGAAGTCAATATTTACTGACAAAGCTCATCGGAAGCCTGGAGTAGGACTGCAGAACCGGCTCCTCATTCAATAATACAGAGAGAACGAAAGCTGTGCAACTTTTTTAACTTTAATTGCAGCCATGTGGAACTCTTCTCCCAAGCTCATATTTAGTGTTAAGTCTGTGGATCAAATACAGAACCACAGCACAGTGAAAGCAGCTAGTATTTAAACATTATATCACAGCAAACACCAGAAATCTGCAACAATATTCTTGCCACAGTTACTACATTAACATGCTCACAATGACAATCCTAACATGCTGATGTCAAGGAGGTATAATGTTTATATTAGTTTAGCGTGTTTGCACGCTAACCTTTGCTAATTAGCACTGAACACAAAAGCTGAAGCAGATGGGGATCACCAAAGGATTCCTACTCCTACAAAAAGTCATGGTAATGCATCAAGTAGTTGTTGAGATATTCATTGCCATGATACTAGCATGGCTGAAAGTATGCACAGAAAGGTAGAAGTCCTTTTTTAGCCCCAAGCAGTGCCTGCAGTCTTCCTCTCACAAAAAAAAAAAAAAAGGCTGAAAAGCACTCGCTGCATTGCTCGTTAAGTTTACTGCTGTGAGTGCTGTTGGTAATTGCGACTCAGATGAGCTTACTAACATTTTTAACTTCTCTTCAGGACAGTAAGAGGAAGATCAAACTGTCCCCCAAGTGGAAATTGCAACGGTGTGTTCGTATATTACCTGTCCATCTTTCTGACAGCTCTCCAGCTCCTCTTTGAGGCGGTGGATCAGAGCCTCCTTCTCCTGCAGGACCGTAGTGAGGGCCCGGTCCCTCTGTCTCCACACCTCCCTCTCTTTCTCCACCTCCTTCAGCAGTCGCTCCTTCTCCCCCAGAGCCACTCGCAGGTCCTGGATCAACGACAACATGCAGTCCCAACTAAATAATATTTCAAGTACATACAGAGTGAACTGTGTATGGAACAAAGAATGTGGGTGTGTGTATGTTTTGAACCACAATGCATGCAATTTCAATCCTGGTTTATAATGTGTGTGTGTGTGTGTTCTCACATTGATAATATCCTGGTTGCACTGCAGCACGGTGTTGAGTGTGTCGAGGTCTCTCTCTCTGTCTCTTCCAGCCTTCCTCAGGGCATCAATCTCTTTCTCTAGGCCCTTCTCTCTCTCAGTCACATCAGACCTCAAAGTCTCCAGAGCAGCCTACAGATCACAAAAACATGGTACCTCTGCATTTGAGACATCCAATGGGCAACTTTTTGTTTTATAATTGAATGACCATGTAAGTTATTTTTCAAGCAAAAATACCAATTATTTCCCATTTTTTTCCTTATAACATGACTCAAACCAATTAGTCAATTACCAAAACAGTTGGTGATAAATCAATTAATTATTGCAGCTCTAAATGTTTTTGTCATTTTTTAAGCAAAATGCCAAACATTCTCTGGTTCTAGCTTCTCAAAGATTTGATGCTCTTTGTTTTCAAACATGAGTTAAAACTGAATATCTTTGGGTTTTGGACTGTTGGTTAGACAAAAGAAGACATTTATAGACATCACCTTGAGCTAAAGGAAATTAACCAAATTCTTGACGATAAATCATGAAAATAATCAGCAGATGAATCAATGATGCAAATAATTGTATGTTGCAGTCCTACGTTGTCCTTTCAGGTGCATTAAAGAGGCAGGCACACAGTCTGTCTGTGGGCATTAATTCATCAAACATATCTATGTGAATCAAATGAGGTAAAAAAACAAAACTGGTTAAACTTCCTGCAGGCCTGAGGTAGAAAAAAATAGTCATCACAAGACCTGCACGGCTCATACAAAAGCCTCCAAGGGCAGGAGGATCGAGTCTGATGACTATCAGCAAAAGTCTGCCTGCTCATGCTGATAACGTCTACGCTTCAGTGAGTGGTTAATTTGTGTCATCATAAGCAGACCCGGTATTTAGCACTCAACGTCAATGATCAGGACAGCGTCAGCTCTAACCTTGTTGTCAGACAGAGTTTGCTTCAGATTCTCGGTCAGCTTGTTGGTCAGCTCAGTCCCCGCTCCCTCCTCCACACACAGTCTTCTGATCAGACCCATACACTCCTGGAAGAGAGGAAATATCTGTTAGAAACACACTCATCTAACAGTGCAGTTAGGGTAAAACATTTTAACTTTACTTGAGTTCAAAGATTAAAGGCTAATCACAGGGCAGATTTTGGTAAGATTTAAAGTTTATGAAGCCATTTTCATGATGAATCAATACACAGGGCCATAATAACTCTTAGCCAAGTCTTCATATACTGTAGAGGCCAGAGCCGAGCCGATATGTATGCAAATGAAAACCACTGCAAACATCAGATAGTGTCGTCATAAATCTACAGCTCCAAACAAGCAGCCACAGTCATTACTTATCTACTCACCCTGAAACTAAAATCTGTTAAAACCTTCTGAAATCTGTTTAAAACCATAAGACTCACTACACAAGTTCGGAAATAGGCAGAGTTGTCATTAAAAGGATTTAAGAATATTGGTTTTCATATGTTAAAGGAGTAGTTTGACACACTTATTGGCTTTCCTTGGCAAAAGTTAGATGAGAAGATGAACACCATTCTCATTTCTGTATGATATATATATATATATATATATATAGCCAGCTGCATGTCAGTAGTTTAAGCAAGCTGCTTCCAGTCTTCATGCTAAGTTAAGCTAAGCTAAGCTTCACATTTAACAGACAAATAGTATGGTATCAATCTTCTAAAGTCTCATCATGAAAACATATACTTTATAAATACAATCTTATTTTATGTATTATAAGGTTATTAGTGAATAAAGCCACTACTCCAAAACATTTTCCTACAGCAGGGACTTTGTTATACAATCACTCATTGTTAATCTTTAACAGGCTGGAATTTTTTTTTTTTTTTAAATCATCTTTTCAACAGGACAGCCCTATTTGCTTCAGCCACCTAACTATCACGTTCATCCAGAGTAATGTACAACAATCCAATACAATTCCTGCTGTAAATCATCAACGTAACAAGCAGCTTAAAATAAGGGAAGTCACGATCAAAGCTTAAGAAAACATACTTCACTGGTACAATGTGGTAAATAGACACCAGTGAACGCAGTTTTGGCACTGCCACTTTAAGGGCGTACAGTAACTTGAAAGACAAACAACATTCCAGTGAGCTTTGAGCCAGAGCCCCAGCAGGAGCAGAAGATCCAACTGCTGTGTGCATGACTGAGTCCTGTCTCCCCTCATCACCTCACCCACCTGGATCAGACGCTCCCGGCTGTGGAGGGAGTGTCCGAGGCCCTGCAGCAGGGAACTGCCACCCTCTTCCTGGACCAACTGGAGGAAAGAGGAAAACAAAGGACAGTTTCTTTTAAAAGTCAGAGCAGTAGATCAAACTGTGATAATCATTTCATGACTCTTGGGTAAGGCTGAGTGAAATATACTCCAGATCCGACAGGGTTGGGTTTTAGGGCTGCATCTAACGATAATGTTCTCTATTGATCATTCAGTCCATAAAAACAGTACAAATTCACAAGGTGCCAACATCAGTGTTTTGTTTTGTCCAATAAAAAGTCCAATCCCCCAAAATATTAAACACAAAGGGTATTTTTTCCAGGGGATTATAAACTAATGAAAACATACCAATAAATATTATATTCTACTTCTGACAATAGGTTCACCTACATGTTACATACGGACCTTAAATAATGAAAATAATCAATGGCTTTCAGCCCTAATCAAGATCTTTTAGGTCAGTGCTTCGCTGATCAAGGTACTTTTGGCATATAAAATCAGTAAGTGAAGGCATCACCATTTATATGCTGTGATGTTCAGCACCGATTCTGACTGTATCCAGTTCAGTAGTGCATTCACTGTCAGTTACATTTAGTAAAAAAAACAAAAAACTAGCCTATATAAGCACTGCCACATGAGGTTAATATCTCATCAGCCTTTTATTTACAGTTATCAGATTCGGATATCAGAAGTAACGTAATGTGAATCACTGAGCTACTGATTCAATAGAGTCAATAACAATGGTGATTCAGAATAGTCGGTTCACTTTGACAATTTGTTGATAAAGATTTGTTTGTGCACGTACTAAATGCCTCTAATGTTACAACCTGCTGCTACTCCCACATATTTCACATGAATTCTTACTAATATTCAACTTGTGAACACAGCGCCTTTAGATTATGTGGACACAGTCTCTATAAAGCAGCTGAGAGACCTTTTAATGATATCCTCTATCATAAGACTACTGAGCCTGGGGCAAACTCCACTGGTCGGGGAAGATTCCAGAGAGAGGCTCTCTGTGTGTGTGTGTGTGTGTGTGTGTGTGTCTTTATCTGCACCTGTAAATGAGGAAACACGGACACACCCTTCCACAGGCATACAACACAGTACACCCACCCTCCATTCCTTTCACAATGTTATATATTTGTTCTCAGTCAACATTAACAGAGTGGTTTAATGAGCTGTTTGAACGTGCGACTGGGAAGCTGCTGTGCTATAAACCTGTTTTTGTTGTGTAAAAAATGGTTAGAGGCAATCATCTCTTATGACAGCTGGTAAAAAAATATTAACTGTGGGTACACACCAAAACCAATTCAATCTCCACTTTATTTATTTAATTTCAGTTTATTATTATTAAGTTTATACATGTATGATTAGCTTTTTTTTAAAAATCAATATTAAATTTTTATCTTTCATCTATTTAAATACTTAATGTTTGCATTATTATCCATTTTATTTATTTTTTATACCACTGACAATGTTAAACCATGTTATGGAGAAGTTCGACATTTTGAAACACACTTATTTTCTTTCTTGCCGACTTACATCTAGCTTAGCATAAGAACTGGAAACAGGGAGAAAATCAGCCCCTCTAAAGCTCACTTATGAACACATTACATCTAATTGTGTAATTTATGTTTTTTTTAATGAGGGGTCATGCGTCAGACTATTTCATGTACAGGATTAAACAAGTTCTAACGTGTTGAAGTACGGGTTCAGGTACATTTCCTCAGGTCTGTCGTATATATGTCGCCTGTCGTGTTCATAGTGGCCATTAATTTAGATCCCTTCCCATCATGGTTCCAATGTAAGTGTTTGGGGACGAACTCCACAGTCCTGATTCTGAAATGCATCCTAAAGTGTATTTTAGTAGTAAACACAATGTTTCTGTGTTAAGATGCGGTGGAGGAACAGTAACTGTAGCTGTAACTGGAAAACCTAAAGCTTAAAGCTGAAGTTGGGAATGTATTTATCCACAGAACTAGGACTGTGGATATTGTCCTCCATCACTGACACTTAAATTGCTGATTACAGCAAGAAAAACCTGTTTCAATGTACACAAGAGCAACTTGTGCCAGGCAAGCTGTTTCCAGTCTTTATGCTAAGCTAAGCTAACTGGCTGGCAAGAAAAGCAAATAAACCCATTCCCTTTGTCAAATGGAGTGTGGGAGAGAACAAACTGAATACTTACAGGGGCCCAGTCTTCTGATCCGTTTACTTCCGTTGGTTGGCTCCTCCCATGTTTCAGCTCGGCTTCCAGGGTCCTGATGCGGGACACAGCTTGGTCCAGCTGGCCTCGTAGGTGCCTGACGGCGTGTTGAACCCTGCCAGTTGAGCTCTGAAATGAGGAATGAGTTCATAGTTAACATGAAATGTTGGTATTATTTAGTAAAAACAGGTGGTTTTGCAAAGTTCTGATCTTGTTGCACCGCAGGATTGGCCTCAGTTGTTCCCAGATTAGGTATTGCAGCCCACTGTGTCAATATTTACAGCCACTAGCGCACACAGCACCTGGTCAGAGTTCTCCCATTCATTCATATATACATGCAGTACATTTTTATAGTCTATGGAAGTGGTTCTCAAACTGGGGTCCTTGAGTGGGTTTCTAGCAAAAAGGGCAAATCATTTACTTTCACGATAATCACACAATGTATCACTATATTGGTCTAAAAACAAAAATCCTATCAGATGGAGGACCCTGGGACAAAAGCTTATCAGCCTGATCCGTGGTCTAATTTGTCTAAGTTTAGGGGTGGAGAACTACTGGTCATGCTCACCTCTCGATGAAGAGGCATGAACTCGTCCCTCAGCTCTGTTAGCACATCCCCATCTTCTTCATCCATTTCATCCCCTCCGTTCTCCACATTCCCAAAATTCAGCACCCTGTTCACCGAGGGCGACGCCATCTCTCCAACTTTTCCCGAGCACCTCCCTTCCTTCCTGCCCAGAACTGGGATCCTGCTCCCCGATGGCGAACTGACCGGCTTTCCTTCAATGCTTCTCAGCTCCTTCAGCACAAAGTTGACTGACTGAACACCTGGTGAGTCGAACGGGTCGTTGCCGTCAAGAGAGTCCAGAGACTGAATGGACGCAGTGCGGGAAGACTCTTGTAAGGAAAGACAGGACCCCGCCAGTGACGACCGACTGGAGCTGATGGATGGCACCCTCTGCCAGTGGAGGGGCATGCTCTGGGATTTGTCCCGTGATAATGCCAATGGGGAGAAGGGTTGAAAAGGCAAGTTGCGAGGGACCCCACAAACGGACTCATAATCCGAGTCGGACACCCTTAAGGAATCACAGCCTTCACACCCTTTGCCTTTTTTACATCTTTTACCCGTTCTTATAAAATACGGACACGTGTCCCACTTCTCGGACCAGCACTCGTACTCCGAGAGTGCCATATTCTCTTTGAGCATCTCCCTGTAGCCCTCCTTCTCCGCCTCGCCATCCTCCTCGCTGGTGCTGCCCCGGCTCTGGAACTCCCGCGGGTTTCTCTGGTGGTAGTTTTGGCGTACCCACTGTCTGATCTTGTCCCTCTCCTGCATCAGCTTCTGCAGCCTCTCGGACGAAAGCACCCGCACCCTGGCTATCACCGTGTCGAACTTGAATACCCGCTCGAGGACGCACATGCATTTGCCACACACAAACTCCCCCTGCCCGCTGCCCCGCTGTACAGACTGCCCCAGTATATGAGTCAACACCGAGAGCAGATCCATTCCTTTGGACGGGGAGTTCAGGGATAACTGAGACTTGGAGAGAGACCCCGAGGAACCCAGAGATAATGTACTGCCTGTTAAGAGTAAAAAATAAAGTTTACTTCAGACTTTTCAACAGGCAGCTCAAATACTTTTCTCTTTTCCTTATGCTCCAGACTCACCCCAGGGGCTGCTCTGTGAGGACCGGGATAGGCTTCCTCCTCTCAGGGACTCTGTCGGGGTCTGAGGCTGACCAGTCTTCTTATTTTGGCCCCCAAACAGCCACCGCCTTTGGTTTCCCAGGAGAGCTCCGCCACATATTCTGCACAAGTCGTTTTTACCTCTGGAGGACATCGTGGACTGAGGGCCGATACTATCCACCTTGGTGTCTGATGGATTTTGGAAATTCCCTGTGGATTAAAACAGAAAGGAAACATGCGTGGATGCATTTACAGAAGCTGCTTCCAACCTGGGAATAAGTGAATTTCCCCAGTGTGGGATCAATAAAGTCTATCTTATCAGCGTGATAAGAACTACCAAAAATGACAGAAACTACCTTCAGGAAAAGGATTATTTGACGTGTATTCTGACTTTTTTTTGTTTTAGCAGAGGGCTTTATGACCTAACACTGCAGTCAGCCACCAGAGAGTGATCGAGATGTTTTGGCTTCACTTTCAGAGAGCTGTCCTGTCGTCCATCTTTAATATTACTGTTACAAAGGGCACAAAGGCAGGACGGGGACAAACAATTACAAAACAGGCAGAGAGCGGGTCACCAAGGCCACAGTGGCATACGGTTTATAGGAGGGCATCGAGGACAAAGTGAAAACAAAGTGACTTTAACCTCTCAGCAGAGGTTTAATATGTCTACGAGTTGTAAGCAGTTCAACAAGAGTGATTTATCATTTGCTTTGTTCAAAAAGAAAGGGGTGAATTACTACAGAGAAGTTAGAAAAGTCACATTTATCTTGTGACCCCCCTTTTGGTGGGTTGAGAGTTGTGTGTGCAGCCTATGTCACAGTATTCGTTATAGTAAAATCAAGATGGCTTGTAACCTAACAGCTGGCAGTTTGATTTTAAAAAAGCCTATTGGAGTTTATGTTATACAAGTCTTCATTTTCACATAAAAAACAGGTCAGGGGAAGTTTAACTGAGCCATCTAATCCAATCAGTTTGACATATTAAGTGTCTCCCCGGTGCTTTAACTCATGATTGTGTTGTATGGATGTTTTTGGCCGGTTTATTGCGGCTCACAGCTGCTGTATGTTTACAGTAGCTTCCCACAGGGCGGGACACGTCGACCTTGAGCCACGCTGACAGTGAATTCAGTCAGACTGTCGATGAATGAAACTCTCTCTTCAACACTCAGTCTCTCCGTGAACCTTTCGCCCCTCGCAGGCCGTCCGCATATGTGTTTAAATCAAATATGAGACAGCTTTGGATCATTTTAACCCATTTAAGACACGGTTAGACATTGTGGTGCATTAATTTAACATGAAAATATGCTTTCTGTGCACGCAAACTGTGAATTAGAACCATAAAAGTGGTTATAATCCACGACCTCTGTCTGTTTGAATACAACAATTTAAGGCAGTACTCATTTTCCGGGAAACACAAACAGCATGCGACGTGTTTCCAAAGGGAATCTCTTCAACATCCAGTGGAAAATAGTTCAACTATCGTCTATGATGCTATTTTAAGCCACTGAGGTGCAGCGATTCAATGTGAGAGTAAGGCCAGCCTGTGAAAGAGGAGCTTCGGTGTTTCAACATGCAGGAATATCACTGTGAACACTCACCTCTCTCCGTTCAGCTCCGTCTGGATTCACAAACGCACAGCGAGCTTTCATACAGAGAGTTTCAAAAAGCGCAACTTACGTTTTTACGCACTGAACGTGGCAAACAAAAAAAAAAGTTAAAGCCCGTCGGGAGAGGAAGAGACCTTCATTCCTCGTCTCATATTAAATGAAACACAGAAACACAGACTCACAGAACAAAAGTAAGCCGACGGGAACAAGTTGTCTGACAGAAAAATCTCCACCGGGAACTGAGCTGGAGTCGAGTTGCAACACACCGGAGCAGCAGCAGCAGCAGCAGCAGAAGAAGAGAAGGTGGGTGTCACCTTGCTGACGTCATCGGCCATACCTGTTTGGTGGAGCGCGAGGAAAGGACAGGGAGCTGGTCTGCACACAACACCGGATGAGACCGTGGACACGCAGCTCATCCACAGTACAGAGGGGAGGGAGGGGAGACCGGGTCCTGTTGGCACTCCTCACTGTATTGTTTTAGCCTATATTTATGTACATTTTGGCTTATTGCCACCCTTACAGGTGTGCCGAATTCACTATTAGCAGTTCCTATCTGCAATGCACCAATGGATGTACACACAACTATCACCAGATTACTTTTATACGTAAGAAAACGTAGAAATGTGATGATTTTCAGGCAAGTTCTGAAGCGTCTTTTCTCTCTCTTTTGGCTCTTTGTTTTGAGTTTGTCCTCCAGAATGAAATCAGAAAGGATCTAATCTTATGACTTAATATCTCAAAATAACAAGAACATTGGTCTTTTTTAATAATTATGAAATACTTAGTTTTTCTTATAGGATAGTATCTCATAATTATGACATATTTCCTCAGAATCATCTAGTCTAATTATCTAGCGGAATAACTGGAACTGATTGGGAAATATATAAATCACAACCCCTATGAATCAGTTCATTAAGGAAAATCAATTAGTTTAATTGATTGACCACTACCCCTATGCTGCTGTGATCTAATCATGTGTAAAGGGCAAAAGAGACATCTCGTGTCGTGGCTAACATTATGTATACAAGTTATCAGGACACGCTATATAAACATCTCAACAAAAGAAATGTGAGATATATAAGTGAATTTGAAAGTGTTAAAAGACATTTAAACATTAGATAAAACACAGACAGTCGCTTAAGATGACTTTATATCATTTAAAACGTTTTTAATGACATTAATTTAATTCTGTGGTCAGTTTTGAGGATGTACTCTGTGGTACTTTTGTGTTAGTCTGCATTATATTTAAATGTGCCTCTAATTTTATGTTACTGTACTTAAATTGAGGAGCAGTTACATAACAGACTGTCCAATACAAAAACAACACAAGCTACATTGTCAAGAAAAAAGTAGAATCAATACTTCTGACAATATCAAGAACAATGATTGATAAAGAAATGATGTACTGTATTACAATATGTTAAAAGGGGTAACATGTAGCTGTTACATCCTAATACCATTTCACAGTATTGTAGTTAATATCATATTTCAGAGGTTAGTGTCCCACAAAAATACAAAATACCTTTGGGAACAATATGAATTATTTTTGGAAAGGAACAGGTGAAAAATAGAGTATAAGTTATATAGTTGGGGCAAAAGTGTCAAATAATGCTTGAATCACAATCAAAACGTGAAAAATTAGAGACTGATGTTTCTACAAATCACTTTAATACAGATATAAAACCTACAACATTTCAGATATTCTGAAATTCTTACATAAGGCTGAAACAGATACAACAGTCACATATAATTAGTTTAAACTCTCCATCATGGCGTATTTGTTGCAGAAGATGCCAACAGGTTTCACCCCAAAGAGTGGAAGATAAAGCAGTCTTTATTGTTCTGTGCTGCAGCGCGAATTCCCCCTTTACGAGACTCTATAGTACCACAAATGTCCACCAGAGGGCAGTCATTGATCGGTCTTTGCTCTTGTATTGCCATTATGCATGACTCACTGTGTCTCTTTAGGCTATTAACCCTAATATTATAGGGCCATTAAAGGATGTTTCTATAAAGGGAATTTCAAAGCACTAGAAAATACAAGACCACAGATTTTTGATTGCACATTAAAGCCTTTTGTTCAGAAGAAAGCATAAAGTCTTATTAGTAAAGTGTGAGGCAAAATGTATTTGATTTGTCATGGTTATAGCAAAAAAAAGGAATATGATACTGGTGTGAAAGATAAAAAAACATAACTGAACTCACTGGGATGCTTCACATAGCAAGAAATCCACTATAATCTATAAAGAAACCCTGCAATATGGAAACATGATATATCTGATTTCATCATCAACAAAACTATAGATACTGCTAATGTAATAGAATTTGTGATAAAACATGTATTGCAACAACAGGATTTTGTGTGTGTGTGTGTGTGTGTTTGTGGGAGGGTCAAATATTTCTAAAATATCATCTGCACATCTCTGTACAAACATGAACAGTTTCTATTGTCTATTTCACTTGAATAGCACCCTGTATAACCTGCTCAACATCTCTCTTACATTCGGTAGGTGAGTTATTTTTTTTATGTGAGCCACTTCTCTATGCAGCTCCTGAACACTGTGAAGTTCGAGTGCCACTGAACGTGCTTCACTCCAGAGTGAACGCACACCGACATGTCCCCACGAGCGTCCAGCGTCTTCAGCCCAAATATATCGTTCCTGTAAAACTTTCAGTGGGAGGGAAGCAGATATGGACGGGTTATTAAAAAATAGGAGTAGAGAGGTAGATATTGTGTATTTGACGGAGGGCCTAAAGTAAAAATAAAAGTTAAGATAAGAGTTTCCAGTAAACATAGAGGTGATCCAATTTACCACAGGTGTAGGGTTCGACAGAGTTTCAATGGAAATATATACTACTGTTAGTTTGCAACTTACATCCTGGTTCCTCATTTCTACAATGCTTTCGGTGTTGTTATAGAATCCAAAGTGGCTGTGTAGAAAAGAGGAAACAGTCAATCCAAGTAAAAAGGTTCTGAAACGTCTGCTGCTATTTTAACCAAACAGTTCCCTCAAGGTACATTTTGAAAGCTCCTGTAACTGCTTCATGGTCTCTTTCTGAGACTGATGGCATTATTTACACTGGGGGTGATGGGGGACATTCAAAATCCTATTTTTGTCCCGCTGTCCCACAATCCAGAGAGGAGAAGAGAGATATTGATAATAGTGTTATGTTTCAGGCTACAAAACACAATTTAACATCAATTAAAGATAAGGTAAGGAGAGAAGCAAATAAAATATGTATCTAAAATCTGTTTTTCATTAGTATTGGGTCTACTGTAAAGCCAGATAATCAATTCCATTAGAATATGTTATTTGCTAGATTGATATAAATATATAAACACAGATATTGTTTTTTTCTGAAACCAAACCTTGATCTAAGCCAATGTGAATGACATCCTTTTTCTTTACATGATGCTTATTCTTTAAACAATACATTTCTCATAGACACATTAAAAATGTAAAAACTGGTACTGTTGAGTTCTTATTTATATATAAATATAATTTCAAACATGCACTTAGACCTGTACTGTATATTCATAGCCCCCTCCCCATATATGTATATTGTATATAGTGTACATACAACCCTAATTCTATTTTTTTCTTGATATCTTGTATTTTTCTATTTTACTTTGGTGTTTAATGTGTATTTCTTTTTTCTTATCTGCTATGTTATATCTGGAGCTGCTGTAACAAATGAATTTCCCCAGTGTGGGATCAATAAAGTCTATCTTATCTCTTATTTCATCTTGAACAGTGTGTATATGAATTGTAAAACTGTAATGACCTGGACTGCCATGGTGTGATGACGCCATCATCTGGTCCTCCAATCAGCACAAGCTTCTTGATGCGCAGGAAGTTTTCCCTCCATACTGCGGAGGTGAATTGGAGAAATGCATGTTTAGTTTCTTTTCTTTTACAACAAACCCATTTGTACTGTACAGTGCTGTATAGAGTATGCCAGTAATTTATTCCATTACCTTTCATGTCACTGTGAGGTCTTTCTCCATTAAGCATCACCAGAAAGCTGTTGCTCTGCAGGAAGCGGGACCTTTGGTGAGGGTCTGTGGAGAAAATATTAACATATATCTGCTGTTGTAACTCTTCAAGGGGAGAATTTAAGGAACCATGTTTATATGTGTGTTTTCATTCACACACATTTCACAGCCACTGTAGTTTCCACTTCATGATTTAAAGGGGAGGCTGAAGCAATGGAGTTGCAATTTACAACTACACCATTAGAGGTCCCTAAATCCTACATACTGGTCCTTTAATATTTTCTGCACTTCAATCCAATCATGGAAGACCTCCTCCATCATTCAACGGTGGCTGCAAACTTTCTCCAGTTCAATGAGAATAAATCTCATCTGTTAACTCACATGTAAAAAAAATCATGTAGTAAAATCAAGCATCATCTACAAACTAACCCTGGAATCATAGGCTGTAGACCAAAAAACGCTACACAGGTGCACATGAAAGGTGTGAATTTTGGGGAAAAAGGATGTTATTACCAATGCTGCGGGGGTGTAGCAGAAAAGTAATATAACTAGTAGGGTATAATAATGTTGGTAGGGAGTAATTAGTAAAATAATATTAGTTTTGAAAAGAGAAATGATTATTGAGTAATGAATTAAATTATTTGAGTCCAACACTGGTTGTGTGTAAAGTGCTATATAAATAAAGTTGAGTTGAGTCATTCTCACCATTCCAGTAGTCGCAAATTGACACTTTCTGTCCAAATCTGTTGTAGCAAATACGAAACACTGTCTTCTTCATGCAGTCTGGAAATACCCACTTCAGGTAGTCTGTGTCTGTGGAGTAAGACCATGAAAAAACAGCATCTTGCAACTTTTATACTAAAGAACTATTCTCATAATTCACCAGAATTTAAAAAAAAGTCATCAGTCATTCCCTGGAGGTCAAGGGTTATACAGACACGCTTACAACATAAAATGAAGCTCACTGACCTCCATACTGTCCAGCCTGTGGTGAAGACAACGAAATGAAAGAGTGGACGTTGTGGTCTGGAAGCGTGGCAAGAAGTGCTCGACAAATTAGACCACCTTAGAAAAAAAAGGAGAGGACTAAGGGGTCACAACATTTCTCAGACAAACCTGTCTTGTATGCATATGTTGCATCAAATTAGATGCGTGGATGTAGAGGACCTGCTCCCTCTGTAGATAAAAACAGCTAATTTCAGGGGATCATACACTAATGAAAACAAACCTATGGATATAATATTAATTTCTGCCAATAGATCCTCATAAATCTCACACACTGGAACTTTAATGTTGATCTGTCGCTGGTAATATTTCTGACAAGGGGAACAATAATGTGACAGTTGTATGTCTGTCCTGGAAATTTGGGATTTTAAGCTAAAAATTGGACTTGAATACAGTTTCCTTGTTAATGTACAAAATGTTTTCAATACCTTTGTTCTTTTCCTTGTTTAAAGTATCTTTTCCCAATAGGGTTTTGTAAATGTGTTCTCTGCTTCTAAATGTTTGAGAAAAGAAAGTGCATAACAGAAGCTGAACTGTGAGCCACTGGGTTAAAAAAAAAAAGGTACTTATCTCGATAGAAATGTGGAAGTGGAAGTTGAAGGCCTGTGGTTTGTCCCTCAACTTTAATATATGTGATTGTGTGTGTGTGTGTGTGTGTGTGTGTGAGAGAGAGAGAGAGAGAGGGTGTGTGTCTATTCTTTTACATGTCTATATTTGCATTGTATTGTGCAGGTATGTATTTGTGTTTCATGTCTTTATGAATGAATGTATACATTTGTAAATACACGTGTGTGTGTATATGTAGATTGGGACCATGTGCAAATAAGACATCATGTCCTCAACCGCACTGTTTATTTGCACTGTTTACTATATTCCTACACTCATGGTGGTTATTTTGTTAAATTGACCTTCAGAAAACAGACACTCTGTCCCTTTTTGCTCCGTGTGATCTCCTGTTGTCCTCGTAGGCAGCATGTACAAATTATACAACATCCACGTTTGTGTAAATTATCTCACAATGAGAATTTAGCTTGGTCTCTGGCAGACTGACTGACGCCTTCAGAAATGACTGTTCAGAGATAATTTCTCAAAATATACACTCAGTTGCCTGTTTATCAGGTACACCAGGATACAACTAATGTGCAGTCTAATTCAAGAGTCCAGAAACAGTTTCATTATATTTTAAGGCTTGTATATGTACGTTTAAAAGTGTATGCAAGTGTGTGCATACAGTGTTTATGTGAACGACAGAGAGGACCTTGTGAAAAACACAGAAGATGGACGCCATCAGGAGCCTTCTGCATGATGGAGTCGACGGCTTTCCTGAAGTCTCTGACCTGCCTCCACAATGGCTTCAGACTGGCCATGTTGTCATACAAGTCAATCACCGACACCTCAGTGCCTGGATGCACCTGGGAAGGGAAGAAAAGAAAAGGGAATTGAGTAACAGAGGAGGAACAGACTATCAGAACCACAGACGTACTGATTCAATCAACAGCCAGCGAACTATCAGCTAGATGACTGATGTTATCATCAGTTTCTCACCTTAACATGTTATCACTCATACAGAGAAGTTCCTCCAAAACAAAACTGATCTTGAGGAATAGAAAATGACGGGGGAACAGAAATCCTCACCTTGAAACCACTGGCTGATTTTTACTTCATGAGTTTCTTTGAATAAAATGCTTTAAGGTTCAGCAAAAACAGGTGGACCAAACTTACATCATTCATTGCCAAATTGTATTATTATCAGTGGTGGAATATAACTAAGTATATTTACTCAAGTACTGTACTTAAGTACAATTTTAAGGAACTTCCACTTTACTTGAGTATGCCCATTTTACTTTATATTTTTACTCCACCACATTAATTTAATAACTTAGGACACCAGTTACTTTATTTGATTACTTATACACAATATAATTAACTAATAAATTATGATGTAGGTTTATTATAGATTATTGTAAGGTACCCAGTTATCAGCTGAAATTAGCCCCAGATTTGGTACTTTACACATGCACATGATGATAATACTTTTGTACTTTTACTAAAGTAGCATTTTGAAACCAGGACTTTTTACACTGTGGTATCATAACTTTTACTTAAGTAAAATATCTGAGTACTTCTTCCACTACTGATGTTAATACTGGCTGACTACAAGGAACGATGAACTTCAGAAGTCTCTCCCAAACGCACGTTTTCTTCAGAGAAGTCCTACCTTGGTTATAAACGAAGACAGTGTTTCGAACTGCTTCGGTCCGTCAAAAATGCCATGCACGATGATGACGGGCTTGTATCCGTTAATGCAAACACCTGTCAGCAGCAGCAGCAGCAGCATCGATACCGGCGCTCCTCGGTTGATCTGCGGGGTCTTCATCTCTACCCGGTCACAGGTGAGACCTCTGGAAGAGCAGAACGCAGGATCGAGAGAAGTGACCACAGAGAGACTTTGCCTCAAGGGGTGTGAGATCTTAAACAGTGCTGATGAGTGATTATCGATCTCTTTCAACTTTTGTTTTGAACTGAAGCACATGTGGCCGCTTCCTGCCTGATCACTGCTCCTGCAGATAGTGAGTCGTTTGTGGGGTTTTCTTCTTGTTTAAGATCACATCCGCTTTCAACATTCAGTTATGTATGGTGTAGCACTGAGTCACCCAGCTTACCCACCCACTACATGAATCTTTATTATAGCAGACATTTAAAATGTGTATTACTCATTGGGTAATTTAACATTTTATTATAACGCTAATAATTCCACTTATAATAACAACACTATGAATAATATTAAAAATGACTAGGTCTGTTTATTATTATTATTATTATTATTATTATTATTATTATTATTATTATTATTATTATTATTATCAGTTCATCTGAATAAGCTTTTATCATCCAAGTTATGTGTTAGGCCCTACACACACAGAAGGATTTCGGTTTTAACTCTGGTTTTAAGTTGCTCTTCACATAGTTTCAAGAACAATTCACAGAAAGATAGAAATATACGTATATCTAAAAACGGGGACAACAAAGCTGAACAAAGACAGTTAAAAAAACAGAAAAACATAAGCCCATATGCAAAAAGGTGTATATATAGGCTAGATATAAAGCAGCAATGATATATTGGCATGTGTGTTTGTGGGCTATTCTTTTTTTAAAAAATAAATAAATAAATAAATAAAAATCAAATCAAATGAATCATCAATACTTAGGTGGAAAAGTTCATATTTAGTGGCACAGAACCCTTAAAATCATCAATATATTATAATATATTTGCAACGTGTGCTGTGTGAACTGATTGTTGTTGTTCCTCTTGTGGCCGCAGGCGGGAGTGAGCGCTGCAGCGCTGCCTCTGATCTCTTCTTCGGACGTGTTTCCGCTTTGACTTCAGCGTGCGTTAAGCTAAGTGAGCAAAACATGTTTTGATTATTTTATTTAACGTTATATGGTGTGTGTGTGTGTGGAAAAGAAAGCCACAGATAAATATTTTGACAGGACTACGGAGGGATGGACGTATCCATTAAGCGTCCTTACTGGAAACCTGTGAGCTACAACTCAGACTAACATCTCATTTGTAGCTGAAGTTAGCGAGCTACCATCATAACAACATTAACAACAACAACGTTGTTTTAATAAGCGGTAAGTGAAGTTTACGAGGGTTAAAGTAAAGTAAGACTCAGAGGGCAACATCTTAGTAGAAGAGTTAACTAGTGTAGTGTTGAAATTGAAGATTTAACAACGTACTTAAAGGCGATACATGAATTAAACTGTGTGTTAACGGATAGCAGACTACAAAGTTTACCGCCAAATAATATGTTTACATTAATTTATTGGCCTAATGTTGTGTTTACTACAGTTTTTTTTTTACAGTTTTTAGGTTTTAATATGTAGGAGGACACATTTACAGGATGATACCGATACAGACAGGCAGCAAAACAACTATATAAAACAAAATAAGTAAAGGCACATAGCTACTTATAGACAGCTTAGACTGTTGCTATGATGTCTGCACAGTGTTGTGGTGCATGTTTGGTTGCAGCCAGCAGTTTCTGTATCTACACGTCTTACATCTACACCTAGATTAGAAACAACCATGATCTTGTGTTGTGACTGCTCCCTCCACAGGCACCATGGCCAATCTAGAGCAGTGGGTGAATGACCGTCTCCATGACATCCTCGGGTTGAGTGACAGATATGTGTCCCAGTTCATGATCGGCACTGCACGGAAAGCGTCAAGTTGTCAAGACTTTGTGGCTCGTCTTGAGCAGACGGGCACAATCGACATCGACCAGAGTGTGATTGCCTTTGCGCAAGAGCTCTTTGACAAGGTATGTTTGTCAAATTCCTTTTTTTTTATCTATTGTGGACACTTAATAACATATTTACATGAACCTTAAATGCCTCAAATAGTACCGTCGCATTTTCAGTATGGGAAGTTTGAATGAAACCTCTAACAACATTTTACTGCTGTGTGTTATAGATTCCTCGTAAGCAGGTTGTTGAGAAACCGGCCCGGGCGATGGAGCGGGAAGCCATTGAAATGGACCGGAGGAATCGGACGTACACGTTGCTGGACGACAGCGAGAGTGATGGAGAGTCTGTGAGGGAGAAGCAGAAAGGGAAAAAGAAAAGCAAAGACAAAGACAGAGGAAACAAGAGGAAGCACATCAGACAGAAGAAAGAGAGCGAGTCGTCGAGTGAGGATGAAGCAGCTAAAAGGTAATCTAAAAGGATATTTTGGACTGTGTGCTGTAGAGTACATTTTTCTTTGGTTTGCTAGTTCCAATGAATGATAGTATTCAAGTATGGAAGAGCTGAACCATTCGAAACCTTTTAATTAGCAGTGTTTCCTCTAGGATTTTTTTTAGCAGCGGGGGCAGCCCTGTCCGAACAACCCCCTCTTTCCGTCCCGTCCCTGGACAGCCCCAATAACCTCTGAATAGTTCTACTTGTTGTTAAATTGCAATGTGTGCGGCAGCCAACGGGGGTGCATTATGTCGGCAGGATCATTTAAAAGGCAACCGGGACTACATTGTGCGTCTGCCCCATTTCTGATACCGTGGCGGCAGAAATTTAACAGCGGCAGGCCGCCGCTCCAAAATCAACATAGAGGAAACACTGAATTAGTGATAAAAAGTTTGAATGTGTGCTTGAATGTTGTACAGAAGCTGCGGTTTGATGCATTTTTATTCTAACATCAGTGGAAATTCAGGCAACAAGGACCAAAAGTCTGCCAAGGAAGAGGAGGAGGAAGAGGAAGACTGGGAGAAGGAAGAGAGAGAGCGACAGCAAGACATTGAAGAGAGAGATGCGTTTGCAGAGCGAGTGAAGCAGAAAGACAAAGACAAAACGCGCAACATAACAGAGCGGACGGACAAAAAGGTGGGAGACGAGGGGAATCACAACACAGCTCATGCATTCTTTCAAAGATGACCCACACACTATGACATGCAGCTAAACACCTTCACCTTTTGTTGGTTTGTTTTGTTTCTTCAGGCTTATGAGGAAGCTCAGAAGAGGCTGAAGCTGGCAGAAGACGATCAGAAGAACATGGTGGGGGCTCCATGTTTTTTGTTTGTGCTGAAATAAAGTGTATTATGTTCATGAGCAGAATATCTTGTCACTATAAGACTTCTTAAGAACCAGACCCCTGGTCTTCCTCTTTCTCCCTTTAGTTGCCAGAGTTGAGGAAGCGCTCTCGCTGGGACTATCTAAAGAAGAGAGAGTCGGAGAAGCTGGAGGACCTGGAGGCAGAGATCAATGACGACGAGTATCTTTTCGCCACAGACGAGCTGACTCAGAGGGAGAAAAAGGAGTTGGAATACAAACGCACCCTTCGGGACCTAGCTAAAGATTACAAAAAGGCTGGTGCTAGGGAACAGGAGGAGAGGAAGAACAGATACTATATGCCAGAAGAGAAGAGAAGCAAGGTAGGAACGAGGGATGTCACGTACTGACACAGTGTACAGAGACAGTCACGTAATGGTGCGCATAGATTCAATTGTTCAACTCTTTCCCTCCCTCTCTCTCCACGCTGACCAGGAGCTGCCCCAGAGGGACCTGGAGCTGGAGGAAACTCCTATGGAACTGGGTGGAGAGCAGGGTCGCTGGGAGGAGGAGAGGCTGAAGACAGCATCCCTCAGCTTCGGGGCCAAGAGGGAGCGAGAGCAAGGGATGAGGTACGAGCAGGAGAAGTACCAGCTGCTCCTGGAGGAAGATGAGATGATCGAGTTTGTCAGCACTGCTATGACCATGAAGGGAACTCGGGCGGAAAAGGTGGGATTCGTTTTCTACTTTCTACTACTTCATGACTATTTGTGTCTCACTTTGCATTTCACCTTTGTGTAATCTAGTGAAAAAAATAATGCCAGTGAGCTGAAGTTTGTGTTTCTTCGGTTGTGTTCAGGATCAGGACGCCCCGGCTCTGTCCCAGGCAGAGCTGAACAAACAGTCCATGCAGGAGGTCCGGCGCAGCCTGCCCATCTTCCCCTACAGGGAGGACCTATTAGCTGCCATCAATGAGCACCAGATCCTGGTCATTGAGGGGGAGACGGGCTCAGGAAAGACCACCCAGATCCCACAGTACCTCTTGGAAGATGTAAGTGCAGAATGTAATAGATATATAGATATTAAACATATAATGCTCGCTTATAGAGCCATGACGAGTATACATATCAAGAGTCCACTGAAAGACAACAGAATTTCCTGCAGGAGAGCACGACTGCATATTAATGAGGAAAAGTAAAGGCTAAAAAATAATCTTAAGTCAACAGCATTACAGGTTCCTGGATCATTTCTGCCCCCATCAACACTTCTTTTCTCATCATCTTTACTTAACCGTTGTTAATTTTGATCACTGGTTGACAATTTTTTAAGTCTGCACGTGAAACTGATTCATATTCATTCATATTCAATACTTACAGACACAAAGGTAATACGATGCGATAGGAATAGTTTTTCCATTTTGTGAAATATGCTTATTTGCTTTCTTGCGGCGGGTCAGATGAGAAAACTGATACGACTCTGAATGTGAAACTGTACCCAGGTCAGTCTCGCCTACTAATCGTCCGGGGACTTCTAAATGCAAAGTAGTTTCTTAAACAGTGGCGGGATTACATAAAGGACTGAGTGACCAGGACATGGAGCCTCTGGAAAGACTTTTACCTGTTGAATCTTTGAAATCTAACTTTTCAACATTAAAAATAAACTCCATTTGTTACCACTCTGTGAGGGTGGCAACAGCGCTCTCAAAACCTCTGACTAAACTAAAATAATCTGCACGACAAGATGACACTAGTAGTAAAAAAATTAATCTACTCTTCAACCTATTGTTCATCTCTTAGGGCTACACTAATGGAGGCATGAAGATCGGATGTACACAGCCTCGCAGAGTGGCAGCTATGTCGGTGGCAGCCAGAGTGGCACAGGAAATGGGCGTCAAGCTTGGGAATGAGGTGAGCATGGCACATTATATAAAATGCTGAACCCATTTAACTTTAATTTCATTACAGACACAATTTTGACACAATTTTATTAATGTTGAAAATGCATTAAGATCTGTACATCAGTGAATTCTGTATTATATTTTATCATGATTTTTAAAACACTTTAAAGGGGTTCAAAATTCGTTTCATATTAACTTTATTACTTCATTCAGGTGGGTTACAGTATTCGTTTTGAGGACTGCACGTCAGAGAGAACAGTGCTCAAGTACATGACAGACGGCATGCTGCTCCGAGAGTTTCTCACAGAGCCCGACCTGGCCAGCTACAGGTAATGCAAAGAAGGAAAATCACCAACTGGTCCTCACAGGGAGTTGCACTTTAACCTGTTCAGAAAATGAAGTTACTATGCAGTAAATACACAGGTGTAATATTTTGTTTGTTCATCCCAATTCCTTATGTCAACATGTCATTTGTCGCCCATAAACTTTCCACAGTTCCTTTCTGCAGTTTCATATTTCAAATGAACATTTCCATGTAGCTGTATGTAATTCTGTTTATGTATGTGCTCCATGATCCCCTCTCCCCACACTCTGTGTCCCTCTCTCTCCCCCCAGTGTGATCATCATAGATGAGGCCCACGAGAGAACGCTCCACACAGACATCCTGTTTGGTCTGATTAAGGACATCGCCAGGTTTAGGTCAGACCTGAAGGTGCTGGTGGCCAGCGCCACTCTGGACACCGAGCGCTTCTCCTGCTTCTTTGACGAGGCACCTGTCTTCAGGATTCCAGGCAGGAGGTTCCCCGTCGATATCTTCTACACTAAAGTAGGAACACAATACAGTACACATTACATTTTTTTAAATAATGAGAATTCTTCGGTTTATGGATTGATGGAAAAAGAACAGCAATACAGTAACCAAGAAGAACATTACTCCCGAACTACTTCATCTGTTTTGTCACTCATTTTTGGATATTTACAAGAATGAATGAACAATAAATAAAACGAGTTGTTGTTTATCCATGAACTACATATGGGTTAGGCCTCTGTGTGGGTCACCAAACCCCCATTGTATTTTGAAGAGAAAGAAATGTTGTAAAGGATTGTAAAGGTTCCCTGAGTCAAATAAGACTAGAAAAACCCACCAGTAAAAATCTAACTGTTAATGTATTTATCTATATGTTGTGTTGTCAAGGCTCCAGAGGCAGACTACCTGGAAGCTTGTGTGGTGTCAGTACTACAGATCCATGTCACCCAGGCTCCTGGAGACGTTCTGGTTTTCCTCACTGGACAGGTACTGTTTATATCAAGCATGGAGTTTTCAATATAGTTCAATATTTTTGATACAGTTATAACAGGTTTATGTATTGTGTGTAATATGTGCGTCTTTATCCCCTTAAAGAAGTGGTTTTAACCACGACGTTGTCTAAGAGTGCTTTCAAAAACAACTCCGATGTGCTTTGCCTGTTCAGTTTAATTTTCAGAATCAGCTTTATTGGCCAACTACGTTTCTAGTTCTCAATGTACTAAAATATACAGTTCCAAGGACATTTTCATCAGGAAGATGGAAATAAAAAACACAAGGACAACAAAGCTGGGCAAAACATAGGCAAACCTAACATAAAAAGCAACATAAACATATACAAGCAACAATGAACAACAAGATACAGTGTTTATATACAGATCTTATTGTTTCTAAATGTTTTTTCCTTGGTCTGGACCAAATGAACCAAACTACAAGTGTGACAGCGACCTAAGTTCCCTTATTTACGTCACCAGTATTCACTGAGGGATATTACGGTCACTAAGGTCACATTTTTATCATTTGTCCTTGTGTGTTGGTTGACTCTCTAACCTATTTACCTGTGTGTATCTTGCAGGAGGAGATTGAAGCCTGTTGTGAGATGCTCCAGGAGAGATGCAGGCGCCTTGGATCTAAGATAGCAGAGCTGCTGGTCCTTCCCATCTACGCCAACCTGCCATCAGACATGCAGGCAAAGATCTTCAATCCCACGCCACCTGGAGCCCGTAAGGTGAGACGATGTCTTATTTCCGCGCAGCATACTTGGGGAAAACTGTCATTGTGTCCTAATACAATTGCCCTGGATGCAGTAGGTCACTGTAGGATTAGTATTTCAACTTGGCATACTCAAAATGATCGGCAGACTATGACAACAAGTTTATTTCTTTGAGCCTTATAAATGAAGACAAAAGCTCTCTGCTATCTGTTTACTGTATCACTTGTATTAAGCAAGAGCCTTTTCCTATTGACCCAGATTAAATGTCCATGCTATTGTTCACCAATAGAGGTTGCTGTAGCACAATGATAATGATTGCTGAAGAGACTTACCATCCTAGTTTCTTTAAAAAAAAAACACACACACATTTAGACAGATGAAATCCTTGCTTTGATGTTTTTATCACGTCTTTGTTTAACAGCTGTATTAAATCCTCATTCCGCATTGCTTGAGCAATCTTGGTACTGTGTGTTCTCCCCTATCAATCCTAGGTGGTGGTGGCTACCAATATAGCAGAAACCTCACTGACCATAGATGGCATCATCTACGTCATTGACCCAGGCTTCTGCAAACAGAAGAGTTACAATGCCCGCACTGGCATGGAGTCACTCATTGTAACGCCCTGCTCACGGGTAACTGTTCACTTTTTTTTTAATGTTTAAGTGAAGTGAAGGTAAATTTTATCCAGGAGTGTAGTGAATGCTCATGTTTTGAAAACCCCAAAATCCACCTGCTCAGGTGCGATAAATTGTGATAAGCTATGATATTGTATAAAGGTCCAAGTGCTGTGTTTTATTTGTCCATTCGATGTGTTGCTGTTAGTATTAAACTATGTGTGTGCATTGTTATTATTATTTTTTTTAGTTTCTTAACATTTTGCCAACTCTTGCTTTGTGTCTGTTTCACTCTTAGGCTTCGGCCAACCAGAGAGCAGGCCGTGCAGGCAGAGTGGCTGCTGGGAAGTGTTTCAGGCTTTACACAGCCTGGGCATTTAAACATGAGATGGAGGAAACAACTGTGCCTGAGATTCAGAGGACCAACTTGGGAAATGTAGTCCTGCTGCTGAAGAGTTTAGGTGAGTGAAGGAAGCACTCTCGTGTGGGATAAAATGACTGTTAAACGGATGTCATTAAGTTGGAGCAGATTAGATCTCCATTTGGTGACCGTGCAATAAGCTAATACTTTTTGCCCGCAGGCATCAATGATCTCATTCACTTTGACTTTATGGACCCACCTCCTCATGAGACTCTGGTCTTAGCGCTGGAGCAGCTGTACGCCCTGGGAGCACTCAACCACATGGGAGAGCTCACTAAGGTACAAACGTCTTTATCTTGGTTTTATTCAACCCGAAATTACGCTTGTAGTATAGAGGCTATAATCAGTATTTTTATAGTGACAGTGTTTTAAATCTCGAATTGTAAAAACAACGTGAAAGATGTTGTTGTGATGAACAAGTGAGAATTATCACCTGAATCTGGATTATTTTATCAGTTAATCTATAAAATATCAGAAAATGGTAAAATGTTATATTTTTTCACAGGCCAAAAGTCTTCAAATCTCCTGTTTTGTCCAAACAGTCCAAAAGATATTCATTGTTCAGTTTCTATTGTTTGGAATTTTGCTTAAAAGTGACTAAAACAATTATTTGTATTATTCAAATGTAAATGAAATTTAATAGCTGACATACAGTAAGTTATAAATGTTAAGGTAACACCGTTACATTTTACCCAATAGATTAAGGTTTGAGCTTTTAGAATAACTCCGGAGTCTCCACAGTCCTTGTTTAAAACAACTTTCTCACAGAAAACAGATGCTTAACCTTTTGCTTTACATGTATTATCTTCACTCTGATCAGCTGCATATTTGCATGACACACTGTACATACCTGATGCTTGTGATGCTCTGTCATGGCTTCCTTGATCAAACTTGCTGATTTATGCTAGAGATAACTCATTGTGTTAACAATTGAAAACTTTTGATATAATATAAATATTTTTCAGGCGGGTTTGGCTGACTACATTATTGGTAACTACTGTAGTGCAGGTTATTGTTTATTAAATGAATGAATGAAGTCTTTCATTGTTTAAATGCCTTGAACTCTTTGTTCTTGTTTGTCGTCGTTCAGCTGGGTCGCAGGATGGCTGAGCTACCAGTGGACCCCATGCTGAGCAAGATGATCCTGGCCTCCGAGCAGTAAGTCTTCAGTCTGATATTAGCATAAGCTTTCACTATATGTATATTTGACGGGACCCATTTAGGAATGTGCCTATACTGATACAAGTATTGGGTATCGGCTCCGATACTGCACCTGATACTGCTTTACAACGTTGCTTGACCTCTTGTTAGTTGAGCAGATGGGGGGGAGGAGAAGCAACGACCGCAGTTTGGAGATGTTTAAAGCTACTTTTACAACAACATTAGCAACATTTAATTAATTACAGTTAGAAAGTGAGGACCATCTTTCATCAGAGCCTATCCTGATTTTACTTGAATTGACACATTACCTGCCTAAATACTGTAAGAAGCATAAGATGTATTGAATCAGTGTGACATTGTATTTCTTAAGTACCAAACTTTTCCAGGCTTGTGTTTATGTAACTGGTGTTCTGGGGTCATATAAATTACTCCAGGAATTAAGCTATTTATATTCATGCTGTCCAATAAGCTCCGCCTCCGCCAGTAACAGGAAAAGCTGCGTGGAAGAGCTGCAAGGTTTGGTGGAAGATTTTTATTGCCAGGTTATAGAAAATATTATACATATTCTTTAATATTTATTTTATTGCCTTTAATCGATAGTGAAGGGAAAAGCGGGGAAGAAAGAGAGAGGGGATGACATGCGTGTCAAAGGGCCAGAGGTCGAAGTCGAAACCCACAGCCACTGCAGCAAGGACTTGGTATATGGGGTGCAACAAGATTATATAAACAACACAATGGGTCCTGGATAAGGAACTTGTATGTTATGTGTTGTAAAATGGGTTTGAACATCAATTCTTCAAACCGGAGAAGACAGAAAAAGTGATTTATGAAGTTAAACGGAACTGGGTAAAGGAGATTTGGAGTTAACCAACGAAGAAATACGGTGTATTTATATTGACATGGGTCAGTGCAGTGTTTTGGAAGAAGAAAGTTGAATCTGCTGGTTGAAGTAGAAAATGAATACCATTTTGTCTTTTTGTTTTTACTTCTCTTTGTATTGTAAACTTAAATCCTTTGTTTAATGATAGAAAGGATACAGGTGAGAACGATTATTTAGTGAACGTGTGAGAGTTCAGGAAGAAAACCTTGTTTAAATAAGAGGTGGATGATTTATATATTTTTTGCTTTCTCTTCTCTCTGCATTTTTCTAAATTTCTTTTCTATGTTGTTTTTTTTTGCCTCCTTCCAGGTACAAGTGTTCGGAAGAAGTGTTGACAATAGCGGCCATGCTGTCGGTAAACAACTCTATTTTTTACCGGCCTAAAGACAAGGTGGTGCACGCCGACAACGCCAGGATGAACTTTGTGGTGCCAGGGGGAGACCACCTTGTGCTGCTTAACGTCTACACACAGGTATAAACACAGCAATATGTTGGCACAACTGTTAAGGCTAATGCAGTTCAATCCAGTACACCTGAAAGAAAACCGGTTTATGAAGATTGTGATGTTTAAATGTGTCGGAGAGGTTTTCTTTGAGATTTATTTAAATCTTTGAGGCCATAGTTAGTGTTGGTGTTATACTGCATTTTATTAAAAGGTGTTTTCTGATGTGTTGTACCTGGACATAAGGTGGACAGAATATTACAGTCGAATCAACCCCTCCAAAACAGTCTAAATACAGCAAATACAGCAAAATATTCAGGTTTTCTGTGACCAGGTATGCAAATATTTGGTGAATACATTTTTACAACTGTGTTCTTAACCTCTGTTTTTTTTAAAACTAGTTTAGACCTGCTCAACAGGGATCGGCTACAACATTTAAACAGTTTGTAACCTTTAACAAAATACCAATAAAAGGACAGGATGGAAATTCATATTCATTTGATGAATAATTACTTGAAAAGAAAATGTACTTTACTGCACTGCTCCTTCTTATATGAACATATTAAATATTTTTTCCCCGTTACACATCTCATGAAACCTCAGATTTATCGCGCAACCCCTTGTGGAGTCTCAACCCACAGGTTGAAAGCCATAGTATGGCCTGTAAAAACTCATTGGCCTTGAGATATGCCTACTTAGGTGTTGTGTTAACTGCAGTCATGATGTCTTTCTCTTTCAGTGGTTGGAGAGCGGCTACTCCACACAGTGGTGCTATGAGAACTTCATCCAGTTCCGCTCCATGAGAAGAGCCCGGGACGTCAGGGACCAGCTGGAGGGTCTGATGGATCGTATTGAGGTGGAGGTGGTCAGCTCCCAGGGAGACAGCTTGCCCATTCGCAAGGTCAGTGATACTGCTCCTGATGAATTATAATTTACTAGTCTATGTTTTTGGTATGTTGCCTAGATATTACTGTTGGGCTGTAACTGTCAAATACCCTGTTTATACCAAAATTAGCATGTATATGTTTGAATAGAAAGCAGCATGAAGGTCAGGGACATTTTCTGGTGGTTACTTTTCCTTTTATCTTTTACTTCAGTCTCTCTTTCAAACTCAACACTGACGAACCACGAGAATCTCTCTCACTTCACTGTCTTGCCAGTGTTACATCTTGCACCATACAAGGGACAAAATCGCTGTTTTTGTTCCAATAGACAAAAAAACAATAAAAAATGTTCCTGGCTATTTTTCTGGAACTTCAACACGGGTCATAGCCGGAGAAAGAGCAAAAATTAGCCCATTTCCATCAGGAGCTCGAGCCAATAAATACCCTCGACTACAGCAGAGTCATTTGACCTAGGAAGACAAAAGCCAGATGTTAGTGGGTGTTACGTTGTGGGTAGGTACGGTGTAGCCTTGTACTCCCGTAGCCTACGCTGCAGCCTGACGTGCACCTCCCAGATGAGTAAATAATGCTGTTTGAGAATCCCTCTACAAACATGCACACACATTCTCAGAAAAGCGCGTCCTCGCATATAAAGGAGAGCTGGTTTCAGTTTAATTAGATTTTTGAGTTTCATCCTTTAGCCGGCGTGTCTCCAAAGGGAGGTGAAAGGTTACACTCTGATATAGCCACGGGTTTCTGCTCAGGAACACTTTAGGCGAGTCAATGCTTTCTGTCATGAGAGATTTATGAAAATACTAGTCTCTAGAAAAATTATATAGTTTTGCACATTGGAAATGCAAAAAGGAAACATGTAAATCCTTACTGGACAGAAGCTTTGTGAATAGCCCTTTCATATCAGGGTCTGTGTGTGTTGTGAACGCACACCTAAACCACTTGAGATAAGCAAGGGCGTTTGTTTTATTAGTTGGGTTACACCTTCTTTCATCATATGCTGCCTTTGCCTGTGTCAAACATCCTGCAGCCAAATAGGCAAAAAGCAATCCCACAACTTGTTTTGTTATTATGAATTAAAAGTTAAAAATAAAACAGATACTATTTAGAGCTGATGTAAGGGAAACTAGCTTTAGAAGACAACCAAACAACAAAGAAAGATGAGGACAAATCAAATCAAATAACAAAAAAAACAAATGGAGAATATCTTGAATGACGCATAGGAAAATAAAACTGAGATTCACAGAACAAACCTTTTATAAATCAGGCCCAGAAGCAGCAACAAGACGGCTCAGGGCACACTACATTATAAATGTAAAATAAAATAACCTATGAAGCAGAAGAAAATCATAGAATCTTAATTTATTATGAAACCTTATACTCACTCGATTGTTAATAAAGAAAATATTAAACAATACTTGTTATTGTTAGAGCTTCCCTCCATGGGAACAGTACTAAACGATGAATTGACCGACCCATCTCAAAAAATTAATCGGATATAGAAATTAGTAAATTGCAAACAATCCCCCAACAAGTGACCAGTTTTCCTGTGTACTGTTATAGTAATTGGAAAATAAATAAAGAATTAAAAAAAAAAAAAAAATCTATAAAGTGGCTTTAGTAGCATTCTGTGTATTCCTTGTTTTAAACCAGGGGGCACTGACATATCCACACTTACATGCAAACATAAGGGAAGTGAATTTGAAAATGTTTGTCCTAGTTTAAGGCCAAATGACAAATGCAGATGCACTTCTCCCGCCGCATGACTAGTGTCGTTATGTGACAGATGTCTCTCTGCTGTATTTCAGTATCATGCTGTTTCTTTGAGCATTAATTTCATGAACACACCCAACACCACCCAGATTACAGCAGGTGTGAACAGTTTGTGTGCATCTGTCAAAACAAGATTAGAGAAGGTCTGAAAGTTGCATTTGGATGGTATCTGTTTTGCAAATCCCACACGAAACCCACCTTCAGTACAAAACTCACGGTGTGAATCATCTGCTTTTCTTGCTTTCTGATGCCGTGCTGTAGTTCCCTTCAATAATACACTTCCTACCACCGCTACACTCGGACAGTCTTATGATTGTGTGTATAAATGCATCACTGAGAATGAAAAATCAGTTGTCACAAAGTTGAAAACACTTCACATGAAAAGGTGACATTGGAGATGCATTGTTCTTGCATGACAGTGGCAGCATGTTGGCCTTTGTTCAGTTCCTCTTTGATTGTTAACAGACAAAAACATCTCATCCAACTCATCCTGCACTAACCTGTGCTGCATTACATATGAATTATGTGATCAAACCGGACTTTCACGGTGTCTACTTTATACACAGCTTTGAGTGGCTGATTATAGTATTCTATTTTCTGATTTATAATCGTATTAATCTCATGAATAACACCACTTTTATTCAGGTTCAAAGGTCCATATCGAAAGCCTCATTGTTACCATGAATGCAACTTGACTGAGCCATGTATGGGGACTAATAAAGTACCCAATTACTGGTATAATTTGGTCTTTATTCAACTGTAGTCATCTTAATTCCTATTCTGCATGACAATTAATCAGCTGTTCATTAACCCCTCTCCCCTCTCTCTTGTCCCTCTCACAGGCGGTAACCGCAGGATACTTCTATCACACAGCACGCCTGAGCAAAGGCGGCTACAAGACGGTGAAACACCAGCAGACGGTCTACGTCCACCCCAACAGCTCTCTGTTCGAGGAGCAGCCCCGCTGGCTCATCTACCACGAGCTAGTCTTCACCACCAAGGAGTTCATGAGACAGGTCTGCCTGCTCGGGATGTGACACATCTAAATCTATCGCAAATATTTGCAGTCATAGTAGCTGTAGTCTGTCTTGTATGCTAATGTGGAAGACAATCATTAATTACAGTAAAAGGCCCGATCACACCTTTCATTGAGTCCAGTATGAAAGCTTCCACAGAGTAACTGCTGGTGGGAATGAGACAGCACACTAATGAGGAAGTGTGACGTTCGTTCCTGTACAATATTTAACTGCTGCCCTGCCTGTAGAAACACACTGATTAATCTCTCTCCCCATGCACACAGGTGATTGAGATAGAGAGCGGCTGGCTGCTTGAAGTGGCTCCTCACTACTACAAGAGCAAAGAGCTGGAGGACAGCAGCAGCAAGAAGATGCCCCGCAAGCAGGGTAAAACAAAAGAGGAGCTGGGCTGAAGAGGAGACCAAGGCTCAGGGGACAGATGGCAAAAGGAAACACTCTCTTCCTCTCTCAGGGCAGGGTAAAAATAGAAATATGACTTTGGAAGTATAGAAATTGCATAAAAATAAAGAGGAAATCTGTGGAAAATGTAGTTGTTTGGTACTAGTTCAGTACATAAACAGCTACATGGTTCTCGCCTGTCTTCACATGTGAAATTGTTTTCTGCTGTAGATTGATACGCCATTTTTAATTGTGCTCAAACAGTATCAGCATTCAACATATTAAATCTGGCTGCACAAAGTAGTCTGAACACAGATGCGTGGAGCAGAGAGATGGGTCCAGTGAGAAGTGGGTCACAAACTTACTGACCGGTTTAATCATAAACCAGCCGTGTCATCTGGGCAACAACGAGGAAACATTAATGCACTTGGATCTGAGTTTCCTGCATCAACAGCAGCAGTACAGACTCACTGGGTGGCTTTTTCAGCTCATTAATGAACGCGAGACTGTTGTCCTACTTCTCCCCCTAAATAAAGGGGCTTTGTCGAAGTGTGCATTTGTGGACACAGCACACTGTTAAAGTGTGCAAATTGATTTTTGACTGGAAAGACTTATTTCAAAATAATGAGTTTCATTCTTGTGTGAAGCTCCTTATCTTGTTTATTTTCATTTTTCTACGACAATAAAGTTTTACAACCACTTGGTTTTTTTTTTCAGTTGATTTGCAGCTCAGTGATTAGTCATTATTACTTTAGTATTTACTACCTGTCAAGATTGACTCAGGCTTTTTTCTTGTTTCAGTTGCACCAGTAAAGTTTACTTTTGTTCATAAAGTTATATTTAGACGCTGTATTTAAATATCTTCTTGTCAGGCTTGTTACTACAAAGGGACTATGTGAGTTTGGAATTAAGTTTGCTTTAGAATATTGTACAAAATCACTGTAGGTGCATGAAAATATTAGTAGTACCATCTAGGCGTGCTCTGTATGAAGTGTCCTGAGAAAGAAAAACTTGGTGCTATATAAATAAAAGGGAACATCAGAGAGAAATAATACAATACAATAAACATGTATTTAATTTGGAATAGCACTTGTGTGTTAATATTTAACTTGTAACTGAATACAAAATATGTTACACCATTATGCATCCCTCATAAGAATACTAACTTTTAAGTCCCTTCAGAGGCCCTCATAGCTGCATGTTTTTGTTACATAGAGAGTGACGCATCACTTTGTTTAAGGAAGAGCTCTTTGACAAAGCAAACGAAACTTCTGTTTAATGTAAAATATTGAACCCAGTTTTGGCCATTTCATGAGTTGTCATCTCATTCAGGGTGTATCCTCAGATATTCAGGAAGCTCAGATGAAAAGGGAGTAACCAGGACTGTGCAGTGAGAAGAGGTTTTGATAGGTAGCTGTTCTTGTTTGGGTGGTAAACTCACAAAGTGACAAGAGCGGTGGAGGTATGACAGGTATGAGGTGCTGATACATGCGGTGTTGACAGTACAGTACCCTTGTCTTTTTTTATGCAGCCACAGTGGAATTTTCCCAACAGTCACTTGTTTTTCTTGATTCATATCACACATACAGTCGCATAGAGCAAAAATAAATTCATGTGCTTCTCAAGCATGTGACCCTTCATGTCACTGACACCATATATCTGACATTGAATGCTCGATTCAACAACGAAAGCTGAAGGCAATATTTGTTTGATTCTTAATTGACTGATAATGATAATTGACTGAAAATTGAGCTAGGATCACTGGCACAGCTGCCTTTATGCAATACCATGATACAAGCATGATGTAGGTTCTGCTCTGTAAGGAGACGTTAGAGTTATCTAAGTAAATGACCTGGTTATCTACATATTTCAACACAGTTAAAAGCACTCCTCACGACAGCTGGTCCAACTGGTCTGACTAGAAAAGAAAAGGAAGGCGTGAGACAGCCAGGAGGAGGGCTTAGAGGAGGCAGTGCCGTGTTACAATTAAAGCCCAGATATGAGAGGAAAGATACAAACAGAAGAGGAGAACTGGGATTACAGAAGCACCAAAAGACTTCTAGAGTTCATTTTCTGTTTGTTTGTTTTTTGTAATGAAGTTTGATGACGACGTGATTCCAACATTCATCTACCTCAGCAGGTCAGTGTTTGTGTGTGTGTGTGTGTGTGTGTGAGAGAGAGAGAGTGTGTGCAAACTGTCTTGTTCTTTGTCATAAAAAGGTTTCCTCTGCTGCTTTTAGCTGGCAAACTCCTCTTGTTTTAAAGCCCCTAAATTCTTAATGAAGAGAAACTTAACTTAAACTTGTTCCAAATGTAAACATGTCTACAGTTGAAGGAAATCAGCTGCTAGAATATGAATTCTGTTGCTCCTGCTGGTTAAAAACTTTGAGTTAATGACTGACTATGTACGATGGATGTGTCTGATGGAATGTTTTCTATGACGATCCAAAACAATGAAGCCCTGTCACACAGCAATGTCACCTTTGGTTTAGTTTTACTTATTAGGTTTCAACCCACTAAGACAGCAGGATTATAAGAATACCCATTACCTAAAACCTATTTGAAGCCCTTTTTCTGCAGCTCTTACTGCATATGTGTTTGCTGATGATTTCTGGGCTGGAAAGCCTATTAAATAAATACAGCAACTCATTATCAAGGCAAAAGCACCGCATGTGCAATAAATGTGAAAAATAAACAGATAGCATTTGAATGCGATAGATATGTTAGATAGGAAGAGATTAGACATTATTGCTTTATCATCATGACAGCAATGGTGACTGTGCAGGTAAATTCCAACAGTTTGTTTCCTGCTCTACCTGTTTCTGTAAGTTAGTTGACTCACCCAAGCTCTCATTTTCCACAGCTCCTGTTGGAAAACTGTGGATCAGATTCCAGCCAGCACACTACCTCCAACAACATTCTTCCAACATGAGCGATGATGAGGAGAGACACAGATCCGAAGGGAGCAGGAGCCAGAGCCATGGAGCCAGACAGGCCCCCAACGTCAAACCCAAGCTCAGCCAGAGAGAAAGGAACAGCAGGGAGGACCAGTTGAAGAAGAAGCCTGCAAAAGTGAGGAGATCGAGGAGCACCGACTCGGAGAGGGTGGAGAGAGGCAGGAGGAGAGAACGAGATAGGCACCAGGAAGAGAGGAGGCAGCGGGGGAGGAGTGAGGAGGCCCGGAGACGAGACAGAAGGGAAGGAGAGAGCGACCGGAGGAAGGTGAAGCCCCCTCAGGATGATGTGGAGGACACTGAGTGCGCTGTGTGTTTCTGCACATACGATAACGTATTCAAGACCCCGAAGCTGCTGGTGTGTGGACACACCTTCTGCCTGGAGTGCCTTGCTCGCATAAACGTGACCTCTCCTGAGCTCAAGACCCTGTCCTGCCCTGTATGTCGTGAGCTGACTGACCTCCCCCACGGACAGGACCTTCCCCGCCTGGGCAACAATCAGGACATCATAGGGAAACTCCCACCAGACATGCAGAGGGCCCTGTCCATCCGCTTCAAGCGCAATAAAGGCAAACTGGTCCTGAAGAACCCTCCTCCTAGCAGCCCGATCAAGCCTAATATCCTCACCCTGCCTAAAAAGAGTCCAGAAGGCCAGGTGACAGCGGGCGGTGACCTCCACTTGAGTACAATGGAGCAGGGAATAGTCCCAACCACAGTGGTGGATGTAGGCAGGCCTCCAAGCAGGGTCAGAGGTCGCCTGCGCAGGTTGTTCCGCTCGGACCAGTGCTACTATGCAGTGGTGGCGTCCATCATCACCATCACGGTGACGCTCATGCTGGTGGGGATTCTGGCCTTTGTGATTATACCGAATGTGGTTATTCACCGTAGGCCTGTTCATCAAGGCAACCAAACATCATTCGGTCCCCCAGGAAGTGGATCCCCTCCCTGAAGGGGGCAGGGGTGGACAGGCTGTGGGTTGAGGGAGAGTATATGACACTAAACTTGTTGTATTCTCAGTGATGTCTTCTCTTGGTGAGTAATGGTGAAAATAAAACAAAACACTGGGACACATTCAAGCTGATTGGCATGCAGTGAAGCGAAGAAATGAAGGGAAACGAGGACAGCAACATTTTTGTAAACAAACGACACGCAGACTCAAAGTTGTACATGAAGGAAAGAGGACAAACGTGTGCATGTTTCTTAAACGATCTATATGTTCTTTTCTGAACATGTTTGTGATTACTGTGAAAAGCCAGAAACACTGTATGTGTAAATAAACTGTCCATAATGATTAAGAAGCTGTAAAATATTGAAATGCACTAAATTCTGTGGTGGAAAGACTTATGTATGTTTTGATTTCATCAGGCTGATTTTCCAACAGTTCAGGATTTCTAGATCTTACAAATTTTGTTTATAGACCAACACATTGTACATAACCATAGATGATATATATTTGTAAGTATTTTTTCTTTTCACTGATATTAATGGACTTTATTTCCCATCGTATTCAAATAAAGCATTCTTGAGGCATTGAAAACGTATTGCTCAGTATTTCAAAAACACATAAAGACAATTTTATTTCTCTAAACTATTCTGGATCTTTTTTCATATTATTTTGAAATTAAATAATGATCAGCTTGCTTTTAATGGTGTGGTGGGGGACTCCCTGTTTATTTCCCTGACCCCTGCCCTCTACTGAGTCAAAACAGATTTATTGCCTATTGCCTTTTTAGAAACCTGCAGGGCTTCTTTAGACACATGATGCCCTCTAGTGGTGTACACAGACCACTTAACAGTCTTTGGATACTGAACTTCTCCTCAGCTGTGCCTCTGGCTTCTTGTGACTGACAAACCCGTTGGACAGCATGAGTGTCACCTATTACCTTCAAAACATTTCTTCTGGCTTACTCAGGAGTTCAGCTGTCTGTTTTGACAATGAGACAAGATATGCGATCGCTTGTAACATGCCATCCGACTCCGGCTTGGTGTGCACAAAACATGTGACATGTGAATCATGATGAAACAACTGCAGGAATGACATAAGAGAAATTGAACTCGGGCTTTATGATACATACATACAGTGTTCAGTGGCTGTCTTTAAACGTATAGACAAGTTAGAAATAACAGGATTGCCCTGTGTATTATGAGAGTAATGTACTCTTAACTTGTAACTTTAGTTTGTAAAACAGATAAATATAGACTTTTACACTTATTACACTTGCATGCTCTCTCTAACGACAGTGGAGAAAAGTAACTAAGTATATTTACTCAAGATTAATCCTCTGGTACTTGCACTTTACTTGAGTATTTCCATTGTATGCTCCTTTGAAGAGGGGGATTCTGTGTGATAACTACTTTTACTCTTGATACTTGAGTACATTTTGCTGATAATACTTTCATACTTCTGTACTCGAATACAGGACTCTGCTTTTTCCACCACTGCCTAAAGACACACCTACCTGACCCCCAAACCCCCACCCCTCCCCTCGGCTATCGAGGCAAATATGGTCGCATGGTCCAGAGCAGAAAAGACCCCCCTCCTCTATTCCACTTCTTACGCAAATTAACCTTTATACGTTATGTGCCCGCTTGGATAGAGGTTAAACGCCAGAATCCTGAAACAGAGACGGACTGTTGTGGATACTATCGACCACTATGGCTTCCACTCCCTCCGCCTCTGCCTTGTCTGCTGTTCTCCGGTGTCGGGGGAATCTCTGGACCAGGAATCCGCCGACCAAGCGGCCTGCCACCTCGGTTTACAGCCTCGGACTAGCCGGCGGCGTGGTGCGCGACTCGCCGGCTGAGCGCACCCTGCCAGATCAGGCGTCAGCGTGGGAGGCTTTTCTCCAGGGAGAGCGTGTTGTGGTGTGGAGAAAACTGACTCTGGCGTTTAAGTCACCCTGCGTGGATGGTAAAGTGCGCAGGCAAAAAAAATCCAGGGAAAGTAATAAATTATGTCATCCAAAACTTTCGCAATCCCCGGGGGACGCGCACTCAGCTGTGCCTGGTGTCCAAAACGCGCTGGTGCGTCAACTGGCACGCGGATTAACGTTTAACCTGCCTGGAGTTGATGAATGCTCTAAAATAATTCAAATGATTAAATATAAAACATATGCCACATATATGCACACACATATGCAGATCTGTAAGATAGGTTTGGTATTTGTTCAGGAAATAAGTGAATCCCCAGCTGGCGTTTTAAAAGTGTCCATACCGTCCCCTTGCGTGATGGAAGATGCAGGACAAATACCGTCTTTCGTGTTAACTGGCTGGTCAACACTGAAGAGCACCTGTTTATCTTTGACTGCTCTGGTGTCAGAACTGATGTTTTTGAAGCTGGGGCTGTTGTGTAGGTCCAGCAGCAGCCCTAAAGATGCGCCACAGCACCTGCTGAGCCAACAGGATGAGGAAAACATAAAAGACAATGCCCTGCAGGTGAGTGTCACAAGACTTAATTTGATACCAACGAGACCACATCGTTTGTGTTGCTGTAGTTACTGTATGAAATAATTTTATACACCCTCTTTCAGGAAAATGGACAAATCGACAGTTCTATTGGCCCCATCTCCACCCAGGACAACTCCGGCTCTAGACAAAGGATCACAAAGCACAGACCTGCCTGAGAGAGAGTCCAGATCCAAGGCCTCAGCACCAAAAATACACACTGTGATCTAACCTTATTTATTGACTTCTACTTGGCTTTCACAAAACACAAATCACATCTGGACTTCAACCCAGTGATATAAGAAAACAACTGGTTGTTTTAGAGCACTTTCTTTTGCTTTGGTACTCAAGTACTAAGCAATACTGTAACAATAAATAACTGTAAAACAAACACATGCCTTCTTTGGAGTCCTACATTTTATTTTAGCTCTCCTGGTGGATAGTTAAAATAAGAAATATCATATGGCAGGACATTTTTAACCTTACCCTGTGTGTTTTTCACAAAAGCTTATTTTGTATTTTGAATGCAATTAAAATAAATGTAGAGTGAAAAATGCAATATCGCCTTCTGAATTATAGAAAAGTTTAAAAATGTAGCATGAAATGGAAACCGCCTACTCACATCTACAACTACTACAGTACAAGTTTGTGGAAATACAGTTATTTCTTTCTTTACAGAGTTAGATGAGACTCTACCACTTTCATATCTGTATGGAAATTACTGTATGACACAACTGCAACCAGTTTAGTTTAGTACAAAGACTGGAAACAGACCTGAAGAGAGCTGAAGTCAGAGCCTTCGAGCCAGACAGGCCCCCTAATGTCAAACCCAAACCCCAAAAGAAAGGAACAGCAAGTAGGACCAGTGGAAGAGGAAACCTGCAAAAGTGAAGAGATCGAGGAGCACTGACTCAGAGAGGGTGAAAAGAGGCAGCAGGGAGGAGTGAGGAGACAGGAAGGACGGAGAGAGCGACCGGAGGAAGGTGAAGCCCCCTCAAGATGATGTGGAGGACACTGAGTGCGCTGTGTGTTTCTGTACATACGATAACGTATTCAAGACCCCAAAGCTGCTGGAGTGCCTTGCTCGCATCAAAGTGACCTCTCCTGAGCTCAAGACCCTGTCCTGCCCCCACGGACAGGACCTGCCCCGCCTGGGCAGCAATCCGGACATCATAGGGAAACTCCCACCAGACATGCAGAGGGCCCTGTCCATCCGCTTCAAGCACAATAAAGGCAAACTGGTCCTGAAGAACCCTCCTCCTAGCAGCCCGATCAAGCCTAATATCCTCATCCTGAGTCCAGAAGGCCAGGTGACAGCGGGCGGTGACCTCCACTTGAGTGCAATGGAGCAGGGAATAGTCCCCACCACGGTGGTGGATGTAGGCAGGCCTCCAAGCAGGGTCCGAGGTTGAAGGTTGTACCAAATGTGATCATTCACTGTAGGCTTGTTCATCAAGGGAACAAACTCCTGAAGGGGGTAGGAGTGGATGGGCTTTAGATTTGATACTAAAGTGGAGGAAGAGTGATCTCTCCTCTTGTTGAGTAATGGTGAAGATAAAACTAAGCACGGGTACACATTCAAGCTGGTTTGCATGCAGTGAAGTGAAGAAATGAAGGAAAACAAGGAAAGCAACATTTGTGAAAACACACAGACTCAAAGCTGCATTAAGGGAAACAGGACAAACTTGTTTTGCGTTCTTTTCTGAACATGTTTGTGATTACTGTGAAAGGCCACAAACACTATTTATTTTATTTTATTCACACAATATATGTGTGAATAAACTGTCCATAATGATTAGAAGCTGTAAATATTGAATTACACTAAATTCTTACCTATAGGCCTAATATTTGTATCAGTAACAAGTGAATTCCCAGCTGCTGTTTTTAAAGTGTCCATACTGTCTTCACGTGTGATGGAAAATGCAGGACAAATACCATCTTTTGTGTTAACTGGCTGGTCAACACTGAAGAGCACCTGTTTATCTTTGAACTGCTACCATATCTGTATGGTAATTACTGTGTGACATAACTGCAACCAGCAAGTTAGAATAGCTTAGCATAAAGACTGGAAACAGAGGGAAACAGCTAGCCAATCTGGCTCTGTCATATAAAATCCACCTGCCTGCAGTTCTAAACATCACTAATTAACCCCTTTTTATCTCGTTGTAAAAAACACAAACAGAAATAGATGAGCACATAAACCACCATAAAACGGCTAATTGTGCTTTTTACACTTTTATGATTTAAACAAACGAGATACATTAGATGTTAATTGTTGAGTGTAAGGCATGTTTTGTTATGTTTGGAGCGGAGCTATCTAAAAATAGGCATATATATATATACATATATAAGCGTATAAGGTCCAGTATGTAACCTTTAGAGGGATCTATTATCACCATCACCATATTTCTACAGTAGCCCAGATAAGACAAACCAACCACTGGCACTAGATAAGAGTGTGTCATGGTTTTGTAGTTTATCCTACACCTTTGTAAAGACTCAGTGATCTTCAAATGGTTGCAATCTGCAACTACACCAGTAGATGGCACTAAATCCTCCACACTGGACACTTTAAGTACAGTTCTTGAGTTAATAGCTAATTACAGTCAACCACTGCTACTCAAACACCCAATAGATATTACAGGGGGGGGGGTCGTAAAAACTGCATAACTGAGTATGTTTGTAATCAGGTAGACAGAAGGGAAGGAATATCCATTTTATTATTTAATTGCACATTACATGCACTTCTCTGCAGCTCATGCAGAAAACACATTAGGTAAGATACTTAAGAACATTAAAATCCAGTGAAAACTGAGCTGAAAAATCGTCTTTTAATATACAGAAGCCTCTGTATGTGAAAAAAAAGACACACACATCTTTACAAAGACATCAAAATGCCTCTTAATTAGCTCCGCAGAGAGCAGCTCAGACGGCAAAGTATTGTGTAATTTCTCAAGGTGACAGTTAGGGCGGGACTTCCCGTGACTGCCCGCTTACCCAGGAAGTCGTCGTGTTACTTTTTCTCCTCCTCCTCCTCCTCCTCCTCTTCCAGTCTTGCGAGAACCGAGGCAAACTAAGGGGCGTTAAGTTGCTTTTACAGCCGGGAAACTAGCGAGAGAGCAGTTTTACGTCGGCTCCACACGGCCTCTCGGCTGCAGTCGTTTAACTTTTGCCGGTTGTCATCGAAGAAGCGGCGGAGAAAATGGCCCGAAGAGGAAGAAGTGGACGCGCTGTCAGGGTAATGGGCTAATTTCAACACGCTCCTCCTCAAGCTACAGTATTTACAGTGTGACGAGTGGAGGCTGTCTGTCTGTGGACAGCGAGGTCAGAAGTCCGTGTTTTTATGTTTATTTATTTTTTTTAGTGTCAATAACACACCGCTTGGCCTATTTGGCGTGACAGCCACAGGTGATCAGAGGAAATCGATCAGACATTTGCGTGAATCGTCACTCCGGTTCATATGAGGCAACTTCCTCTTTAGATTTACATGAATTTGCCTTATTTCCTGGTTTTTGTTGTTGTTGTGTGTTTCTCATGTGTCATTTCCTCTTTGACTTTCACGTTTATTGCAACCCTTTATGTGTGCTTACTGTACATTATGTTCTTCTGATTTCAGATGGAAGATGATATTGGAAGTTGAGGCTCTCTCAGAATCACCACTTCACTTCCAAGATGTGTCCTGTCCTTCGTCATATTTTGTCCATCTTCGCCTTCGCCGACACTGCGTTGTGTGTTTATAACTTTAGTTACTGCGCAGTGAGCCAACTAGGTGTGACTCCCAGATCTCCGGTCATGCACTTGTGATGATAGACAGGCTGCCCTTCCCATATCCCATTCCTATTGTCTGTGACAAGGACACGTCTTTCTATTCAGACCCTGTCCTCTCGAACCCACCTCCCTCCCTTGGATTTTCTGTGCCATGATCCGCAAGAGAGGCTCTCTCATTCTTTGTGGTACGTTCCTGTTTATCACCTGGAACGCCATACTGGTGCTACTGCTGTGGGGAAGACCCCCACCTGGCCAGCCGGGCGAGCCTGGCCGAGGGCAGGGAGAAGTGGGTGAAAGGCCTACTAATGATGTGGTGGGGGATGTGCTCCGAATGGCAGACACATTCGAAGCAGAACTTGAAAGGCAGAAACAAATCCTGCTGCAGATCCAGAATCATCAGTCACTGTGGGAGACGCCAAACAAAGACGAGCCGAAGGTTGTTGTCCCCCCCCGTCAACCTGTCATTCCTATCCTGGTAATCGCCTGTAACAGAGTCACAGTGAGACGCTGCTTGGACAAACTCCTGCAGCATCGTCCTTCAGCAGAGCTTCACCCAATCATAGTGAGTCAGGACTGTGGACACGCTGAGACTGCTGAGGTTATTCGTTCTTATGGAAGTAAAGTAACTCATCTGAAACAGCCGGACTTGTCGGATATCGCCGTGCAACCGCAGCACAAGAAGTTTCAGGGTTACTACAAAATCTCCAGGCATTACCGCTGGGCTCTCAACCAGGTGTTCAAGACCCTGTCTCATTCCTCTGTTGTGATTGTAGAGGATGACCTGGAGGTAATCACATCATCAATTAGTGCCATTAAATTGCTCCAGTTAATGCTTTTATAAGTATTACATACAATTAAAAAGCCCATGGATAAATGTAAATGTTCATTATTTTGTACTGGATCCACATGTTACAGCTTTTAAGTTATTGTAGCCTTAAAACTGTTGATTTAACTTGTTGACAGGGGGCATGTAAACTGAAATTTATGTATTTATCTCCTACTCTAGGTGGCGCCAGACTTCTTCGAGTACTTCCGAGCCTCGCTGCCACTCCTGAAATCTGACCCCAGTCTGTGGTGTGTGTCAGCCTGGAATGACAATGGCAGGGATGGCTACGTGGATCCAGGTAAAGCGAACCTGCTCTACCGGACAGACTTCTTCCCTGGTCTGGGGTGGATGCTCCTCAAGGAGGTGTGGGAGGAGCTGGAGCCCAAGTGGCCCGCTTCATTCTGGGACGACTGGATGCGCCACCCGGACCAGCGCCGCAACCGTGCCTGTATACGCCCAGAGATCTCACGAACTTTGACCTTTGGCCGGCAAGGTGTGAGTCTGGGTCAGTTTTATGACAAGTATCTGCGTTACATTAAACTGAATACCGAATTTGTGCCTTTCACCAAGTTAGACCTGAGTTACTTGAAGGAGGAGACGTACAGAAATGTTTTTGAGAAGGAAGTTTACAGTGCCCCCGTGGTTACATATGAAGATGTTAAGCAGGGGAAGCTAAAAGGACCTGGGCCCTTCCGCCTTCAATACTCAAGTAAGGACAGTTTCAAAGTGATGGCCAAGAACCTGGGAATCATGGAAGACTTGAAGTCTGGAGTCCCAAGGGCAGGATACAGAGGGGTTGTCAGTTTCATTTCAAGAGGACATAGAATCTACTTAGCCCCTCCTCCAGGATGGACCAAGTATGATCCCACCTGGAGCTGATGATCCAGATAATCGAGTCTTTTTTGTTAAAGTCAGCTGTGGAAAGCAAAGCATTCCAGACCAAAGACTGATGTCCTTTAAAGTTTGTCTTTGAATGAACTAGTTTGTTGTCCTTGATAATGCAGAATGGATTGTCTCTCTTCTGGTGTAGGGTTTATTGCCAATGCCACTCAGGTCTTTTTCATTATTCCAAAATGTTTCTTACAGTGTAGGATACAGCCTAAACAGTTCGTTAGACAAAACTGCTGTTATTCACCAGAGATCTATTTTTTATAAAATGCTAATTGTGCACATGACATTCATTAATGCATTTAATGCAATTACCTAACGTTAGTTTGCCACTTTTGTTTAAATTATTTGCAATTTCTGGTATCCTATGTGAAATGTTTGTCTGGTATAAATATGAAAACATAATCTGTGGTATGGTTGCTTGTGGTGACTGGTCATAACTGCAGTATAATCTGTCATTTGATTATCAGTGTTTGTCCTCTATAAAAATCAGTTCTTCCTGCTTACATTTTAATGTCAAATAATTTTGTTTAATGATTTTCCACATGTACTCCTTGCAGGTTTGTAACCTTGCAAACTACAGCATTTGTGTGTTTGTATTTTTTTGGAATAAAAAAACAATACACTTGTTTGCTTTTTAGTGAGTTGCTTAATTCAGTTCAGTTGTTAAAGAGAGAACACCGTGCTCTCTGTTCACAAGATAGATAGATAGATAGATACGTTACAGTATTACCAGGGGATAATATCACTGTACAGAATGATTTATGTGCAGAGTTTGACACTGGATGGATGTTTCACATTCATCTGTTTAGAGTGGAAAGTTTCTCTGTGCTGTAGAAACTTGAAGCCAACACACACACACACACACACACACACACACACTGAGAAGGGACTTTACATTACATACAACTTGTGTCAAGCAGGAAAACTTTAGAAAAGAACAAAAAATGCATATTAATACATTGTGGTATTTTTAATAAAGTAGAAGGAGTAGATGCCTTTTTAAGGATTTTAATGTGGAAATAAAAAGTATAATATCTTGGAAACTCTATTGTTCCAAGCAGAGTATTGTATGTTTATATGTCTTAATACATGTATATAGGGGAGCTTTAAATTCTAGTAGAGCTCCCAGTGTTTCCAATCATACCAAATCTGTGAGACTGAAACATCTAGAACATTTCTGTGTGTGTGTTCATGATATGAGTTCAGTAAAGGGTTGGAAATAGCAGATACAGAATAAATATGATACTGTCGGACAGTGTGGAATCACACTATCTGAATGCCACGTAAGGGGAAACAAAATGGGGAAAACAACAGTACTATTGAAAGATTAAATTTCTAGAAAGATAGTGATAGTGATAACAGACAGGTTTTACAATTATTCTTTTTAAAAGCTTCTTGAAGTAACAAACAGGCATTACAAGTGGAAGCATACCTAACAATAAGCAGCATATGTTACCATTACAAAATGAACCAAAACAAACAAACATCTAAAATATAACTTATGTAAGTTAAGTTAACTTAAAATGTATTTATAGTACAGTTTAGAGGGACTGAAGGCACTTAAAGCAAATCTTCAAGTCATTTATAAAAATAATAGAGAATATTATTATTACATACAAATTAAACATCTTTATTTTGCATTAAAAAACGATATTTAAAACCAGGTTATCACAATATTTTCTCTGTTGCAAACAAACCTGTACACGTTTTGCACCACTCGGCCATGACATGAACTTTTTTTTTTTTTACTGCACGTCGGCTGTGTCTTCTACGGTAGCCGCCCTGGCCCAAACGCCAGCTTACAAACCATCCTCGTCTGTTTACCTCATTTGTAACGATGATGTGAGACCGAAACCGCTAGCTAGCTAGCCTAGCTAAAGTAACGAGGAACCGGTAAGACATGGAGGGGGAAACGCCTGTGATGGGGGGAGAACACAGACAATGGCGTCCTTTTACGCTTCGCCTCTTGTTTAGATGTTTGTTCTCACCTGTTTGCCGGAAAAGCAGCCGTTAGCCTGTTAGCCTGATAGCGTGCTAGGCGGGCTTCAGTGGGTTCGTGTTTCGGTGTGACTTGATGTGGCACAACCCAACAACAGTCGCTAACCACTGGGGTTAATTTATAAGTTAACACCTGCTGTGTCATACTCGTTTGTTTGTTTGTTTGTTTGTTTGTTTGTTTGTTAATAATAGCACCGGGCTTCTGGGTTAAGTAGCCACCGCGTCTGAGCTAACGCTGCAGCTAGCGGAACCGCCTGGCCTGGAATGGAGCCAGGCGGCTTGAGAGAGAGCCCCGCCGGGTCCGGGGAGTCAGATGGGGGGGATTGGAGGGAGGTTATTCCCGGTGGGGATGATGAGGAGGTCAAAGCCGCAGAAACTAATGGAAACTCCCTAGAGTCGGCGCTCAGGGACGCCTGCGAGGAGAGCGACAGTGACAAACAAAAATGCGTGGGAGAGCAATTGCACAGCCCCTACGAGGAGGAACTGGACCCCAGAATCCAGGTATGAGAGTGGATGTTTGCTCTGTGTTGTTGTCGTCTAACCTCAATAAAGCCAGGTGGACATATTGATCGAGGTGCAGACTCAGTGGACACAGACCTGGCTGCCCGGGGAGGACAGGCAGTGGAGACACATGCACACTGCGACAAATATGCAGAAGTTAGAGCTTTATTCTTATTTATTAATCTACATACATTGTATCACAGTCAGAAAAGGACAAACTCAAACATCTGTGAGGAGATCAATACATTGGCTGTATATTGGCAGCTGAATATTTGAGCAATTGCCACAACCACAAGCAATACTGCTTCTTGTTTTTTGTGTTGAAATTGACTGTTGTTGTTATATATATACATATTTGTGTTATAATGCCCTGTTTAATAGGGTTTGTGGTTGTACAAATATGTACACATTCATACATTTATTATTGTTATTATTGATGTAATTTCTTTTATAACTCTTAATATAAGTTTTTTTTTACGTATTGTCTATTCATGCCAGTAACACTCAGTAATTTAAATTGAATAGAATCAGCCAGGCTGTAATTATTACTATATATTTGGTTGGGTAACACTGAATTACTTTTGGTTGAAAGGTAGCTTTGTGTCTATAATCTTTGCATATCTGTTTGTCAGATCAAAAGTGATTATCTTGTCAGTTGACGCACAATTGCAACTTCACCGTATGCGTTAGAATAATTCAGTGTTAAGGGCCTAAAGAAGTACATTATTTTTCTTTCCCCACAGGAAGAGTTGGAGCATCTCAATGAAGCCAGTGCAGAAATCAACAGACTAGAACTGCAGTTGGATGTAAGTAAAAAAAAAACAGTTTTCACCCAATTAGGGGCTTTTGTTCTGTATTCCTACACGTGACTTAAAGTATATAAAACACTGAAGAAAAACGCTTTGATTTTGACAAAACAAAACTCATGAGAAATGTAAAAAAGAACATTTACGACCACCCAGGGAATCGCTTGAGAGTCTGTCTCTGTTGTTAAATATTTTAGTAGTCTACCCAGAATGTGCTAATCAATATGACAGTTTTGTTTTCAGTATCTCTAAGCATAAAGTGTGGAAAAGCTGGAACTAAAATGGAAAATGTATCGGTGCTGATAGCTTGATACTCTGTGAACCGATTGCTCACTTGCAGGCACACTCCTGCGGAAATCCAATCAGTCGTTCCATTACAAGCAAATCTAATCTTGTCATTTTCATGCATTAACCATCCAGGACGCCAGATCAGGGTACCGGAAGATCCTCACAGAGTCTGCCAGGAAGCTGAATGCTCAGAGCTCTCAGCTCGGTGGCTGTATAGAGAAAGCGAGACCCTACTATGAAGCTCGTCGCCTTGCGAAAGAGGTACACTCGAGCGATATGTGTGTTTAAAAACGTTAACGTGTTTATAAGGGAACCTGTAGTATCTACATCTTTGCACAAATCTACAGTTAAGATGCAAGAATTTACAACATAAATATGGGGCGGCAGTTGCTCAGTGTTGACCTGAGGGTCGCCGGCTCAAGCCCCACAGACCACAGTATGGAGTGTGGACTGGTAGCTGGAGAGTTGCCAGTTTCACCTCCTGTGCTCTGCCGAGTTGCCCTTGAGCAAGGCACCTAACCCCTAACTGCCCCCCGACGCCTAGGCTGCCCACTGCTCCTGTGTATATGATAATCTATGTAGGATGGGTCAAATGCAGAGGCCAAGTTTCATTTCATGTTTGTAAAAGTGCTGTAAATGGTGTGTGTGTATATATACTGTGAATATGACAATAAAAAGACTTTCTTTCTAGTGCTTAGACACACCGAGCATCAATGTAAGCAAGGCCTTCTTTAGCGTCCTTAGACACTTTGTCCCTAGCAGATCCAGGAGTGCGAGAGAAAGAGAGAGAAAAACAGTTTTACCTGTTTTTTTTTTTATAATTGGCCAATGTGAATCAGCATGAATCAGCCTGTAAAAGAAACCTCACCCTTTAGTCCTGTTTCTCTTTAGTAGGAGGAAAGCTCCCAAATACGGTGTTGAAAAATGTGAGCTGTGATTGTTTGGACAGCATTCGGAGTTGGTCAGGGATGCATTTGTCTACATATGTAGTGTTGTGTTACTACAAATATGATTCCTGGCTGCAGTGAAGGAGTGTTTACACTCCTTGCCAATGTGCATATAGGCTTACAGATCCCCTACACACGAGAGCAGGGAAGAGAACTCATTCAGTATGCCTGTGAAGTGTGATCCATTTTAACTGGATGTAGCCCTACACACAGTCTGGACACGGGATACTTGTTTTATTCCTACAGGAGCACTACCTGTGTTTGATTTGCCTGATGGGGAATTGTTAACAGTTAAATATAAACATTTAAAGAGGTAGTTGAAAGACAATTGATTTTTTTCCCTCTATTTACCTTACCTTTTCCTCCATTTACTGGCCTGGTGGACTTCATTTCAATAAACCCCAACCATTTTAAATCGGCCTATGACTTCCAATGCAGAGATCTTTTAATTGGACTTAAGAGGACAGGGTGTCATGTCCTTCCACTTATGTAGGCTGTTAAAGTTTTGTTTGCTCTTTTTAGGCCCAGCAGGAGACCCAGAAGGCAGCTTTGAGCTATGAAAGAGCAGTTTCTATGCACACAGCTGCCAGGGAGATGGTCTATGTGGCAGAGCAGGGCCTGATGGCTGATGGGAAGAACACCCTGGATCCAACTTGGCAGGAGATGCTCAACCATGCTACCTCCAAGGTAACAAAACAAATAGTGTTAAATGATACCAGGCCTGGCTTGAGTGGATTAGTATTATTTTTATATATATATATATATATATATATATATATATATATATATATATATGGTGGATAGTGACACAGGAATAAAACAAGAATCTTAATCAGTGCTGGTCCAATACTTGTTGTTTATTCAATCATTTTTACATGTACTAGATGAACGAGCAACAGTCTCGTTAAAGGAGTACTTCCTTGATTTAACATTGCACTCCTATAACACTGTCAGACTCACAATGGACAGTTTAGAAAGGATAAAAATAAATGACATCGAAGCATAGATGCTGTCTTCCACACAATCTTCTTCCTTGTCAAAACCTTCAGTCTACATTACCCACAATGCAACTGGCTGTCAGTTCCGTTGGAGATTTGGGTGTGATTTCCTACTTTAGCCTTTTTTGGCTGGATCGCAGCAAGCAGGCCACGCCCTACTAACGCGATAGTCTATGACTTACATGAGTTAAACCATTGGTCCGTTCGAGTGTTTGAATTTCCTGTTTGGCTGTTGCTCTTTAAAAATGAATAGGTGTGACCGAGCCAGGCTATTCATATAGAAGCGTCCAAATGATTAACATAAAGCAGGCAGTGCTTCGCGGCACTTCCGCCTCCAAACAGCTCCTCGTGCGCCAAGGGGCACGAGAGAGAGTGCACAGTTAAAGCACAGTTAAAGTGCCCTAAATGACAACCACACTGAGAAAACACTCCATACAGAGTGAGTCATAGAAAAAGATAGAAACAAATGAACGAGCAGGGGGAGTTAAAATATAATTAGAATCGTTATAATTAGAATAAGTTCTCTTTCAGAACGTCTTAAGATAGATTGGGAAGTTTCCAACTGCATTTAGTCTCAAAGTTGGCTTACTATGTCACGTAATCTGCTTCAGTACGCCTTAATAGCAAATATTACTGGGACTACTACAGAAAATGACAGGTGAACATTCAATATCTAGGAATTGACGTTGACACAGACACTACCACTGATCATACACTGTCAAATTCTGTGTTTTGACCTAGTCTTGTTCACATATGCAGTGGTACTCCCCAAGACCTGTAAACAGACTTTTTTTGATGTGTACAAATTGAGTTCCCCTTCAGTAGTTCAGCTGAGTCAATAATTGTATGAAGAGAGATTACCATGCCTTGTACTTATTAACGCAGTGGCCTTTGTAATCACCCTGCCCCGCTGTGTCTCCCACAGGTGAATGAAGCCGAGGAGGAGCGACTCCGCAGTGAGAGGGAGCACATGCGTGTCACACACGCCTGTCAGGAGGCTGAGGCTCGTGTTCAGATGCTGCAAAAGTCCCTCAAAAGAGTTATTGTGAAATCCAAACCTTACTTTGAGCTCAAGGCCCAGTTCAACCACATACTGGAGGTAATCCACACATACAGAGCCAAGTAATACCTCTGTTTGTGAAACCTGAAGCACATTCAAGATACTCTGTGCAGTGTACATTATCCTCCTAGTTTCTGATTTAGTTCTGTTTGCTGAGTTGTAAATATGCTGCTGAGTTTGCAAAACAAATTGCTGTAATATGTTCTGTATCTTATGGATTTACTGGAGGTCACTGGTAGGTTGTGACATAAAATCAATGTTGAAATTAATGATGAAAGTTGCTGTGCCCTCTTTATGACTCCAGGAGAACAAGGCCAAAGTGCTGCAGCTGGAACAGCAAGTAGCTAAAGTCAAGACTCGCTATTCCATCGCCCTGCGGAACTTGGAGCAAATCAGCGAGCAGATCCACGCTCAGAGGGGGAGGGACCAGGCCGAGGGCGGATGCCCCACTGTCTGCGGTGGGCGGAGTCCCCCCGTTGGAGCGGAGTCTGACATCAGAGTTAAGAAAGAAGGCGGAGCCTGCAGCGGTGGCACGATGGGGACAGATCGGGTGGATGCAGCCATAGACCTGGAGAAATACAAGGAGAAGGAGAATGAAAAGGAGAGGGAGCGGGCGGGGTCAGATTCCCTTTCTGTGTTCAGCCTGCAGACCATCGCTTCCGACTTGGAGAAATATGACTCCATTGAGCACCTCGGGGACCTCAGCGATGTTGGGAGCGTGACTGGGGATGAGGTGGAGAAAGAGAGAGGCGGAGTGATCGATAGAAGAGACAAGCTGACGGAAACATCTGCCAAAGAGCGTCAGCAGCAGTTCTACAAGCAGCACCACCGAAGCTTCAGTTTGTGAGGCTGTCATAGGTGTGAACGCTGCAAGTAAAATGTGAGTTATAAAAAAAAAAAAGTACAAATTAGGGTAAACATCCCTAAAACATAGGTACCAACCAAAGCATATGACAGTGAATTAGCTGCAAATGTGAGACTGCAGCGGTGCAGTTGTAGGTGTATGATACTCGGGTGTAAATAAGCACATGACTGACATTATTCTAAAGCTGACACTGATCAATAGTTAACATTGCAGCCTAGATAGAACACTATTGAAATCTAAAGAGCTTTTCAACCCTCCAGAACAAGTAGACTGTATGTTCACTCACTGTGGGGGCTTCTGGGTAGAATTTTTTCCTTGAGCATGAAGATACAGCGAAGAAAGATCAAAAGCCCCGTTCAAACAGACATATTTAGAAAGGCATCATTTCTAACTTTCCCAGGCTAATCGTTGATCTAATTCGGAGAGACTGGTGGAAACAAATCTCTCCATTGTTTCCCCCTCCAGTCGTGGCGAGTCTTATCAGCGATTGCTTCAAGGTAAGAGGGTGGCAGGGTCTCTCCATTACACACTGAGATCCACAATCATATCTGCCCTCATCGAGTTAGTTTGTAGGGGAAAAATGACAAAAACGGTTCTCTGTCAGCACAGAGTGAAAGCATGTTTGAATTCACATTTCATATTTATTTCCAGTAACATGCTGCAAGTAGTGCTTTGCTATTTTTGGCACGAGAGAATGCGTTTTTTGAAAATTCCTGAAATGATGAACAGAATGAATGAGTTTAACTCTTTCCACTCCGACAGCATGCACTCCTCGTTGGCTATTTAAACTGACATTTATGACATGTATTCAGGGCTATATGCTGAAACAAACACTGACACCATTAAAGCTAAGATGATGAAGCTCAGCCATGTTTTCTTTTCTTTTTTTTTTGTTATGCTGTAGTCTTATGATTCAAAGGCCTTTCCCAAACTTTTGTTTTAATATTGTTTACATTTTTATAAGTGGATTTATTTGGCAGCAAATGCATTTCCTTTTTTTGTTTGCCTTTTTGAAAAAAAAAAAAAAGCCCTTGTTGTAATTTGAAGTGTGCCTTGACACAGAACAATTAACACATTTAGCATGAGTAGTACTTGTCGTAAACTCATCTGTAGTTCTGTTAAGAACCATTAAAAGTGTGTGCCCTTGTATGAGTTTTAAAAACATTTTAATCATCATGCAGGCACAGTTTCCGATGAGACTTGAAGAGTTTCGATTTTTATTTTGGTTTTCTGTATTTTCTTTTATGATGTTGTACTTTGATTGTCAAAGTGTATGATGCAAAACAATGAAGTCAAGAAATGACTTGTAAATGTATGTAATTATTACAAAGCTGGGAAATATTGACATGTACAGTTACATGTGTTGCTGATTTGAATATTTGACAAGTTTGTTGTACAGATGTTCTGGATACTTACAGGTATGTATTTAAATCCTTATCGTTGCCGTTTATCTGAAACACCTAACCTTCACCCCCGTCTTATCAAATAGTCTTCACCCTTTTAACGGCATTTGTGAATTAGTCAAAATGTCAACTCACTGTTTCCAATTTATGCATTGTCATATGTATAATCAATAAACCAGATCATACCTCTTGGGCTCGTGATTCCCATATTTTCATAGTTACTTGATGTCTTGATGGACTTAATGAATAATTGTATGGCAAGAGGCAGGATAGGATGTGAATTCCTGTTCTACAGATACAGTAAGAGGGGATGGTGAGAGATACAGGGAGAGGTTATGTCTTCCCCAGCCTTCCTTCAATTATTCAGCAGATGTATAAATATGAAGCAGGATGCTGATCTCAGAATAGATGGCAGAAGAGGAGCAGAGAATGGAGGGAAATACAGAGAAGAGGGAGATGCGATGGGCTTTGATTTAATAGGTGACCAGTGTTGTAGAAATGACTGACTGCTGCTCCGTTGACTTAACTCCAAAGGGCTTTAGAAAAAGGGCTTAACAAAGTAGTCACTGTTAATACCACAGCGCCATATCTGCACCTCCATCCGTGTCTAGTCCTCCCGCCGATATAATTATACACGGTGGGATAAATCCGCAAGCTTATCATAAACCCAAATCCTCCTCGTTAGATTCATTATGATATATTTTTTGCTTTTGTGGGCCTAGACCTTAACGTGTTTCATCTTAGAGAGGAGTAGGAGGAGGAGGAAAGGGGGATCAGATAAATGCGTGAGAGAGAGGGACTGTTACGCACGGTGCGTCTCCATCATGACGTCGTGAATTAGCTCAAGATCGTAGAGGGAGAGGGAGGAAAAAAAAGGAGGGGAGTGTGGTGAATCGGTGTTTCGTCGTTTATGGGGTTGCGTTTGTATATAGTGCATGTATATTTTTTTTTTGTATGGGTTTTTGTCATTTCTTACCTTTGCCATGCGTAACTGCAATACGTGGAGAAAACCCGAATAAGATAACGTTTTGTTTTTGTAACATTCTGTGTACGAACGGAGCAGCTTGCACATTTATAGCCATATCAATACAGCCATAAAGAATCGTTTGCAAAGATGCATATTTCTACCAAATAATCCGACACTGGGCTTTCTCTGGCGGGTCCCATCCGGAGGACGCACTGTTATCTTGACTGAGCGCATCGAAACTAATAGTAAGTACACATGCTACAGCTTTTGCTTCAGGGGGGCTAGATGCTACTATTACTGTGGGTCGCAATATTAAGACTACATTTATTCAGAAAATGCTCCATTTCCTCTCCCATGTAGATAATCTAGACAAATGCTAAATTCGTTCCTCATTTTGTATGCAAAGGCCATACATTTTCGATGGTAACAGGCCAGATATGTTGTGAGTTCCCTCTTCCAAGAAAAACCACCACCATCCTGTCTGCATTTACATATTGATGCGTTTGTAAAAGAGAGGATAACAGGATGATATTTTACACCTCTTTAAAAACAACATGCAGCCGGTCTAGACAGATGACATCTTATTCTAGAGTCCCATCCATGAGAGGACTATACGGGCTTGTTAATATGGTCGGCCTTCCTCTACAGGCCATCACGGATTCCCTTGTCAACAGCCGACAAGTAACTACCGGCAGCATACGGTTGGTGGCACCCTTACTGTGACCCTCACGTCTCCATAGTTCATGCTCGGCCATGCACAAAATACAGCCTCTGAGCCTATGTGCTTGTGCCCCGTGTGGACCTGCCCGGAGCTTTTTAAAATAGCCACTACATGCTTTTTGAACGTTGAGCGTGAGCTGTCCTTTGGTGCAGGAATGGACCGGATCATCCCTTTCCATTGCAGCTTCCGGCATTATTAACACACAAGGAAGTCGGCAGTGTCTGTGCATCAGTGACACTGGAGGTGGGAGTGAAATGTGGATGGGGCTGTAGGTGTTTCACAAGGCTGCAACGTTTTTTGGAGCAGTGAAGGCGCTGTCCGTGGTGCTGAAGCCTTAATTGCATTTAAAGCTTGAGGCCAGTTGACGCCCCCCCCTCCTCCTTCTCCCCCATGTCTGCTCAGTGCTACTGCAGCCACAGCGCTGATGGAGTTAGCTGGCTTTGTGCTGGTTAGACTGCCTCATCTGTGCTACACTCACTCACATAGTTTGCTTTCATCCGACTCAGTGTGCGATCGCTGATATTAATGACTCCTGCTGGGCTGTCCTTCTTTCTCCCCCTTTTCTCTCTCTCTACACTGCCTCCCCTCCCTCCTTCCCACACAGGACAAAAGCACACACTGTACGCTGCCAACACACACACACACATACACACACACACACTCTCCGGTGGTGTCTACCTCCTGCATACTTCTTGTCAGTGAACTCTAAAAATACACTGGATAATGCTAATGAAGTATCCAGCAGAGTTTGTCTGTCTTCCACAAGCAAGCCTTGGTGCCATCTGTCTCCCTCACTGTGGTGCTTAGCTTTGTTATGCCCCACCTGCCCTCCTCCCCACCAACCCACCTACCCACCCACTTCAAAACACACATACACACACACACGCCACCCTCTTTTACTGTCTTGTTAAGTGTGAGAGTGTATGGATGTGTTTATGTTTGTGCATGTGTGACAACCTCATAAAGCAAGAATTATTATTCAAAACTGCAAATGAGCAGCTATATATAGTGTGTTTATCATTGGTACAGTCAGTTGTGTATGTGTTTGTGTTTCCCTTCCTGCCAGCACTCGAGGCGCTGTGGCTCACGGGACTCAAGGGTCTTTTGACTTTTTTGCTGGTTACCATAGCACACTCATTCTGTGCTCATGAATTCGGCACATTAGGCAGTCAGTGTGGCGGTTAATCGGCCTGTTGTTTCACCATCCTTGTAATGCTGAAGAAAGTCTTGCTGGGTTTAGTTAATGTAATTATTTTCTCTATTTGTGTTGCTATATGACTTGATATTATTCAGAGGGTAAATCTTCAGGTTTTACACATCAAAGTCTGTTTACAGATGGAGCGCTGTTGCGAAAAGAAGTTGTATAAAGCTTTTTCTGTCTGTGTGAAGTCTGACAAATTAAGTGACGTCACTTGACCTCGGTTGCTGTTGAAGACTACAAGTTTGAACATGAAGAAAATCTGTGGGTGTGGAATAAAAAAGAAGTGAGTTTACCAGACCTCTGTAGCCTGCTTCTCATCTTTGCTTGAGGCTAGTGGCTTGAGGCTACATTAACAGCTACTATCATAACACACCAAAATCTCCAACCCAACTGTCCACTGTAGGTGAATGTAAAAGCATGCATTGCATTAAAAAGACGATAGCTCTGGTTCTGCTGCATCGGTTATAGGAGTGCAATGCTTAATGCTTAGTGGATTACTATTTTAATGTATGCCTGAGTTTCCTTGTCAGTGAATAAATGGGGTTGGTCCTTGTAACACACCTAAAAACACCTTTATGCTGTGCAATGGAGAGCTTTTGTAACCACAAGCTGTTCCAAATGCTTTTCTACCCCACAAGTCTTTTGAGCTGTACCTTGGTGTGAAATGTTTCCATGGGCAGCCACTTTACAAAAATACCAGTATCAGCCATCAGAACCTCAGCTGAAGCCGTGTATACAAGCCCTTTGAAATTAAGCCAATCTGGCTCTCAACTGAGCATGGGCTGTCTGCACTGTAAATACAAATAGAAGCACAGAGAGAAAAGTGGACTCATCTTGCAGCCCATCCTCTATGTGCACAGTCAGGCAGGCTGAAAAGGGAGGTATTTGCCAAAAACCCTTTTAGAAGGACAGGCAGCAGTGGACTGAAAATGACTGTATCTGATGACAGAGCCTGTAGCATTAATACTGTAAGAATATTTCCTCAGTAACCATTTTCTTTTTGTCTCTTGTTTCCTCTTCTGTCTGTCAAAACCCTCAATTTCTCCGTCACACTTCCTTAAAACCTCCGTCTTCCTTCTCTTTCAGATCGAGAGATGGCACGGCTATTGTTTCTGATTATTCTCTATGCTCTTCCATCTCCTGTTGTGCCCATACATAATTCATCAACTGGAGGTAATTTGTGTGTGTTTGTGATTGAATACGTGCGGGAATCTGTTTGTGTGTTTGCTTCTCGTGTGTTTATAATATGCATTAATGGACAGAAGTAATCCTGCAGAGTCTGCTAAGTGACTTAAATGAAGCACTGTCATTTGTGCAGTGAGGAAGGCATCAGTTAAACTGACAATATATCATGTTGCTGTAATATATCTACATTATCTGGAGACAGAGCTTTCCCTCTCTGCTCTTGTCGTGTTTCTTCCTTCATTCTTCTTCCTCTTCTCTTTTTCTCAGGCTGTGCCATCATCCGGCCTCCCAGGGATGGGGGGATCCGCTACAGAGGCCTGACACAAGAGCAGGTACAGAGAATGCAGTTACTTTGCTGGATCTAAATTACAGAACCTCGGCTGTCAGATCAAGCACAAAATACGCAGTTTGCTTTAAGATTTTCCAAATAAAAAACACACAGAATTAAGTATTAAGCACCTAACATTGTATTTGCTAACTGCAATGTAATTTCTTCCTAAGTGAATTGAGAGGTGACATTACATTAAAATTAACTGATTTATTATATGATGAGGTATATTGTAGCTGACTACTGGCTTTATTATTACACCACCAGTCTAAAGTAACTTTTTGTGCATTTAAACCTTAATAGTAAAGTTTGACATTTTGGCAAGTACGCATATTTGCTTTCTTGCTGAGACGACAGAATTGATAACCCTCTCGTGTCTACAGCATTAAATATGAAGCTACAGCTAAGCCGGTTATTTTAGTTTAAGATGAAGGCTGGAAATGGGAGCTGCCAGCCTGTCTCTGTCCAAAGGGGAGAAAATCAGCACCTCTAAAGCTCACTAATTACCACATTACTTGTGGTTTTATGGGCAGTAAACAAGTAGTCCACCCCATAAACCCCTGTAAAACCACAAATTATCTTTTTTACACTTGAGTTTTGTATGGATTAAAAAAAGGAGATGTAATGTGTCAAGTGCTTTAGAGGTGGTGGTAGGGAGATTTCGTTACCCTTGGGCAGAGCCAGGCTAATGTTTACTGTTGTTTACAGTGTTTATGCTAAGCTAAGCTAACAGGCTGCTGGCTGTAGCCTTATATTTACCAGACAGACAGAGAGTGGTATCAATCTTCCAAAATATTGACCTATTGTGTTAATTAACCCATTTTATTACATTTTGAATGTTATACACAATCAGTTGCTGCAGAGAAATCGCCTCTCTCTGATGGCTCATGTGCTTACCAAAGCCACGTCACAGGATCAGCTGCAACCTTTGACCTTTGTCACATGACATCCAGCTCTGATCCTTCCATGTCTCATTCAGCAGTGAACTGTTCAGTAAAGCAGATAGGTCAAACAAAATCTTAAAACAGGGTTTGAAAGAAATGGGTGTTTCCCAGGCATAGATAGACTAATGAAGAGACACTATCTAGTTGCATAATGGGAAATACGAGATTCAGGTGTTTTGTAGTTTGATATATATATACATATATAAATCTGCTTGCATACATTGATAATGAAGGGTAATTCTTGACCTCAGAAATAACAGTTTGACAAAAAGTTCTTAACCTTTAGGTTTAATTATTAGATTTTCCCTGACATTTTAACTGCACAGTCACAGTCTTCATCAACAGATATGAGCTTCATTCCACTGGTGAAGACAATGAGGTGCAGTGCCAGAAAAAGGGTGGAAGGGTGGAAAAATCATCTCATTCCACCTTGTCTAAAATCATTTATATACTGCTGCATCACTGCAGTCTTCTAGTGTCAAACTCTGCACATACATCATGAAACATCCAGGCGCAGTATCAATAAGCAGAATACATTTTTGAGTGGAGGGGGACTCTACAGCTCATAGGGGTTGTATTTAATTTTATACTGCAGCAAAACTCAAATTAGAAGAGAGATTGGTGCAATTTCAAAGTGTAAAAAGGACCAAAACCTCTAAAAGTGAGCCATTAAAAATGAAATCTGATTGCACCGCTCTGGATGTATGCACACACGACTCAAACACACATACAGTATACACACAACAGATTTCTCTCCCAACCAGAGAGATGGTGTAATTTAGAGTGTGAGAACCCATCAAATCAGACAGAATTGCCATAAAATGTTCTTCCTATTAGAGCTTAATTGTCACAGCCATATGGCACCAGAGTCTACTGCACAGAGACAGCATGAAGAGGGTCTCAAAGTGAAAGAGGAAAACTGGTACAAGAGAGCATCAATCACACTTAAATGACAGTCTCTCCATCCGTGTTTCTCTTACAGATCCGCAGTGTGCAGATCCTGCCTGTGGATTATGAGATAGAGTACATCTGCAGAGGAAACCGGGTGATTGTGGGACCCAAGGTCAGGAAGTGCTTACCCAACGGCACATGGACGGACATTGCGCAGCACAGCAGATGTTGTAAGTAATTTTTGGTCAAATCCTCATCCTCTCTTTATCCTGTCCTCCACATTTCCCTTATCTTATCACACATTTCCCTTTTCCAGATAATTCTTGTGTATAATAATTAGTTGTTATGTGTTCTGTCTGGTCAATCAACATCGAAATAAAGCCACAGTTACAATATAATGACATCTCAGTTGTTTTGACAGCACATTACTGCCTTTACTGTTTACACTACACACAGAGGAAAGTGTGAAATATTCTACAACCTTCACTCTCACTCTTTTAAGCACTGAAGTCATTTTTATCATCTAATATGACTAATATAAATATCCACAGCAAAGAAACGTGATGCAATCTTAAATTAAACTTACATGAAATTAAACCATAGCTTTTTATTGTTGTAGTTTCCTACATTACCTCCCATCATTTTTAAACCTGCAATAACTTATTATTTGATTTCTGCCCTTTGGGAACACACTTTTTAAGTTAATTTGGTAAAATTGTTAGCAAACAGTTGCATATTTATTCATCAAGCAGTTACTGAACAACATTATCATTCATTTGAAGTCATGTTTCTGGTCATATTGCAAATGTAAATCCAATATTCACTCTGCTTAAAGTCTGTTGTTTGTGTCCTGAAGAAGATATCAGGCTCTAAATGCTACACTATGTTTACCAGATAGTCGTTAACTGTGTCTGTGTCATTTGGTGCTGAACAGGTAGTGTACAGTGGGTTTTTAGAGCTTTTTTGTTGAAAACTGCTGCCTGCTGTTGCCAAAAACTGCTCAGTGAGAGTGGTGAGAGTGAACCAAGACAGTAAAGTTGAGAGTCAGGCAGCTAAACAATAAGCTGAAACTAATTTCAAAGGTACGCAAGGTAGAGGGAAGCTCCTGTCTTTATCAATCTATCTGATCAATCAAAAAACGGTTACAATTTAGAAGATGTTACCGAAATCTATTGGTTGAATTCAGGGATGCTGGAAGACAATCAGAGTTGGGGGTGCTGAGAGAAATTCTGTCTATATAATGCTGTCTTACTAAATGCTGAATGCATGACATTAATGGGTTTTGCATCAGCGTGACTGGCCAGGATAATATAGTGTATTAACAACATTTTACAATTATTTTTGACTTTTTTATGGATAAAACAGATAAAAAACAAGGCAAAACCTCTTTCCTGCAAGTCATTATCAGTTTGAACATTTTAATGAATGGTTTTAATACTGCCAGATGCAACCCCCTCAGTACCCCTACTTCCAGCGCCCATTGTCGAATCTGAACAGTTAAATATGGTGACAGAATAATCTAAACTCAAAGATTCCCTAGCTAGCTTATTTGGAGCTAATGGTCCCTGAAATAAACAGAATTAACATCAAAACTAGTCCCAACATTGACTGGGAGGGTGTCAAAGCCAGGAACCAGGAAGCAGTGTTACGATTTTCCTTTTATATATGACTACTTGTTTCCACCCGAGCCATTTCTTGATGAAGACTATTTAATGCAGTTTGAAGCTTTGATAAAGCTAGACATTATACCTTTGAGCTGGAATTATTTTTCACCACAAATAATCAGTGACATTCCTCTCTTACCGTACATGTAATGTGTCCCCAACCAGAGCTTGTAAACATACTTGCTTTAGTTGAATTTTGATGATTATGAATAGGTTTGTTATGTTGCTGAGCCTGAGGAGGCTTGCTTATTACCTTTTTCTTTTGGTCTGCATACAGATATGTGTAAACGATGTAGGACTATGTGAATAAATAAATAAATGTAAATGTGAACTCATCTGTGATACCCCCATAGAGAGTAGCTTGGGCTGATGCTTGGTTATATCTAGATTATGGTTAAATAATTCATGATCTAGTTTGTTTAGCATCCACAAGTAGTAATCTAGTATCTGTGTGTATCTATCTATATATATTTGTATAGTATTTAGGTTATTTTACTGCTTCTACATGCTTGAACTGCATTCTTGCTACATATTTTTTTTACTGGACAGTTTGGCCTGAATGTAATTTCTACTCAGATCACATCTACAGTGCCTCTGCAAATACTGAGAATAAGGCCTGCGATCCAATCAAATCCCAGTTATATCTCTGTTTTTGTTCTTTCAATTCACATTTAAACATCAGTGGAATTTATTTTTCCCAAGAGTACATTCTCTTTTTTGTTTTCTCTGGCTTATGTAAGAGCGCAAGCTGCAATGTGCAGATTGGAGTTTTATTATGTGCTCACATGCTGGAAAGAAGATTCAACAAACTCGGCAGCTCAACAAATTATATTCAAGAGCTTGGCCATTTTGTCAGGAAATCATACCAAGAGGATGAACGGTAAATCATATGGAGGCTGTGGCACAGCAAGCTAATACATTTCTTGCTGGTAACTAAGACAAAACCTATTCTTTATTTGGATCAAAAGGGCTCCCAGGGCAGTTAAGGTTACATTACAGAGATGAACATCAATCCTCATAGTATTTGTGTTAAATGGACATGTAAGATTGTACCTGAAAATAGTACGTTAACATATCTCAGAGGAAAAGCTGCTCAGGAGGCATAAATAATCTCCTAAGCCTCTGACGTTTCCAAAATCAACATCTTTACCCTGTTGCTCATTTGTATCCTGTTTTTTTTTTACCTCATGCTTGTTCATGTGTTAGATACATGTTAAGCCAACACAGTCCATTCATTTGTACGCTGTAGAAAAGCTCTGTATTTTTCAGTTAGCCAATGTTGCCTTTGTCCCTGAGGCTTGAGTTTGTGATTGCTTTGCTAACAGCGCTTATTCAAACTATAGTCAAAGTTCATGTTTCAAGGTTCATTTATTTATGATTTTACAACACAGGGTTGTATAACAAGATTAGGTTGTAGTTCCATTAATGCTACTCAGAAATACAAACATACAAAAAATATGTACAATAGATAAATTAATAATAGAAATAAAACTATTTTCCATGGCGGCGGAGTGCTAAGGATGAATTAAGGAGTCTCACAGCCTGAGGGCAGAAGCTGCTCTGAATTCAGGTGGTATGGCAGCGGATACTTCTGCACTGCTTGCCAGAGGGCAGAGGGCAGAGGGCAGCAGGGTGTTGCTGTGGTTGTCTTTCAGTATCCTTTAGGCTCTGCACAGGCTCCTCACTCCACTGATATCACCGATGCTCGACAATGAAGAAAAACTAATAACATTACCATCAGCCAATTAGCAGATTTTAAGACGCTAACAGGTAAACATAACGTACCATCAGCATGCAAGCATTGTCACTGCGAGCACATTATCATGCTGCATTAGGCTCAAAGCACTACTGTGCCTCATACAGCCTCATAGAGCTGCTAGCACGGCTGCAGACTCTTTTAGTCTCGTTATCCTTCAGTAAAGCTAGTTTCCCCCCAATTCTAATGTCAATTTGATATGATTATTTGAAAGATGTCACTTGTTGTGACAGCTCTACTGCAAAGTTGTTTAGCTCATTGCTTTGGTTTTACAGTTCACAGCTTTTTGATTCAGTCTAACCGCTCTCATCACCCTTGTTTCCAGCCACAGCAGCCGGTTTCACCTGGTGAAAACTGGAGCATTTAACAACAAAGGAGCCATTTTTCCCTTAGGAGTTGGTGGAGACAAAAGACATAGCTCAAGGGGAGTGAATATCATACATAAAACAGGACTCCAAATCAATGCTAATGTTGCCTGCTCTGCTGGATGTGTGCTATAACTTAAATTGGGATCTGCTTGTGATCATGTTTACCATAACAGCTTTATGAGGTGATTATGTCAGTGTTTATAGCCCGTTCTGCGGTCCCCAAGAGATTTGCCTCTGAGAAAATGTTTGTGCCATCCCCCTTTTTTTTTTTTTTTTGCATTTACCTTTCTATAACTGTGTCTCTGTCTCCTTCTGTTTCGCGGTCCTTCTGGTTTCCAGTGCTGCTGTGCCCGCGGGTGTGGACTTCCCTGGAGAACGGCCGAGTGACGGTGAAGCCACCCGGGCCACCAGTGGAAGGGACAGTGCTCCATTACAGCTGCCATGCCGGCTTCATCCTGGAGGGCAGAAACATCAGCCATTGCACTAAACTGGGAAAGTGGGACGCGCCTAAACCCACCTGCCTCTGTGAGTATCTATGCCAGTGTGTCTGAAGTTTATATTAAGCTTTCAATTACAGTAGAAGTAAGGAAATACTGTATGGTGGGATTCCATTTACTCAGGGGAGATCTGGTAGGCTAAGCAGGCTCACTGACAACACAGACACAGTAATTGATGACATTTACATCATCATTGCAGCCAGACTAGAAGAAGATACGCTAGCAAAGAAAATGTGGTGCATAGTCAGTGACAGCGAACATTTAACCATCTCGGCATAAATGTTTCTGATAAAAGTTCATAATATCCATCACAACAAGTAGCAAAGATGTTTTTGAAACTGATATTGGTGATTCATTGTGACTGACTGGAGGATAATTTACTCACTTTTTAGTTTACTGTTTCCACATTTACTGTTTACTTTAAAGGTGAAATGATTAGTCAATTAAAGCATTAATAGGCAGACAATTAATACTAACAATAATAATATATATAAACTATTTTGATAATTGATTAATTGTTTCAACTATTGTGTCAATTTGTCTTGGAAAAATGGGTCCAGCTTCTCAAATGTGAGGATAAGATGCTTTTATATATGATACTAAACTGGGCTGGACTGGATGAGCTAAACAAAACAAGTTAAAGGCATAACATTAGCCTCTGGTAAACATAGTCAAAACTGATAAATCAAGAAAATAATCTGGATTAATCTATAAAGAAAAGCACTGTTATTTGCAGCCGCATTAAAAATTAAGGAAATGTACATGTACAACACCTCCTGGGCCTTTTGATCACATACATGTGACTTACTTAGCTTTTGCAGCCTACCTCACAAAAATGGGGACATAAGGCCTTAAAGATGACAGATAATTACAAACACCTGCTCTCCCAACGGTGAAGCACGGTTGCTAGGCAATAAATGATCCAACCAATCAGAGTGTAATCCACAGAGGGCAGCCTGTACCGCTGGCACAGGCAGGTAAAACAAATGTTGAACACGAGTGAAAACCTGATGTCCCGTGCATTAGACTAAACACAGGATAAATAATTATAATGCGTTGGTGGATGTTCGTGATGTCACAGGAGTGTTCTCGGCTCGCAGTTGGCATGTTTACTGCCTGGAAAGATTTGTCCAAATAAGAGCAAGTAAATGAGGATTTAAGGGAAAAAAACACATAGATGAAACAAAGAGCTGAAGGAAGTCAGATTGCCAACTGGTTATCAGAGGGGTTGGCATGGCAACCAATAAAGTTGCTATGGGAATGATGGTATTAAAATGGATGAAAGAGGAAATTATCAGCACAGTTGGACTGGGCAACTAAAAGTAGGTTATTTATTGTATAATAAAAAATCTTGATCTTGATGTGTAAATGCTTTATGGTTGACTCATTATTTGTAGATAATTATTTATAATATACTCTGATATGGCTTAAAACTCCTGTGTTGTTACTACAAGATTTTCTGTGATGCCTACACTATATAACTATAAGAGATTTAATTGTTTTTTCTATCTATTTTTCTGGCACGTCTGTAACATATCATAGGATTACATAATCACAGTTACTGCTCAGCATCCAACCAACGGTGCATTTGTCAGGAACTGACTACAACTACAATGTTGTGTTACTGCCATCTAGTGGAGGGAAATAATTAGAATTTTGATCTTCACTGCACCAAATCTGTACAAATTATACATTTCAAAGGTGAGTAATTTACTTGAAAAACATCAGGAGTTTTCATCAAAGCTTTTTTTTATGCAGCAGAAGAATGATGCACTAACTGTAAACTGTTCTGTTTTCACCTGAATGGTAGTTTTTAATCAAATGTTCTTTTTCCTTCTTCTTGTGTTTCCCGGCCAAAGATGACAGAAACTACACAGGTAGGAATATTTCATTGTTATTATCCCGTCCACGCTAACCAAATCCTATTACACTGCTATATTTAGTCATATTAATTATTGTGTCATGGACATAAAAGTGCCTGCTTATATGGACTTATCTGACAGTTAAAGTGTGTGGTGAAACATTTATCAGACATCTTTATAGCATCATATTCCAAAACAAAGAACTTTATCTTCTGTCCCAAGCTCAACAAATAAAATCTGCCACAAAACAGGTACCCTTCTTTTTAAGTTTTTTAAAATTATCCCTCCAGATAAAACAAAATCAGAAATGAAGGTAATTTAACTGAGATGTGTAGCTCTTAAATCATCATAATAAATCATAAAATCATAATAATAAAACAGCAAATGTCTCATCTAGATCAATCTTATCTAGATCACATAACAAACACTCTTTTATTTTTAGGGGGATCATTAAACCTGTCTGTCTCTGTGTAACTGTGCACACAGAGATATTTGATCTTTTAATTAAATCCTGCTTCATATATAATGCTTTGCAATACTGTGCTGCAGAGGCAATGTGCACTGTTGCCACAAGAGGGCAGCAGTAGCTTGAAGCAGAGACACAACTGTCTGTAACTGGACGTTGAAACCCACACACTAGCTGGGAAAACCTTCTTGGGGATAAGAACTTTTTAACTTGTCCAATTAAATATTTTTTCTGCTGTGACAAACAAGATTATAGTTTTAATTGTATTTAAAGTTGTAAACTGGGTTAAATAAATTAGTTTTCATATCTAATGTTTGAACACATACATATTACAGGGCTGACAGCATTTCCCACAGTTCTTCACCAGTCCATAACATGAAAAACATTATTATTCTGTCCCTGAGTATTGAGCAAATCCTTCTTTTATGAATCAAAGCACTGAGAGAGAAGATTAAGACTATTTAATTTGCTCGTAAGCATTATTAGTGAGGTAGCATTTTCAGCTCAGCTCATTCAACTAACCCCCTTCAGTCTTTAGCTAATTTTAATTACAAAGTTTTTACGGAAATAGTTTTTTGCTAATCGTTTTTTGCTCTCCACTAAGACTACAAGGGATTTTGAAAAAGGAGAGGGTTAATGGCAATAAGAAGTGTAGCTGTGGGTTTGTCATCATGCAGGTAAAAATACAATGAAGAGTGGAATATTCTGCTACCCCAGCCTTACATATAGAGCTATTACAACTGTGGGTCTTATCTCTGTGAGGTTAAAACTGTACGAGTTTGCAGCAGGTCATTTCTGAAAATGAGTTAATGTGCTTAGACAGCCTTCCCTGGAAAAATAAAGGGTCAAAACATCTACTAGTACAACCATTTTATCTGATCCCTGGCAAGGATGATGAATACATTTGTTACTGTTGCAGGATGGCTCACCCTCTTGCACAGTTATGTCACCACATTAGGAATTGGCCAGATATTGAATCATACGCTTGCTACAACCCTTAGAAGGCTCACAACACTGCACCGTTACTGTATTGAATTAGGCATAGACCTGTTATAGCCTTTCATAAGCCACTGTTCATACGCACATAGACACTGCACTAAACTGGATATATAGTTTTATGCAAGTAATCCCATCGGTTGCAGATAAAAACTTTCCAAATGTCACGGACAGACTTGACAAACACATAATTAACAAAGCGGCAGAGAACACTGTTTCCTCAAATAGAAATTTCCATCTACTGTCACAATACTGACCTCCTTCTGGCTCTGCTCTCTCTCTCTCCACTCCATGTGCCATCACCACCCACTTACTGCCTCCTCAGCGGGAGAAAGGTTAATACCCTGCTCCTGTCTGTGTCTGCTCTACCCTGTGAGTGTGTGTGTGTGTGCGTGTGTGTGTGTGTGTGTGTGTGTGCGCACACATATGCAGTAGGTTTGCATCTCTAATTTCTGTTTTCTCCAAGTACAGTATAACAAAACCACAGGTATAGAGTGAACACAAACAAAGCCGGGACATAACAAGCTAACAAACTTTCTACCCAAACTCTGTATAGATGTACATATAACATAACATCTGTATGCACTCTGTATTATATTTATAATCTTTTAATCTTATTGTAAATTAGAAGGTAGAACAGGCATTAAATCAAACAGGTGCCACTATTCTAAATTGTTCTTATCTTTCTGTCAAAACCCAACAATACATTAGTCAAAATATTATGTCCATGGGGCGTCCGGTTAGCTCAGTGGGTAGAGCTGGCGACTCATGTACCAAGGCTGAGTCCTTGCTGCAGCGGCCCAGGGCTCAAATCCGACCTGTGGCCCTTTGCTGCATGTCATCCCCTCTCTGTCCCCCCTTCCTGCTTATCCTCAGCTGTTTCTATCATAAAGGCAATAAAAGCCCCCAAAAACTATTATGTCCATGTAAAATGAAAAAAAGAATTCAATGAGATAAAATTATGTTTCCGCCTGTTTGTGCAGGTTATTGTTACCCAGCACCTTTTTTGGAAAATGCAGTGCCTCCAAAGTTTAATTGCTAAGAGAACAATGTAATAAAAAACAGGTAGTTATTGGCAAATTTTTACTCAAACAGGAATAAAAATTGCATTTGGTGGAGACTAATTCTGGTGGTGGATTAATACACATTTGGTGCACTAGGGAGTATTTAGAGCTGCAGGACAGTCTATGTGGGATTGACTCATCAAGGCGCACGAAGGCTCATTCATGTGTTTTCAGTTGTTTTTGACACTAATTGAGTTCTATGGCACAGGGGAACAAGACTTTGGCAACACAGACATTAAGTGTAGAAGTATAATTGGGCCAGTTCTTTGTTGGTTTTAGTCTTTCCTTGGGATTTGTTGAAAATAAGATTATAAATTAGTTATCTGTACAGTATCATATGATGTCAAATTATGCAACCAGTCAAGATTGCCCCAAGAGGTTAAGTTGTGTATTAATTTGAGCCTTGCACGTGGCAGCAATTGATTTTAAAATCTGCTGCCTACTAATATTTTACCTGTCAAAAAATTATTTAAAAAAAACATTGTTTCTGATAAAGCAGAAGGTAGCCTATTCATTTTTTCACAGCTATATTCATAATAATACACTAATGGTTACCAAATTTTGCAACAA